CTTAAATGGTCATCAAACTTGTACGCGATTTACATTTTGGTCCCTAAATTAAATTATTAGTCCAAATGGTACATAAATTCTATTTTAATTGCCTATTTGATCCAACCGTTACATTTTCTGTTAAATGTAACCAAATTTTAGGGGCAAATACGACTTTTCATAATTAACAAATAAAATAGGGTTAAAATAAATACAAAATTAGAAAATAATTGAAGAAAAAGAGAAAAAAAATCATGAGACCCAAACCCCCTCGCTTCGATTTCTTCTCCCCAATTCCCTACAGACCTCTCTAATTATTGTGTTTGTAAAAACAAAAATTGGTTTGTCAGTGGCCTTCAACCATCCAGCCCAACAATTAATGTCCAAAATAATACTAACAAAGGTTGCTGAAGGTTGTTGAAGAGACGTGTTGGTAATTTTTAACAACAATATTAAAACCTTGCAAGTGCACAAATAAAATGATAGTATAGTGTAGGGGACTTTTTCTTCCGGCGGCTGTAAATGGGTTGGGCTGCCGTAAAGGGCTGATTGATGAAATTGTCCCTTGTGTCTGAGTTCAAAAATCAAGCCCCAAAAATGCTTCGAACAGGCAGTAGAGCCTTAGGAAGCATCTTGGTTACCTTCACCAACTGAAACAATAGCAACTTACAGATGATTTCTTAATGCTTACAGATAAATTTTCTAGCTTGGCATGAGAGGCTTGTGGCATGGAAGCAAAATCAACATGAGTTTAGCACTGAAGAGGAAAGTTATGATTTCTTGGGGAAAAATGGGAGTGTTAAGGTAAGAAAGAAAAAGTTTGCAAGAAGATTTGGCTGAGAAGAGAGAAAGAAAGAACAATGTTCTTCGGGCAGCTTGACAGAAATTTTGTTAGATGTGAAAGTGGTCTGCCAGAAGAGGAAAAATAGGGAAGAAGGGTGAATAGTGCACGAAATTGCTGGGTTTTGCAAGTAAGAGAGGAAGCTTGCTCTCTGGATGTGGATTGGTCATGTTGGGTAGAAGATGCCTCATTTTATAGCCGCTGGAAACCATCTCTTCCCAAGAAACCCTAATGGTTTCTTCCCAACTTGGCCAAGCTTTTCCTTCCTCTCTCCACTCCTCCCTTGACTTTTTCTATCTTGGTGAAATTTCCTCTATCTATTTGCACAAAATCAGGAATTTTGGAAGCTCAAGGCCCCCTTTCCCGCAGCTGTTCAGTGGGAGGCTCCATTCTTAGCTATTTTTCTTTATCTTTCCTTCCTCATTCTCTGGCCAAATCTAATGAAGGAAAGCAAATGGGTGTACATGCTAGTTTGAAGGTTGCTCCTCCTCCTGGCAGCTTACGTGCTAATATCCCTTGGTTCCTCGAATGTTTTTTGCTTTGAAACTTGCTCCCCCCATGTGTTAGAACCTCCCATCAACTTTTTTAAATGAACCTTCAGACCTCCTCTTCGTGGCTTTTGTTCTTCCAGCTAGGTGCTAGGGCCTTTGTGGCTCATTTGTGGCAATTGCATGGGCCAAGGTGGTTCATTAAGTAAGTGTGCTATTTTTATTAAACGTTGGGCTTTTTGGTTGAGTCAATAGACTATTTTGATTGGGCTGTTGGACTATTTTTTTCCTCTTTTGTGCTCACCCACATGTTTGGGCCTAAAAAATGGGCTTGAGTCCCTAGGCTCCCAAGCAACCCGAGACTTTCTCGGCCCATCAATGGGCCTCATATTAATTTATTATCATCCATACCATAACCCACTCAAGCAAGCCCCAGGTATTTAAGTGGCTTGGGGCCCACTTAAGCTTGTTGCGTGATAGGGTGCGGAATAATAATTCCTTGCTTGGCGTGGCATGTCGCTTGGTGTGCTTCAATTTTATCATCCTTGAAGAGGGACACGGTGCTTAGTTTAGCATGGGCTTGTATTTTATAATATTATTTCAATCCTTGGCATGTCAAATTATTTATTTAGCATGGCACGTGGACTATGACTTGTATATGACGAGCCTTCATGTACTCCGATATGTGATTTTTCTTAATACAGCATCGTATTGGACCGAAAACTTATTTGGGCCCAACCATGGACTTTTTTGGGCCTCAACATATAGGAAGCAAGCAAGGGTCGATCCCACAGAGATTGTGATCTAAAGAGATGTTTATCAATGTCACACAATTAAACACGAAAACAAAATAAAGATTGAAACCACAAGGACTTCCACACACACGTCAACACTAAAAGGGGTTTTGATTTGATTTTGTGAATAAAGCAAAACAAGGAAAAGAAAACAAAAAATAATTTAAATTGGAGTTTAAGAGAAATTGGTTTAAAATCAATCAAGAACAATAGCTAGGACTCAATATTCACCTCCAAACAATCAATCAATCCATAAACAACAATAGATAATCAATTTCTAGCAAGCATATGATGACGACACTCACAACAAGATCATGGCATTGGACTCGAGTTGTATGATTCTCTCTTAAGTGTATGTAAAGTGTATGGCATTTACATCAATACATGTATTCTTAATTGAAATCTAGTATGACATTTACTCAAATTAACAATCAAGAATCCATTAAGATCAACGAGAATATGAGTGTCACAAAAACCCTAAAACATGGCATTTGTTATTAGGAATTCAAGAATCAATTTCTCATAACTAGTTCTTAACCCAATTATTCATTGCAAACAAGAACACATTCAATATGGCAATTGACCTATGTTCTACAACAATTTAATTCCAATACATGCTTCAAAGTTAGCTGCTCAAAGAAACACAATATCAAAATTCACATAACATAGAGAAACTGAAATCATCACGCTGGTAGAAACTGAAAATCCATTCAAACTTGTTTATAGAATTGAAATCATGTTTAGGGCTTCAAGATTAAGTCCTAACTAACAAAAAATTAGTTACTCATGTTCTTGGATGAACTCAAAAATAAATACATAAGAACTGAAAATTAAAAGAAGAAAGGAACATAAAGAACTCGTTGGCAACTTTCTCCACTTGCGCGGTTGATCTCCTTAGGACGTGAATCCTCTGTATGGAGGCCTTGGCTGGCCTTTTATATCACTAATATCAGAGTTCTAAACCCTAAAATTGACTGAAAAGTCGTTCAAGAAGTCTTGGTAAACAAGGAATCCAAATAGGAAAGTAAAAATCACAATTCCTAACTCCATAGGGAAATACAGCTCAGCCCAATTGTCACAGGATTTGGGGATCTTCGGCCTTGTAGAAAAATCATTAAAAATATATTTTAGAAAGATAAATGTCTTATCTTTCCAACCATATATATCATGTAACTTGGAAAATTCGGGAAGGCTTCCATTTCTTCACATTCACGTAACATGTATGAAACTGTCTTGTCTGCACATGGGCTAACTTTACTTGTAATACTGTACCAATTGGCTTGGTAGAAAATTCTACAAAAATCATAGATTGAACTTCAAGATGTTTGCTTTCATCTCCAATTGGCCTTGTGCTAAAATTCCTCCGAAAAGTTGATTTTCCCTTAAAAACCTTCTAAGAGCGCAGAAAAGCTGAAAATCAGAAAAGTAAAGTAATAAGCCCCTTTTAAATCTAATTCTCCTACAAAACCTAAGTAAAAAGAGTACATAAATGAGTATATTTATGGACTTATCAAGACGCAGAGGAAGAGGAAAGCTCCTCAGGAGGTGGGTGTATGGGCTTTTTTCTTCCGGCAGCTACAAACGGGCTGGACTGCTGTAAAGGTCAGAAGGATGAAATTGCCCCTTTAGCCTGAGTTCGAAGATCAAGCCCCAAGAGTGCTTCGAAAGGACAGTAGGGCCTTAGGAAACACCTCGGTTACCTTCACCAACGAAAATAACAACAGCTTACAGATAAATTCTTGGCTTGGCATGAGAAGCTTGTGGCATGGAAGCAAAATTGTCATGAGTTTAGCACTGAAGAGAAAACTAAGTGTTCCTAGGAGAAAGATGGGGTGTTAAGGTTGGAGAGAAAGGATTTTGCAGAGAGGTTTGGTTGAGCATGAGGAAAAAGAGAGAAAAATGTGGCTTGAGTGTTTTTCCAGTAGCTTGACAGAGACTCTGTCAAGTGTCAGAATAGCTTGCCAAGAGGGAAAACTAAGGGAAAATGATGGGCTGAGCATGAAATTGCTGGGTTTTGGGAGTAAGAGAGGAAGCTTGCTCTCTGATGTGGTTGATGCTTGTTAGGTAGAAGAGGCCCCCTTTTATAGCTACTGGAAGCTGACATTTTCCAAGAAATCCTAATGGTTTCTATCCAATTTGGCTAAGTCTTTCCCTTCCTTTCTCCCCTCATCTCTTCAATAATCATTTTTTTGGTGAAATCCACTCTGCCCATTTGCACAAAATCAAGGATTTTTGGGAGCTCAAGGCCCCTTTTCCCGCGGCTGTTTCAGACTCCTATTTTCAGCCATCTTTCTTCCTTCTTTTCTCCCCTCTTCCAAGGCTAGGTCTGATGAGGGAAAGAAATGGGTATGCATGCTGGTTCAAAGGGTGATCTATGCTCCAATATCCTTTGGTCATTTGGAAGTTTCTTGCTTGAAAACTTGTTCCTTCCCTCCCAGCAACCAGCGTGGTCTTCCATGCTTCTTCGTGGCTTCTGTTTTCCAGCAAAGTACTGATGGTTTTACATGTCTTTATTTTACTTATGTGGGCCTTCTAGAACAATGAATTGGCTTATCAAATAAATGGGCCAACTTCACCAAGGTTTGGCTTGAGGTGTTTGGGCTTTTTGGTTGAGTCAATAGGCTATTTTGGTTGGGTTTTGGTTGGGATATTTTCTCTTTGTGCTCACCCACATGTTTGGGCCTAAGAAATGGGCTTGGGTTCCGAGGCTCCAAAGCAACCTAGAACCTCCATTTCTTAGCTCATCAATGGGCCTCATGACAACTTATTACCATCCATACCACAACCCACTCAAACAAGCCCCAGGCATCTTGCGTGGCTTGGGCCCACTTAAGCTTGTGGCATGATTAGGTGCAGAATAATAATTCCTTGCTTAGCGTGGCATGTGTGCAAGCACATATGATGAACTTCTGCGTGCCCAAATCGGGTTTCTTCTCGGTAAGGTATCTCATTGGGCTGAGAATTTATTTGGGTCAAACCGTGGATTTTTTGGGCCTCAACAGTGGGCAATGGCGAAAATGGTGGGAGTATTGACCTTGGTATTGATGGCATAAATCCCCAAAACCCTCGCAGCAATTTCGGCATCTTGGCTGAAGAACCGGTACTTGTACTTGGAGGGTGAGAAATTGACAGTGGCTATGATTTTGGGAGGTGGGGTTGGCGGGTGATGAGGTAGGGAGGAGGGGTGGTAGGTGGTTGTCTCTCAACAACAAAGAGAAATCAAGAGGGGAGGGGAGAGGGTCTGGGTGATTGTTGAGTTAGGGTTCTAGGTTAGTTGGGAGGGGGTTTGTGGAAGATTTTTTTCTTTTCTTTTTCTATAGTTGCTGGTTTGGGTGGAGGGTAGGGAGGAGCTTGGGTTTTGGGTTCATGGGGCCTGGAATGGAGGGTGGTTGTTGGATGGGTTTGGGTGGAGAGTGGTTGTGGGATGGGTTTGCGGGTTGGAGCTTAAAGGTGGTGGCCATGAGAGAGAGAGAGAGAAAGAGAGAGGGAGAGTTTTTATTTATTTTTTAGTATTTATTTATTTTTAACGTACGAAATGACCAATTTGCCTTCATATTTAACAACAACATTGACAGAATGTAACGGTTGGATCAAATGGGCGATTAAAATAGAGTTTATGTACTATTTGGACGAATAATTTAATTTAGAGACCAAAATGTAAATCGCGTACAAGTTTGAGGATCAATTGAGTAATTTACCCAAAACAAAAACAAGCAAAACCCATTTTTTCCTCTGGCAGCTGCAGTCTCTTGCTTTTGCTATTGGAAGTACAGGAGCTCGAGTCTATGGATTCAAAACCTTATGCCCGTCTTTCTGCAACACAAGGGACACCAGGTAAGCTCGCTCTTTTGAGCTCATCTTCACTCGCAGGTTCTCTTCCTATCCGAGCTCCTCCTACTCCTGATTCTGATTCTGACTCTGATTCTGAATTCAACGGTCATGATTTGGGTTATAGCAGTAGTTGTAATATTAGCAGTATTGGTTGTGAGAGTGGGTCTGAATCTGAGGCCTTTGTGACTGGGGAGGAGTTTGAAACGGTGTCGGAGAGGCCATTGGTGGCAGACCCAGAGGAGGAAGCTCTTGAACAGAGTGACTCTGTTGAAAAATATGAGCTTTCTTGGCCTTCTGTGGCCTACCCAGATGAGTTTGAACCTGTTTTCGAGAAAGTTATGGTGGATGATGCAATTTCACAGAGGGTTATGCCCATTGCACAGTTGTCATGGGAGAGTGATGATAATGATGTGGTAGGTAGTGAAGAGGTTTTGAGTGAAGTGGAAAATGGTGATTTTTTGGGTCAGGTTAAGGTTCCTGGTAATGGGTTTGTGGAGAAGCTTAGTATTGCACCAAGAGTTAAGGTTTCTGAGGTTAAAGAAGGAGAAGAAGATGAGACAGTGAAGTGGGAAGAGCCTTTGGTAGTTGAACAATCTGAACCTGCCATAGAGGTAAAGAATGTTGAAGGTGTTGAGGGTGATTTGAATAATTTTGGCAAAGGTCAAAATGGAGATTCCGTTCAAGCTGAATGGATTGAAGATAATGGTCTTGCTATGACAGAGACAAATGAAGCAAATGCTGGGGAGTTGAGCATTAATGTATTTGAAGAAGAGGAGAAAGCAAAGTATGTGGCAGAAGAATCCTTTGTGCATTGCCCAAATAGCGAAAGGAATGGCGTTGATTTAGGCGTCGAGTGGAGCGAAAATCAGACTTTGTTTTTGGAAAATTGTGATTTATCTGAGCTTACTAAGGATGAGGAATTTGAAAATGCACTATGTATTGATTTGCTTAAATCAATCACGCTGAACTCACTATCTGTTACTCTCTTATGCAAGAATGTGGCAGAAAATGCTGGTGCTGTGAAATTTCAAGGCGATACAGTATATGGAGCCAAAGTGGAAGTATCTCTCAAGGAGAAGGATATCCCTGCAGAGAAAGAACAAACCAGCTTGGTTCTGCTTGGGGAAAATATTAGTATCACACCTGGAGTTATGGTAGTTGAAGAAGGAGAAGAATACGGGCCAGTGCTGCGGAAAGAGTCCTTGGTCATTAAACAGTCTGAACCTTCCATAGAGTTAAACTGTGTAGAGTGTTCAGACTTTAAAGGCCAAAACGGGGATTCTATTCAAGCTGAAATGATTGAAGATAATGATCTTGCTGCTGCAGAGATCAATGACAACTTTAATGTATGGGAAGGAGGGGAGAAAGCCGAGTATGTGGCAGAAGAATCCTTTGTGCATTGTCCAAATAACAAAAGGGATGGTGTTGATACTAGCAGAAGTTTTGAGGCACTGGAAAAAGGAATGCATTCGGGAACTGATTTTGGTGTTGAGAAGAATGAAAATCAAATTCAGGAAATCATGTATTTGGGTAATGGTGATTTGTCTGAAGCTACTGACCTTGATAGATTTGAATATGCACTGTGTTGTGATTTCCTTAAATTGATCACACCAAGTTCCAATGTGACACACAAACACATTTTTAGGGGTCAAACCGAAGTAAGAAATTTCAACATAGATGGAACAGCTGCTAGTTTAACTGTAACCCTTTCAGATGAGAATGTGGTCACCGGACTAAAGATTGAGGATCAAATGACTATTGGGAAGCACTTGGTTTTGGCTGGAAGTGCTGGAGCTCTTCAGTTTGAAGGTGAAACAGCACATGGAGCCAAATTGGAAGTGCGTCTCAAGAATAAGGATTGCCCTAAAAGGCAGGACCAAACTGGCTTGGGTTTGTCTCTGATGAAGTGGGGAGGTGGTCTTGTTCTAACAGCCGATATACTATCTCTGTTCTCTGTTGGAGGTTCTAAAATGGCTGTTCATGTTGTATTGAACAACAAGCAAAGGGGTCAGATTGCCATAAGGACAAGCAACTCGGACAAATTCCAAAGTGCACTTGTCGGTATTCTTTCATTTGCAGCTTCAATCTTTGGGATTTTCCGTCCTAGATTTGGTGTTCAAAACTCGACATAATAGGTGTACTTTTCCTTTTGATGTTGGTTGATAGTCAAGTTTTGATGGTGTAAAGCTTAGTGTACATAAGCCTATCCCTGTTGGTTTGTTAGTCCAGTTTTAATATGCAAGACTTTGAATCCCTCTCCCTAGTTGATTTTTATTTTTTATTTTTAAAGAAATATTTATGAAACAGAACCTACATATTTTTAAAGAAATGTTTGTACATCGTGCCCTCATGGATCCGGATCCTCTCCTAAGCTTGTTTCCACAGTTATCTACTGTGGGCAAGAAAACTGTGTATTAAGTTTGTTGACTAATTTGTCTGACATTGTTTGTTGCAGCCTTGGCCTCCAAGTCTCGTGGAGTCTTGGCCTCCAAGTTTCAATTTGTGTTTCCTCTTTTCCATTATTTCTGTTCTGTCTGGATGGCAACGTCATGTGTGTCACTTTCCTAATTAAAATGAACAATCTTTCTCTCTATAAATACCAACGTTTGTTGCGCTCTCACTCATTGACAAAAACTGTGAGCGTGCAATTGATCCAATCCCAACTCCCGACCCATCAAAAGAGCGTAAGGATTCTTGTTCTTAATTCGTGAAAATTCTCTTCTTTACTGGTTAAGGAAACAAATTTGGTTATCAAATAATGTGTTATAGACACTATTAGTATCTTATTTTCATTGCCAAAATTAAATTACGTACAAGTTCTTCAATTAGGATTCTTTTCCTTACAGGCGGTTTTGTATTCTATAAATTTGCTTATTAAATAATGTGTTTGCAAACTTGGATTAAGTCAGTTAATTAGGATTGTGCGCATGCCCCCTTTGCACCCTGGTTTGAATCTCTTTATCATTGTGAAAAATAAAATTTGTACAAGTTGTTGGATTAGATACATTTTTCTTTACAAATGATTTTTTTATCCTAAGAAGCAAATTATTACCGTAAACTCGATTATATGGTACAGAGTAGGTTTTATTGTGCAATTTGGCTCAATTTTATTCCTTTAAGAAACATGTTTACAAAGATTTGGATATTGAAATCCTACAATAAAAATTTACTATAGAGCTACGAGGAAAGGCGAAAAGTAAAAAATAAAAATATAACAAAACAAAAAACCCCTTCATACAGAAAATCTTTTTAAAAACGGGTTGAGCCTCTAACCGACCCGTTTCTTTGACGAGTCGGAACATGAATAAACAAACGGCTGTAAGGTTTTGGTCGTTTTGGACCAAATGGTTCGTTTTATCCGCATGGAGTTTCCCTCTTTTTGCTAACAGTCCCCGTCCCCAAATGGCGAAGCTCTTCCAATGAACTTCAAATCCTTCGCCACACACTCCTTTTCGTTCAAACCCAGGGAGGCCACAATGGCTGTGATTCAAACCTCTCCTTACAGGGTATATATTTACACACACGAGACATATATTTGTATATTGTATCTATATGCACGCACATAGACATACACACAAATGCTTAACTTTAGCTCACATTTGAGTGTTCATGCTCTGTTTGGTTCCCGAGAAAGTGTTAGGAAACACTAGAAAGACTTTGACAGTTTCGACTGCGTTATAGTAGTTCCGGGTTCTGTTTGAGATTTCAAGCTTTGTCTTCTTCCTACATTTCTCCTATGGTTTCTGGGAAAACGAGCCTACTTTAAACTACTTGAACAGATTTTTGTGATTGGGATAAAATGAAAAGCGTTTTGCGACGCGTTTTAAAGTTGTGATGCTTTTTGTGATTGTAATTCTTGCTCGTTATGGAATTGTTGACCAGTTCTGGTGATGAAGTGAAAATGTTTTTGAATTCAGGTTTTTAATTAGATTTGTATAGGGAAATGCATTACAATTTGATTGTGTGTGTGACTGTATGTGCATAAAATTAAAATGGTTGTCAGCAAATGAGTTTATGTGGCGTTGGTAGGCTTCTGTTTTTGGTGCACCACCTGCTTGATGAAATGCCATAGAGGGACTTCGACTTCTATGATTAGAATTTTGACTGTTTCTATTCTTTTTTTCTTGTTCAAATTGGTAGAAGATGCAGAGAGAGAAAAAAAAATACATTTTCAAATTTTTGTGGTCTCTTGTTTATTGTAAATGGAATTCAAAAGTGTGAGCACACAGAATTGATTTTTCAAGTTCTGGAAAAAGGGAAGAAAAAAAAATTCTGTTTTAAAAAAATGTATTTAAAATTATTAATTATAAAAAAAAAAAATTTAAAAAAAAACTCTTTAAAATGACTCTGCCTTAACTTCTACTGGAATTTGATGTCCAAGCCAAATTACAATGGTGGTAATATAACCGTGGACTAAATAACTCGTTCTTGTAACTGACTATTAACATATAGATTAAGATTTCTTTCCACAAGTTTGTACATGACCTTCAGTCATAGTTTTTTTCTTTTCTTTTTCTTCTGAACTTATTTCGACAGTATTTTACTTGAAATAAATGGTTCAATTCATGATTGAGTTCAATTTTTCATTTGAAGATTGGATTTGTATCTCATTTTACTCCATCTTAAATTTAATATTTTTTAATAAACAAAACTGATAGATTGTGTTGTACATGATCAGGTTCTGTCACAAAGAACTTGCTCATCCTTTAGGAGCACAGCTTCTGTCGGCCTCTTTTATTTCAGAGATAGGTCATCAGTTAAAGTATTCTCCCTCTTTCATATGGCACACCATTCCAGTTATTCCAATGATGAGTTTGCTTCTTCCTCAAAGCGAAGATCTCGAGGACCTGTTATGGCCGCAAAGAAAGCAGCTGAAGGTGTTTTTCTGTGTTATTATTCTTTCTTGAAAGATGGTGCTTGTAGTGTTGATCCATCACATGATTTTTAGAGAGTTCCTTTTAAACTATTTGTAATTTTTGTCTGAAACCTGAACGTGATAGTCCTCTTTTCTAATTGTTTGAGTTGATCCTTGTTGATAAGGGGCAAAGCAAGAAGATGGGAAATACAAGCACACAGTTGATCTGCCAAAGACATCATTTGGCATGAGAGCGAACTCTTTGATACGAGAGCCTGAAATTCAAAAAATATGGGATGACAATCAAGTGTTCAAGAGAGTTGTTGGTAAAAACACAGGGGTAAGTTTCGTACCTTGCCTTAGGTATTTGTTACCTGACTTGACTTATTGGCTGACATTTACTTGGTCAGGAAAATTTCATTCTTCACGACGGTCCTCCGTATGCCAATGGTGATCTTCACATAGGCCATGCTTTAAATAAGATTTTAAAGGATTTTATTAATCGTTATAAGGTATATATCCTTCCCTTGCTTATCCATTCACTATGATACTATTATATTTAAAAGAAATGTAATTATATAACAAAAAAGCTTTAGTCACACAAACCCAGCTCCTATCCTCTTCATATATGCAAACTAAGCTACATTTCATTGACTGTCAAAGCTCAATGGTCCTTTCACAAAATTAAATAAAGTTAATTCCTGTTTTGTTTTTTTCTCTGTGGGCAGCTTCTTCAAAATTATAAAGTTCATTATGTGCCTGGTTGGGATTGTCATGGCTTACCAATTGAGTTGAAAGGCAAGTATTGTTTCAATCATACTCATTTGTTTTATCATGAAAAACGTGTTCAGCTGGAAACCAAGTTGAAGGGGCATTGTATAATCATTTGCAACCTTATATTTTGAATAAATCATATGTACACATCTGAAATCAAGAAACTGCTAGGACTTGTCGAGCGGGATTACCACAGTGGTTATGGCCCTCCCCCTTCCCCACTGCTTGGCACCCAGGATTGAAACCCCTGGGTTTCTTCCTCCAATGTACAACCACAAAAAAAACACAAAAAAAACAAAAAAAAAAAAAAAAAAAAAAATAGCTAGACTTCTGTAATATCCTCTCTGTTTGCCCTAAAGTGCCCTTAATTTGTAAAAGTCAAGTTTATGTACACATTATTTTCCTGGGTGAATGTGCTGATTAACTTCAGCATCATTTCGTTTATTTCAGTTCTGCAATCACTTGATCAAGCTGCTCGAAAGGATCTAACACCAATAAAGTTGAGACAAAAGGCAGCTAAGTTTGCCAAGCAAACAGTTAAAACTCAGATGGAATCATTTAAGGTAAATACCCTTTATCTCCTCTCACATCAATGTTTGTTTCTTGGCTGCTCTATAAGCATGATACTTTGCAGATGCTTTTCTTGACCTTTCAGGTATAATTTGGAAATTATTTAAGTTGTTAGGATGTTGATTTTCTATTTGAAAAAATATATATAAAAAAAAATTAGTTTTTAACAGATTGGAAACCTCTGCTTTGGAATATTCCTGAACATTAATTGTGTCATCTGATTGCAGCGTTATGGAGTGTGGGCAGACTGGAATAATCCCTACCTAACTCTTGATCCAGAATATGAAGCTGCTCAGGTTAGTTACAATTTTGCTCGTGCTTTCTTTGTAGACAATTTGAATTGAATGTAACTTCTAGAAGATGGTCAACAATCCTATACTATGGTAAAAATATGTGTACTAAGGGTTTTCATATAGAATTCTTTTTGCCGAACAGACATTAAAAAGAGAAATGAAATATGTGAAAAGAGACCAAACCTTCTCATCTTTCTGGTTAAGGATGTTGATCTTACATGTGGTTATATGTAATTGAGTCAGTACACGTTTGTCTTATTTGCGTCGTACCATTTTCTAGATAGAAGTGTTTGGCCAGATGGTCATTCAAGGTTTTATATACAGAGGCAGGAAACCAGTTCACTGGAGTCCCTCATCACGAACGGCTCTTGCAGAGGCTGAATTGGAGGTAAATATTCTTTTCATGATGTAGATTTTTATCTGCTTAACATTAATAAAGAAAATGTCTCCGCTGTGACATGTGTAAGAATGGGACATTGAGGAGCTTCTGAATAGTTCCAAATTCTGATCAGGCTTAGACTGTGCTCTCTTTCATCTTCATATCTTCATGAAACTCTGTCGCATCCTCAAGAGTACCTTGTCTAAGTACAAATGTGTTTTATTTATCCAAAGGAAAGGGTTCAAGTGTGTTTCAAGATTTTCCAGTTAGTTAGTGTTATAGATCTGTTATAGAAGCATAGATTCCTTCATGTATTCCTTCCATAAATTTCTTCCCACTAGTTTGTAGGCCAAGCTCAAACATTCTTCTCATTTTGCTTTCTTATCTTGTATTAGTTTAGCTCCCATGTACCTGACTGAAATTTTTATTTGCAGTATCCGGAGGGGCATGTGTCGAGAAGCATATATGCCATTTTCAAATTAGTCAGTGCCTCTCCAACTTCAGGTGGCTTACTAAACGAGTATTTCCCCAATGTGTGCTTGGCCATTTGGACAACTACTCCCTGGACTATTCCAGCCAATGCTGGTGAGAGTTTCTTTGCTGATTTTTCTAAATTGCTAAAATATGGGTAGCAGCATATCTTTAGCATTTTTATACTATTTTTATTCGTTACATTAGTTCCCCTTTCATTATGTGTATCTCATGGCGGTAACATCATAATAAAGCGTAGTAGTGGTTAAAAGTCATCAGAAAAGTACCACGACTGTGGTATATCATTGTGTGTGAATGAGGCAATTCGCTAGGTATCCATCTCTACAAGTCGGTTGTTTTCTGAAGCTGCCTTTAGTTCTTTTTCTAAAATTTCTTTGGCCTAGATTTTGTATAAGTACTTCTTAATCTTAAAATTAGCTTGATTTGGAAGATAGGACGAACTGACTTTGAAGAAAATCTATCGATCAAGAAACCATATAAAATCCTTGCCTCTTCTCCTTTATAATATCACTTGCTACACAATTAAGGATTCTCATCTTGCTGGTAATTGGTATTAGTTAATATATGTTTTCCTTCTAATTCTTCTTATTCTTTCACCGAAGCTAAAATTTTCTCATTTGAAGATATGGGCAACTTCCTTGAATGATTGAAGTAATAATTTTACTCTCCCTCATTTTCACAGCGGTTGCAGTGAATGCCAAGCTTATATATGCCATTGTTGAAGTACAGTCAGACCCAGAAGATGTTTCTTTATCTGATGGAAACAAAAAACGAAGGCCCGGAAATGTTCTAAAGGAAGAAAATAAGCCTTTCCTTATTGTTGCTTCAGATCTTGTGCCAGCATTAGAAGCAAAATGGGGAGTGAAGCTTGTTGTTAGGAAAAGGGTGTCGGGTTCAGATCTCGAAAACTGCAGGTTACAGATTTAAAAAGAAACATACGAATGAAACTGAAAACGATCTCCTTCTTTCCATAAAAGGTGAAACTGAAAACTATTGACTAAGGTATTGTTTCTAATTTTGGTGTCAGGTATGTCCATCCGGTATTTAATAGGGAATGCCCTGTTGTCATTGGAGGAGATTATATTACAACGGAGTCAGGAACGGGGCTGGTCCATACAGCTCCTGGACATGGTCAAGAGGATTATGTCACTGGCCTGAAGTATGGACTGCCTATGCTTTCTCCTGTGGACGATGAGGGAAAGTTCACTGAAGAAGCTGGAAAGTTTTGCGGGCTTGATGTACTTGCAGATGGTAATAGTGCTGTTGTGAAATACTTGGATGAACATTTATCAATTATCATGGAAGAATCCTACCGTAAGTTTTCTCCCCTCTCCTTAAGCAGCAGGGAATTTGCTGTTCCCTTTTCCTTTCAGTTATAGCAAGTTGTGTCAGTGACAAATCTCTTCCTTCTATTATGCAGAACATAAGTATCCATATGATTGGAGAACAAAAAAACCCACAATATTTAGGGCGACCGAGCAATGGTTTGCATCAGTGGAAGGGTTTCGTGAGGCTGTTATGGATGCTATTGGTCATGTAAAATGGATTCCACCTAAGGTATTGGTCTGGTCTGCATTATGGACTAGTATTGCAAGACTTGTTATTGTATGAATGATAAGGGTCGTATTAGTTATCTGGCATAAATTAAATGCGTCCTGTACAAATATAATTCATATTAAAGTGTGCCCTTTGAAAGCTTATTCTTTCTATTCAACAATATTGCTTCATCGTGCTGCTATGATGACATCTTCAACTGCATTTACTCAACTTAATCTAACCTAATAATTATTTTCCTCATTTTTACGACAAGTAACCCAAGTTGTCTCCATTAAACTTAATACTCAGTCCACTTCTGCTTGCCCAGATGGAGAATGTGCTTGGAATTGTGAAGCTTCTAGATATGTCTTCCTAGTAGTTTTGGGAAAAATATAATGATTTAGCATTTGTAGAATTAATCATTACTTATATGTCTGGATTTACAGTAGTTTGCATTGCCATTGTTTGTTCAGGCAGAAAACAGAATATCTGCAATGACTTCTAGCCGCTCTGATTGGTGTATATCACGGCAGAGGACATGGGGTGTTCCAATTCCAGTCTTTTATCATGTGCAGTCCAAGGAACCTCTAATGAATGAAGAGACTATGGAGCATATCAAGTGTAAGATCCACTTGGTTATTTCCAAAAGCACTGTGTCTAATTAAGATTTGAATAAGTTAATCTTTTATTTAAGTCTGAGCATCAATTGGGGATATTTCTGACTGCATACAATATGAGGGTTTTCTCACTTTTGCCAGTATGCATGTCTGCCAGTCTGTATACACACGGGTCCATATTTGTGTGCTTTCAATAACCATATATGCAAAGACTGCTCAATTTATTAGCCTACTTTTAAATTCTTTGAAAGATGAATGCTTTATTTTATAGGTTAAAGCTTGATTCTCCCAGTCATCTATTTTCGCAGCTATAATATCCGAGAAGGGTAGTGATGCATGGTGGTACATGAAGGTGGAGGATCTTCTCCCTGATAAATATCGCGATAAAGCATCTGAATATGAAAAGGGGACTGACACAATGGATGTATGGTTTGATTCAGGTATTAATAATATAGTATTAGAATTATTTAACCTTTGTCAACATTACCTTACACTTCTATATAATAAGTATTCTCATATCCTCTATAGCTTGATAATAACATGAATATAGTTAGATATTTTCATTAGTGATGATTGTATTTTCCCCACAAAATGGCAATCTTGAAATATCTCATATTTTATATGACTTGATTTGGATCTCCATGGTCATTTTTTATGATTTATGAAGTTGCGCCAGTTTGCTTGAAACATAATTAATTGTCTTGTTGATATGGGTTACATATATAGTGGTTACTTGTCAATTCTGTTGTATAATTGTCTTGCCAATTTCTTACATTATTGACTTTTGTCTTTGGCCAAAAGTCACTTTTGGTCCCTGTAGTTTGGCACTTCAACCACTTTTGACCCTGTAGTTTCAATTCCGTCAATTTTGACCCTGTAGTTTCATATTTTGTCGCAATTTAAGGACAAGTTAGTATTCTTGTCAATTTCTTTAACAATGCAAGGGGCAATTTCGTCAACCCAAAGCCCTTGAGCGTAAAAGCTTATTTGAAATTCTCCCCATTTCATATTAGGGCTCGAAATTCATCCACTAATCCCAATTTTTGAAGAACCCTAAACCCAAATGACCAATTTCAAGCCCTAATATGAAATTAGGGGAGATTTAGAAGAGAATTTATGCTAAAGGATTTTGGGTTGACGAAATTGCCCTTGCATCGTCAAAGAAATTGAAAGGAATACTAACTTGTCCTTGAATTGCTCCAAATATGAAACTACGGGGTCAAAATTGACGAAATTGAAACTACAGGGTCAAAAGTGATTGAAGTGCCAAACTACATGGACCAAAAGTGACTTTTAGCCTTTGTCTTTTCACTTGCCATATTATTTATTTGATCAGTAAGTGTTTTACTACTTTGGATGCATGTTCATAACTGCATCTGGCTTTTCGGTTCTATAACTGCATCTGGCTTTTCGGTTCTGTAACTGCAATTCGACTCCATGATTTTTATCTCCTGTATTTATTTACATGCATTTAAATAAATGGTTACATTATGTTTCAGGTTCTTCTTGGGCTGCTGTATTGGGAAAAAGAAATAGCCATAGTCTTCCTGCAGACTTGTACCTTGAAGGTATGGATCAGCATCGGGGGTGGTTCCAGAGTTCTTTGCTGACAAGTGTTGCTACCAAAGGTAATGACAATCCGGACATGTTCATGTATAGTATTTTGCGGAATTCTTCACTGTGCAAATTTGAATGTGGTTTTCTTTGTATAAATAGCACATTTTGGATTACTCCTAGTGTTTGCAGTCATAAATTTTAGGGAAGAGTGCTTTCCACATTTTCATTGGAGACCCATTGGTTTATTTATGACAGTTACACTTCCTGTGGTTCCCTTTATTACCACCCATCCCTGATGTGGTTTGTTCTGTTATGTAAAGCAGTTGGTTTTAAGCCTTTTGACAGAAAAAAGAATCACAAATGTTACGGCTGTTTTTTTTCCCCCTACACGATTTATGTAGAAAAATTATGGTCAAAAGGCCTTGTCGATCCTTCCATTGCATTATCTTCATATCCCTTGCACTTTGAGTTTTGACATCATAGGTGAATAAGAATGGTACTTTGGGAATACAAACCAAGGTTATATGGAAGATGGGTTGCTACGTTAGATCTTTGGAATTAAATATCTTGACTGCTGCATTGTAGTCTTTAGTCTCTTACTACAGTACTTTAACTTGGAGGGAGTGGGATTTAAAGTTTCTGCAATGTAGTATAATTTTGTTTCTGTGCAGGTGTTCATTTATCTGCATGGATTCTAAGCCAATGAGGGTGACTTTCTTTTACCAGAAAAATATTTGTTTAGATACACGACATGAATCTGTCACTTTTCTTTGATACAGGAAAGGCTCCATATTCCAGTGTTATAACACATGGATTTGTATTGGATGAGAAGGGTTCAAAAATGAGCAAATCTTTGGGTAACGTTGTAGATCCACGAACCGTGATGAAGGAGGGAAGAACCAAAAGGTCAGTAATTGTTGTAAAGGGAATTTGAACCTACTCATTTAACCCCTGAAGCAATCTCCAACAGTATCTGCATACTCAAGTCTTGTTTCCCTGCTGGCAGGATGGCTATGGAGCCGATGTCCTGCGTCTCTGGGTTTCGAGTGTAGATTATACAGGCGATGTAACGATCGGCCCTCAAATTCTCCGTCAAATGTCAGATATATATAGGAAGCTGCGAGGAACACTGAGATACCTTTTGGGAAATCTGCATGATTGGCATGTATGTTCTACCTATTTGCTCATCTTAAGACTTCCCATCTTTACTACCTCTTGCTGGATAAATATATTACATGGAAATATTATAATTGCTCTCTCTCTCTCTCCCGCATACACAGATTGATGAGCATGCACACAACTCGTTTAAAGCAAATTAACTTCTTCTTTGTTACACTGCAAGTGACAATGCTGTTTCATGCACTTCTCTTAGTCTGTTGTTTTTACTTATTATAACTACATCCTGTTGGCAGGCTGATACCACTATTTCATACCACGATCTACCCATGATTGACCAGCATGCACTGTTTCAGCTTGAAAATTTTGTAAAGAACAGTAGAGAATGCTATGAAAACTATCAGTTCTTTAAGATATTTCAGGTGAACTTCTTAATCTTGTTGATTTTATTTTGTTATGTTTCTGTTTATAATTTTCAATCTTGTGCTCAATGAGATGTAGCATTGCTCAAAAGGCTCTTTTTCTCCAATGGCTCCTGGATTTATATATGGTCACAGATGTATCAACTTTATATTTTTTCTTTGTCTGAAAATTGGGAGTTAAATAAGACAGGAAAATCACATAGACTCACAAAAACTGAGATTTGTAATGCAATTTAAAGGGAGGGAGGGGGTATAGAGGATAAATATGTGCTTTGATGTGTGCCAATTCATAGAAGAAATGTACAAATTGCATTATGGCAGACGGAAGTTTGTGTATTTGGTCCATAAACCAAATAATAAATATGTTGAAGAAAAGAGTGTAAATGTATGGTGGGTTTATCCTCTTTAAAAGAAAGCATAGAAAATAAATTTTCCATTCTTGGTAAATCTGAGGCATTGGGAAAATCATTTTAAAAAGCATGGCAGTAAATCTCTCAAGGGTTGTGGCTGCTGAAGCTTGTTCATGTGTCCATTTAGCCCTTAATTTAGCTGGAAAACATTACCATGCAACTATTTGATTGGCTTCTTATTTTCAGATCATACAGCGGTTTGTCATTGTTGACCTGTCGAATTTCTATTTGATGTCGCCAAAGATCGCCTTACGTTGGGTATTCTTCCCCTGCTCTATCTACCAGTTTCTAAGCAAGTGCATAACTCTTTTACTTTAATTCTATCACCCTAACAATGCGCATATGTTTTTACAATTCAAGTTTTCAATTTCTATAGACTTGCTTGTCTCCTTCAATTCTCGTTTGGGAGGGGAGTTAATTTTTGGTTGTGTGAATATATTTCCTCAATGTGGTGGAATATTAAAATGAAATGAATTTTCTTTGACAAAAATGACTTTGATACAAAAATACACATGATTAGGCACATTATATTGCAAAGGTCAGCTTCATGTCCCCTTTCAAGGTTGAAGTGTTCATATTGAACTTCTGTGTATTTATAATCCTTCATCAGATCCATCATTAAATTAAACTTGGCTTGTGATCTTGTATTCTTTTCCCCACAAGTAGTGATGAAGCATAGTTTATCATTTTCAGGGGCACGACAAGTTTTACTAGGAGAAGTTGTCAAACAGTTCTCGCGGAACTTCTCCTTTCTATTGTGAGAGTGATTGCTCCAATATTGCCCCATTTGGCTGAGGATGTATGGCAAAACCTTCCGTTTCAGTACACCGACGAAGATGGCTCTGCTGCTGAATTTGTTTTTGAGTCAAGATGGCCAGCTTTGAACAAAACACGGCTCTCTCTTCCAAAAGAGGAAACTGATTTCTGGGAAAAAGTTCTTGAGGTAATTACCATTTTCATCTAATGGTTACACACTAGTCCAGTTTTGGGTTTGTGGTTGTTTAAGGGGAATCTTCTTGGAATTTTTGAACTGTATTTGTTTTTGTTTTCTGCCAAAAAAATAATTGATATCATAAACTTAATGCTCTTGAACTTAATTGTCTATGTTTCCCCTCTAAGCCAGAAATATACTGTGAGCATTCAGATAAAAAAGGAGACAGCTCGTTCCAATATGTCTATGTTATCTTATCACTACGTTTTGGAGAGCATAAGATGTTCTATAGCATGTAAAAAATTTGATGTTTTAAGTGTTTGGCATTTCCATTGCTAGAGATTGTATAGCGTGAAAATGAACTGAAATTTTGGGGTCTGATTTCGCGCATTTTTGTGTGTTTATTTCCTTTTTGGCAATACTTTATTGATGAGCATGTATTCACCTGTGAAATAATGTAGATATCTAATTGCTTATGCTAGAAGAATGCTCTTATAACATTGAAAAAGTATGTCAGGCTGACATCTGTCTCAATGTATTTCACTTGTTTCTAATACTTATGCACTTGTGACCAGTTGAGAACCGAGGTGAATAGAGTCCTGGAGGTTGCCCGTACAGAAAAGTTAATTGGCTCCAGTTTAGATGCCAAGGTCTACCTCCATACTTCTGATTCCAGTCTGGCCTCTAGGTTAGTTGAAATGTCTGCAGCCAACAACGACGCAGACACATTGCATCGTATATTCATAACATCTCAGGTAAGTTCAAATTTCTAACCTTGACACCAGAAACAAGCTATATAACTGCAATTGTTGTCTTGAATTTGGAGATTTTAACATTATATTTATGCTGTTTACATTTGTTTATATGCAGGCAGAGGTTCTTCCTTCCTTGGAGAATAAGCTGATTGAAGATATACCCTATAAAGGAGAATACGTCATCGAAGGAAATATCAGAGTCTGGATCGGAGTGTCTCGTGCCGAGGGCTTAAAGTGCGAAAGATGCTGGAATTATTCGCCTCAAGTTGGTTCCTTTCCAGAGCACAGCACCCTTTGCCGCCGCTGTTATAATGTAGTTGATATTCAACAATCTCCAGCTGTAGCTGTGGTCAGTTGAGATTAAAGTGTAAGAGCTGTAGACGGCATAACTCAGATTCAAGATTTGTTCTCCATATAGTATTCCGGTACGATTTTACTTCAAATCCATTCCCTTTTGGGTTGAGCAGACGAGTGGCTTTTGTACAGTATATTATTGCCTAGAGCATCATTTGTACAGCATCCGTTGGAGATTTTGTCGAAAATTACAACCAATAATACAATAATCCAAGTTTTAATCTACATGGAATGTCCTCTAATGTGTCCCTACTTTTTTAGAAATAAGGCATGTGGTTAATTTCAAATTGCAGAGCATACATTCTTCTTTTTACTGTGTTACGTAGATTTTTGGGCAATTCCATGGTCTTCGGAGTTATTTATGATTTATCAAGATCCAATCTAATCCGACCTAAATCGACCGATTCAATTCAATTATTTTACCATTTTCAATAATCTGGTTGGTTTCGTACTTCTTTTTTTCTTTTACAAGCATTTGAAATTGAATGATAAATTATGATGAACAACTTTATACTCTAGTATATTAAAGAACCAAAACACCTTTTTAACGTCTCAATTTTTATATGTCCACACACAAAATATATAATTTTGATGTCTCAATATGTATTTTTCCATTATTAAAACCGATAGTGCAATCCAATATACATTAGATCCGATCCTAAGCTCTAATCAGGTTTCCAATTTTACATCATGCAAATTTGATTTCAAACCAATGCACACCCCTAGTTTTTTCAAATGCGTACAACAGGTTACCATACAAACACAACAATCTGCATACTGTTTAGAAATTAGCCTTACCAATAGAGAAGATCAAGCTCATCATTTGCTTGTCCTTCAATACCGCACTCCTAGGAATAGAGCACATCCAATCGGGAGGGTACATAGCAAAAAGACATCAAATGCCCATGACCTAACTTTGCATGGCATTACCGGTGTCTTCTCATTTCAAAATTTCCTTTGTAAATCAGTTGGGAAGCATATTGCAGAATGCCTATGACCCCAAGCCTAGAAAATATTTTGCAACAGACCGAGTTTTATTGATAAGCTGGAGATCACGATAAAAATTGCACAAATCTGCTGCACAAGCACTCAAATGAATATCTAATTTACAGGGTTAAGCCCTAACATGTAAATGCGGGAGAGACCAATTAACTGGGGAAGTGGTGGGGACTAACGGGGAACCATAGCAGCACTTGCTAAAGCAGAGCGGTTTCTATGTTACAAACAGAGATGCCCATATCATAAAGTGTCTTTCAACGAACCAGTGGATCTAGCAAAATCTGCCAGTGTCATCTTTACGCCAGAACTTGGTGATGGTTGCGGAATAAATTCTGAATCTTCGAAATCCTGGGAGTGAATTGGTATATCCTATAACAACACAAACCAAGTTAGTACACTACGACGGCCAGAAGAACAGCATGGAAATTGCAAACAAATGCAGGACACAACCTGGTACGAATACAAATTTTTTTGCTCCTAGAGATCCTGGCGATTTAGTTCAATCATTATTCTTTGACTCAAAAACTTCAATTCAAATAAATCAGAACAGAGTCCAGTTTACGGTGTTAGCCTATACCTGTGCCTGTATTTGCTGATGTGGTTGCTGATCTTGGGTTATTGTATAGGCTTGTGGTTGGGACATTCTATAGTATGGCTCTTTGAGATCAAGTTTACAAGAGGATTCCTGAATTATTCCTCCCTGCTCAGCACCAGGCCCCCACATTTTAGCTGAAGTGTGAAACCGTAACTAGTTAGTAAACCAGCAAAAGAAATCCACAGCCAAAACAAGTAGATAAAAACTGACCTGCCAATGTAAGATATATTGTGTAACTTTGCGCATTGTGGGCAATCATGTGAAGTCGGCCAGTTATTTCTTGTCCTGCCATTACATAAATGGGCTGAGAGAGAACGCAGCGTAATTGGTACCAGTGAGTTGTTGGTGCACCAGGCGCAGTGGTAAGCCACCTTTGTACAGTACTGTCCATATGCGGTGTGAAAGTAGTCAGGAGGCGCACAAATTTGAATCGGAAAGAATATGCAAAAGCAATCAAGCCCACTGAAAATGCACAATACTATTCATTAAAATCAGATGATTACCTCCCGTCAAATAAGACATCAAACCAGCATGCTAACCCATGCACTCTAGTGCCTACAGCAGCAACAAACCGTAATGGTATATCAAATTCATACAAGTCCTCTTCATTTATTTTGGTAAAGTCAATCACATGAGACATTGAAGGAGCCACCAATAATCTTGGATCAAAAGCATCTACCACAGGCTGTATGAAAATAAAACAAGATTAATTCAGCACATCGTCAATTCTTAGCAACCAAAACAACAGCCAAAAAAAATTTAAGCACACAAATCTAGAACCTGGAGGCGTTAAATGATCACTCACCAAGGCAATTCAGCCAAAGAAATCTAGGGATTTGGAAAATCCTTGGCAAGACAAATATTGATGTCACATATGTCCAGGGCTCTTTTCTATTTATTTATTTATTTAAGAGATGCCTCAAACTTTTTCTACAGATATTAAACTTGTAGAACGGAACCCTAGATAAAAGGCTGGAAATCAATAAAAGTAGTTTGGTATCTTACAAAACCATACCGATCAACTAAAAGGGAATTGGGCTCTTAAATTATGATGGCAGAGGGTATCTAGCTACCCCTTATTTCACAATACCATGAATAGTGAAGAGCATGCCATGAGTTTAACCAGATCAGGAAGAATTGGAGATGCACTAGGTGACACGTCAAGTTTTATTTGGTTTGTCCTCTAGTACATTTTGTATCTCAGAAAACAGTGAAAGCAGAATGTTCATTTCAATTTCCTCTTTGCTTCAAACGCCTAATTCTCATGGGAAAATGATTAAGAAGATACCAGGAAATACTACAAGGAATTACTCTAAATAAATAAAAGCTTTTATTACTAAAGTTCTTACTTAACCTAGGCATGGGAATCATAGTTACAAAAAGAGAACAATATCTCAAAGTACATCGGTTGCAGACAATTAAGCTAGTTCAACAAAATAATGGATGGCACACTAAATTCCAATAAATTTTAGAGATGTGTAAGAAATAATATAGACCTGTGAAAAATATCCCTGGAATGCAGATGCATACAACGGTTGCAAATCAACACCATAATAATTTTGTTGCTGCCAGAAGAGGGCCTGTATATATAGAAAACAAAAACAATAATGTACATTTCTTCTAAAGAACAAAGGTAGGAAACTGATTACACTAAAAGTTTATACCAGCAATCTAGTAAACTGCACTAGACATGGCTGGTAGGTTAGAACTTCCTGAATGGTCATCCATTATGTTATTCTATATATAAATAAACAGGACATGATGATGGCATACACACCTTATTTGCAATTTCAACAAACAAATATTCATCACTGAAAGGTGCCATGTGTATCCTGCAGAAGTAATCAATTTGAACTGATGAGAAAAAAATTAATAGACAACCTTTTTAAATAGGTAATAATACTAATCGATATGAAACTTTTACATTAAATTTGAGTGCAAATACACTACGACCACAAGCAAATGAAATGAAAGAATCTAACATTGCATCATCCAACCACTCAAGGGTAAAATAACATGACCAGGCAACATAAATATGTTTAATAACAGTATATTTTATCAAAATTTATATATTTTATTTTCAGCTACACCAAGGTTGATATTTTAATGTAGGTGGGTGAGTCTGTATAACAGACCATGTAAATGTATATACATATAAACAACTCTAATTAAGGCAGGACCAGTCAATTTTACTGGCTCATGGTGGCATTAGAATCTAGTATATAAGTTGTTCAAAAGTACAGGTCATATATGAGAATCAAGAAGCAAAATTTTTTCAAGGAGTGTCCAGGATACAGGTAGAATAATGTCAGCAAGAGCTACTAGAAAACAAAATGCAGGAGGAAATGAAAAATTGGTTTTACCTTCCTAGTGTAGGGAACATTTTCCATTTGGCTGAAGAAACCGATCTCTTGCAATGACATAGGTCTCCAACATTCTTTCATTAATTAACAAGGTGCCTAAATCCATACCAAAGAAAATCTTGTATTAGATTTACCTCATAATGAAAATTTAAAAATAAAAAATAAGGATCACAGAACATGCTATTCTGATCTTCCAAATATGTTTCGAATTTCTGCCATGGCTGATGTTGCACAAATAGAGTAATTATAGAGATGAAAAAATACGTGTTTAACATCAAGAAGAGCAAGGAAACATGCTCTTGAATTGGCTAAAGCAAATATATAAACACTTACCCATTGGCTCCGAGATAAGAATATCTGCTTTCTCAGGCAATTCAACCTCCTCAACTTTACCTTTGATTACCTATAATGTAGATGACATACAGTCCCATATGAGGACAAGAATAATGAGAGGAAAGGACAAAAAAGTTAAGAAACGACATAAAGAAGTCTCACTGTTATCCTTTGACCCAGTGAAGGGTTCCCTGCAATTAGCTTGCGAGCATATTCTGCCATTTCAGATGCTTCCACAGCATAAACATGCTTAGCACCAGCCTATAGGGAGCATAAAATAAATAAATGATCATTAGAAGAAACAAAAATGAAGAAGTATGCCAGAACCAAAAATGCAAGATTATGAAACATAAACTTAATTGATCAAAGAGCAGAGTATACCTGAGCAGCAAATAATGACAAAATACCACTACCAGCACCAACATCAACCACCACACGACCCGTAAAATCCACACGATTTTCTATTACTGCAGCATAATAGGTTCCTGAGGAAGGATAAATGGATCATCATTAACACCCGTAAGAGCTACTCATAACATTTTTTACTGGAAACTAATAAAAGCTTGGTATAAATTTATGATGCCTCTGAACCCTATAGATTGAAATAACTGCCTTGTGATCCCTAGGTTTGAATTTTGAAGCTCAAGCAAACTAAATATTTCCAAAATCAAAGAAACATAAGATGGAAAATGTGCACGCAAATTTTAGCTAGGTGGACTAACCTGTCCTAACATAATCTTGCAACATGTTCTGTTGATGTAGCAATTGTCCATAGTAGTGGAAATACATTTTAGCAGAAGATGGCTCTATTTTATCATCAAACTTGCTTTTGGAAGATGATATTTCTCCATTTGGTAGTTTCTTTCCTGAAAGGGTAAACAAAGGAGTCGTCATTGACAGGCATGTAATACTGTAAAAGAGCAATAGAAAACAACTTCTAGGAACAGGACAAAAATAACTCCGTCAAAGTACAGAATAACTAGTGAGACAAATTTAAACCAAATTACAAAAGAATAACTACAGTTCTGCATCTGCAATAAGCATTCATCTACTAATTCTTGGGTCAATCTATAAACAAAAGAATTATGTTAAAGCACAGATAAGTAAACTTCAAAAAACAGCACCTTGAACAATAAAGTCCTTCTTCCACTGCTCAAATGCATTATGGAAGGCTCCGCTCTCCTCCTCATTTTTAAAATGGATAGTGACTCCCCTTGAAAACAATTTCTGGTTCAAAAGGAGTAACGTCAAAAGATATAAACTTCTGGCAGGACTTTAACAAATCATATGGTAATGCCGCACACAAAAATATAATCAACATGCAAAACAGAAAATTCGCTCAGTTAAAGTAGATAGATGCTGGGTACAAAATGCCGAGTAAAATATTCAAAATGCAAATGCACGTAGATAAAGTATTCTGGTTACCTCTGTGCCCGTATCAGAACCTTCAGATATGCAAACTGACTGCACGGGGCCTAACTTGAATAGCTGAGGAGCACAAAAACGTACACCAAAATCAAATAAAAAAACTTAGTTTTCTCCAAAATGAATAATTTAACCGATCATTGAAATAGATGTCTACATTGCGTTCATGGTCACTAAGAAACAAAAAAGTAAGAAAAATGAATAATTTAAACGATCATTGAAATAGATGTCTACATTGCGTTCATGGTCACTAAGAAACAAAAAAGTAAGAAAAATGAAATATGTATATATCTATAAATATATATATATCTCTTTATTTATGTACACCTGAATCTTCGAAGGCACACACCACATACAGAGTAAACAGTTCCCTTCGATCAACTATATTGCTCCACTTTCGTGATGCTCGGGATACATTTTTTTTCCCTCTGTTTTTATTTTCCTTCACTTTCTCAGCAACCAAACGAACAAAGAAACCAAATATTTTCTAAACTTACAATGCTAAACTAAAAGGTTCACTCTCTGTTCTTTTATCTGCTTCCTTAGCAGCCAACCGAACAATAGTTAGAAAAAAAAAGCATACTCCAAATAACAGAAGCAAACCTGAGCAGTTTGAAGATCGACATTGACGCGAGCATCGGACTCAGCCTCCTGCTGAAATCGAAGCTTTCCAACTCCGTCTTCCGAACTAAACCGAGCAACCGCAGGCGTCAAAGAAGAAGAAGACGACGACGACGCAAGCTCAGAAATGGAAGCCAAAACAAACTCCTGCTGTTTCTGCGCTTCTTCTCCTTTCGAGCCCTCCATTATCGCCTCCTCCAAACTCAATCCGAAAATTTATTTATCAATTTTATTCCAAAAAAAAAGATAAAGATAAAGGAAAAAAAGCACTGACTTCTTATATAAAAACAGTGTTTGCGAGAGAAAATTAGGGTTTCTTAGAGCAGCTGGAGGGTGGAGAATTTAGAGAGCCGCCAAAGGAAAGAGATAAAACCCCATCGGACAATAGCTTTGGGCTTTTATAGTGTGCGCGGCTGCGAGCTTTGAGTCTTTGAGTGTGCGTTTTAAATGCTTCAGTGAGCTTTGTGAGACTTCACTCTCTCTTCTCTTGAATGAAGGGAGGGGAACACGTGCTGACGTGGTCGTGAGGTCTTGCTGTTGCTGTTGTTGATGTTGGTGACGTGGTGAGTTTGTGAGTGTTGGATTCGGCTGTGGGACCGGGGGAACGGGTTCCTTGCTTGTTTTGGGACTTGGAAGTGGGGTTTTGGAATTATTCGGAGTTTTGTGGCAGGCCAGACTAGCTGTTTGCTTTACCTTTTGCTTGGCCCAAATTTAACAGACTACCCTTTCGCTTTTTTACTAGTGGGGCTGCCCATGGACTGGACCCACCACCACTAACTTATACACTACGATGTGTCAGGCCGAGAAATCGGAGCCCAAGCACTCATGTCGACCTCGTCTTCGTAAGACACCTGTGTTGTGCCGATTAAACTTTAGTGCAAGTGAGAAATGTTAGAAATACTGACCGAATCAATAATGCTGGACGATTATGACAAACATCCTCCGAATAGTCTCTTGTACGCATTATTCTAATAGACAGCGATTAAGAGTAGTTTTTGTTCTGTAGAAAGGATTACTGGCAATGTTTTTAAAAATGCTAAAAGCGCTTTCAAATATTTATGAAAATTCCAAATATTAGGGCCCGTTTGATAATTATTTCAATTCTAGTTTTTAGTTTTCATTTTTCATTTTTTGTGCTAGAGGAAATTAAGAGTAAGAATGAGAGCGAGGATGAGAGTGAGAGGTGACAAAATTACCAAAAAATATACAATTGTTGATTTTGGGTGAGTTTCTATGTTTAAATAGTGCTTGGGTTTTTTTATAAATACATGTCTAGGATTGGGTTTATTTATAAATTTGTAAAATTAAAAACAAAAACTTTAAAGTAAAAACAATTTAAAATAGATTTCACTTTTTAGTTTTTGTTTTCACTTTTGTCACTGTTCCCTCCCAAACGGATCCGAAACGTTCAAATTGCGAAACAACCAAAACTTGATTTGATAAATTTTTATATTCATCAATTATTTAGTGGTCATATTAATGAATCATGTAGGAGGGAATGGAAGGCCTTATAATTTGCAAGCGTTTAGTTGCATTCCACAAATGGTGTTGATTTTGATTTGAACCTTGTGGTAGGTGTTGTCACTTCAGTCAAAAACTCAAAGAAGACAAATACAATCTGCCCCCAAAGGATTCAACAAAACAAAACAAAAAATCTTCTTCACCACTCCAAGGTGTAAGGAGCTCCTCCTATACATATATGGCATATGCATTTCTTCCAAAAAGTCAAGAATTGTATCTGAAGTTTAAAGTCATTTCTAACACAAAAATACATAAAAACAACAAATCAGAAAAGCAAGAAGATACAAATTGACATGTATTATTACCGTAGACGTCCCTGAACTATGGCCCCAGTTGCAATTGGGTCCATGAACTTTTTTTTTAGGCAATTACATCCTTTAATTAGATAATCAGTTGTAATTAGGTATTGCCGTAACAGAATCTGTCGAGATTGACCATGTGAGTGTCACGTGATCTTCTTGTTCGGGGTATATTCGACTTTTCATCGTTTTGAACGAAACACAATCCAATTTAGCCTTGGAGAGAGGGGGAATTAAAACCCATCAAGTTGAAGATGAAAACCCAGATGCTATTTATACACCAGAAGAAACAAAAAAGAAAAAACTCAATTTCTTCTTCTCAACCACTTGCAAAGACCCTGGTCTCTTCTGGTTCCTTTCCTTTTACAAAAGTCTTCCTCGTGTTTTTCATGTTCTTCCAAAGAAAAAAAGAACATATTCTTATTGGCTTCTAATAATGCAATCTGCACGCAAAGGTGGCTTCCCCATTCCAATCTCAAATGGTTTCTCTAAATTGTAAATCTTTGTCTCTCCTAGACCTCCACACTGTCTGAAACCAAATTTCCCTTGTTCATCTCTCTCTCTCTCTCTCTCTCTCCACAGTGGAGAGTCATCAGTACCATATATGCTTGCAATTGCAAGATTTCAAGTACGTTTGCTTCACATACAAGAAAGTTCATGTTCATTTCTAAATTCTAGTTGTGAAGACAACATCAGGTCCAAATATAAGTCAATTTTCACTTCCTTTACATCGACAGATTGATACACTAGTTACAGTAGCAGGTTTGGTGATTGATTTGAAACTAACTTGTGATTGTTTTCCTTTTGTTTTTAATTTCTTTGTGTGGTAGCCGTTGGCCAACTAAATAAATATACGCAGGTTCGGTTTTGAGTCATAATTTCGTAAACCATGCGATAGTGTCTCATCTTGATAAGGTACGTCACGTACAACTGGAAGCATCCACATTTTCAAATAGCTGCCGTAGTTACAAATGTGCAAGAAGGGGCAACAGATATCATGGTGATTGTCCTTGCTCATATCTCACACACGTATAGTGGTAGCTTTCCAATAATTGCAATTGCAATAGGCTAACCATGTGAACCATATGCCAATGAAAAATAGGAAAAATAAGGCAATTTATGCATTATATCGTTAATGCATTGCAATAGGCTAACCATAGGATCCACATCGCTATTGAATTGCATTATACCTTTCATCTTGGCCTATATTTTTGAAAATAAATAAATAAATCCAAATATACAAGTTTGGCATAAAATTAAGTTTTTTTTTCTTCAAATATATTCAAAATTCGTCTCTTTTTTTGGTTGAGAAATTCTGAGATTGCATTCATAATTTAGCCAAAAAAGTTACTAGCCACAAATGTTAAACTTGTGTAATGCTCTTGTTGTAATTCTCTCTCTCTCTCTCTCTCTCTCTCTCTCTCTCTCTCTCTCTCTCTCTCTCTCAGAGTAAACATTCACACTCACTATTTCATATACTACACTGTGGAGAGCAGGTGCCATACACCCATGCAAAAAGATTTTTGTGTTTGCTTTTTTGTTTTTTTCTTGAGGTAGGCATCTTCCGAAGGTTTGTACAGCCATGCATATTCATTCGTTCTTGATGCATATATGTTTTCATTGCTTTTTTTGTTGTTGGCTAATATGCATTTCGTTTTGCAAGAGAAGAGGGAACTAATTTAATTAGTTTGTGAAGACTGCAGATTTTGCTTTCAAAAGCAGAACACCCTCCCTCACTTCCTTTACATCGACTGAAGATTATCTGCACCCCCCTCCTCAATAATGGGTTTGGGAGCACTCATTCACTTTGTGAGAGAGTGCATCCATAAGTACCTCTACTTTTCCAAGGCTACAGTATGCATCCAGGGTATTTATCTCAGAGATGCTTTAAAATGAAAGTATAATGATATATTTTAAAGAGTGTGATTCAAACTAATTTCTAATCAATTTTCTTCTTATTTCTGCACATATATATAATGCAGGTTTGGTTTTGAGCCATAGCTTCGTCAACCATGCGATAATGTCTATCTTGATAACGTACCTCCAAATCAATTGGTCTCATCCACATTTTCAAATAGCTGCCGTAGTTACCAATGTGCAAGAAGGGGTATCAGACATATTGGTGATATTCCTCGCTCATTTCTCACACACATTCAATGGTGGTCTTCAAAATAATTGCCACCACAAATGCTGCCTATATTCTTGTAAGTACATGTTTTAACCAATTCTTTTTGTTTTTTTTTTTTTTTTTTTTTTTTTTTTATTTTTATTTTACTTAAGCCATATTATATTCTAAACTATTCTAATATACTGGGAGGGGGGTTGAACTCGAGTGCAAGAGGGCGAGCACAGTGCCTTAACCAACTGGCCTAACCCACTCTGCTACCCATAAGTCCTTATTGTGAAGAGAATTAACATTTAATTAATTGTTCAAGACTTGTTGACAACTATTAATAGAACATATCAAGGAGTTCATATTTTGATATCTATATGCTTGTTTTGATTGCTATTCTTGTAAAATAATACAGGGGCTATCTCTGTTATGGCTTCCTAATAAATATAAGAGCAAGGACAACGCAGCAATGGCAAGGATATTCTATGGAGCTGTGGTACTATTAACATTAGGCGAATCTGGGCGATCCGCTGCTTTGGAAAAATTTCTTAACAAGCAATGTTTAAGCAAACATGAAGAAACAGGACGCACAGATGACAAACGACCGGAAGGATGGGAAGAAGCTAGCGAACAGAACGAAATAACAGAAGCTGGTGGTGATCAACAGGTGACGAAAGAAACAGCAGAAAGGGATAAAAAGGACTTATGGAGTGTTCCATGGTTTTTAGGTGCAGTGGTACCTCTTTTCCTTTTAAAAACAACTTGGACTCAGATCTTCATGATTTCAACAATTGCAATGGCAGTTTCTTATTTATTGTTCTGGTTTGGCTTCAACGATTATTTGAAAAACAATAAAGAAGCACAAGCAGGGAAGCATCCCCAAGTCACGGAAAGAGAGAATCTTTGGACACTGAACAAAAAGGTGAAGAAGAAAAAACGTTTGCGCAAAGAAATTGTAGCTTCATGGTTAGCCTTCTTTGTATACAGTATGGTAAAGGCAGCGGGGAGCACCTTCTTTTTCGAACAAATAAGTAACTTGGAAAATCCCATCCCCAATTATGACCCTGCAGTTTATTTCAGTGTGCTTAGCTCCTTTTCGAAGTACATAATCTCATTTCTCTCCCTCAAACTAATTCCAAAGCGAACGCGGGTGAGAATTGGCTGTGGAATGGCTTCTACTGTGTTATGTTGCGTTGCTGCTTGGGTGGTGGAGATCCACAGGATGAGGAAAGTTACGAGGCTTAAAGATGACACTGTTGATATTTCTATGAGCATATTTTGGTTGGTTCCACAGTTCTTCCTGTTAGGACTTATGGAAGGGTTAGCCGTAGATGGATTGATTGATCTTTTGGCTGATAGAGTGGACCAGAAGGATAAAGAAATGGCTATGCATTATGGATCCCACACCAGCGACTTTGTCGTGGGGATTGGAAAGTTATTAACCGCTTTTATTATCTTGGCATCCAGGCAAAGATGGTTCAATGACAGCATAAATCTGAGTCGTCTGGACAAGTATTACAAACTGCTAACGTTTCTGAGTCTCGTAAACTTCGTCTACTACTGGTGTGTTGGCTTTTACTTTTATAGCAAGGATGACAAACTCCGCCATTGAAGAACATGTACAAGGCCATAATGGAAGTGGAAATATGGAAATGGCAACTGTTTAGATCTCCTGGTTAAAAGTAATTAATGAATCGTCTACATTTAAATTTAGAAAATAAAATTATTACTTGTATCTTTTCCTACAGGTTTCTTATGAAGAGTTGTATCTCTTGACTATATGAGAAGTTGTATCTTATATATCAAAAGTTGCCTTTGTATCTCTTGGAATTAATTCAAGAGTTGTGTCTTATTATGTAAAGGTGTAAATGTAATTATAAATAGCCAATGTTATAGGCTGCTGTTGTATCGAAGAAGTTAATAAAATTATCAGTTTGTATAATTCATTGTTTTACAAACACCCTCGGTCTTATTTTATATTTCCATCCTATTCTTTAGTTTTGTGATCATTCCCCCAACAAATTTGGTATCAAAGCAATATTTGATCTTATCGCTACCGCTGTGATTAGCAATGGCATCAAGTTCAAATTCCTCTAGCATTGGGAATATCCAGAATCTAATGCCTATTTTTTATGGTGAGAAGAGAACTATGAGTATTGGAGCGTTCAAATGAAGACTTTGTTTATCTCCAAGGATATTTGGGATATTGTAGAAGATGAGTATGAGGAACAAGAAACTTCAAAAGCAGAAAAGGAAACACAAGAAAAACAATAAACTTACAAGGAAAATAAGAAAAAAAATGCCAAGGTGTTGTTCCTAATTCAACATGGAGTAAGCAAAAATCTCTTTCCAAGATTACTTTCAGCAGCAACATCAAAGAAGGCTTGGGAAATTCTCAAAATTGACTTCAAAGGTTCAGAAAAAGTGATCTCCATCAAACTACAATCTTTATGGCGGGAATTTGATAATTTACTTATGAAAGACAATGAATCCATTCAAGCATTCTTCACAAAGGTTTATGGGATTGTGAACCAAATCATATCTTATGGGGATACAATTCCAGACAAGAAAATCGTATGGAAAACTTTACGAAGTTTACCACCAAAATATGATCATGTCACTGCAGCAATAGAAGAATCAAAAGATTTATCTACACTTTCTTTACATGAACTAATTGGTTCATTGGAAGCACATGAAAAAAGAATCAACAAATCCACAGAACAATTGGTGGAGCAAGCTATGTTTGCAACAAATATGGGCATAAAAGTGCAGATTGCCGATACAAATGTACCCGGTGCAAAATACCCAACCATTCATAAAGAAACTAGAGATATCAGAAAAACAATGAGGCAAATTTTACAGAGAACAACGACGCTCAAGAGCAATTATGTTATACATGTTTCAGTTCTAATCAAGATTCATAAGATGTTTGGTACGTGGATAACGGATGCAGTAATCATATAACAAGAAATAAGCAATGCTTTGTCAAGTTAGAAGAAAAAGTGAACTCACAAGTCAAGCTTGGTGATGGAAAACTACACAATGTGGAAGGCAAGGGTATCATTTCAGTGCGAAAAAAGGAAGGTACTCCAAAACTTATCTATGTTGTGCTATATGTTACTTATCTGGCTCAAAATTTACTAAGTGTGGGACAACTTTTGCAAAGAGGATTCTTGGTGAAATTTGAAGATGATTGTTGGGTTATTTTGGATAAATAACACTCTGATGGCAAAAATAAAAATTACAACAAATAAAGTTTTTCCGCTGTTCATGACATCAAAAGAAAACTGTACTTTGGAAACAGAGAAAGTTGATGGTTCGTTGTTATGGCATCTAAGATATGGGTACGAAGGAAAACATGCCATCCAACATGTCCACAAACTCTTCCCCATGTTCTTCATAGTGCCAAAGATAAATGTTAATGTGATGTAGAAAGATAAATGTTAATGTGATGTAGAACAACAAGAACATATAGGAAGAAAAACGAGATCCAGACTCATACTAACTTTTGGCATCGCACCAAAGGTGTCCAGTAGAGAAACTAGAAAGACTACTAAAATTTGAAGTTTTCTCATGCATCATCATGGCAAACTATAATAAGAATATACATAACAATATGAACATGAATATACCTTTTTTCTTTCACTAACTTTGGTTTTAAAAGCTTACAAAGTAGCCCCTCTTATAGGAGGTGTGGGGTGCGACGAAAAACCTAAATTTTGGGGTAAGGGAAATGCTTCACTGATAGATGAAATCACTTACAATCGTCGACTTAAGAATCGTTTGAGGGTGCATAGGTGTATTAAATCAAACTTGAAAACTTAGAATGCCAATGTCAACCCACTAATTATTTCATGTCATTTCTCTAAGAATGCCAACATATAGAGGATCTTATCCAACTTTCTCACCTAGTGTCTCAAAATTATCAACAATTTGGAGACATTGTAAAATTCCTAGAAAACAACTAAGAAGCCAGAGAATTTCAAATGTGAATTTGCAAACAAGGAGAGAGAGAGAGAGAGAGAGAGGAGAGAGAGAGAGAGAGAGAGAGACTCGTGCTTTTACAAAATGATGTTTTTGAAGTGCAAATAACGAGTCTCTTTTTTCAACAAATAATATGATATTTACAAAATTATTTTTAACAAACAATATACTTAATAATCAGTAAGGAGGGGAAATTCAAATATTAAACGACTCATAATATTAGCAAGAGAAGTGTTAGAGTCGAGTGAATAAATCAAAATCTCTATACCAAAATGAGAGGAAAACAAACAATTAAAAGGAATTGAACCCTCTTTTGAGCATATGAAAGCTTTCAATCGTAGTGAGATCATGACAAGAAAAGGAACCAAGGCAAATGCAATCCAACTCCAACTCCAAGTGAAGAAAAACCAAAGAATGTGTAAGAGCAACTCCACCGGTGAGCTGAGCCCAAGGCTGGGTTGGGGAAATGACGTTCCAGCGAGGAGCCCAAGCCCGGGTTGGGAGTGGGACCCACGAAGACGGGCTGGCCCTCAGGCTAGTTTAGCCCGAGCTCAAGCCCCAAGGTTGGGCTGATGTCATCGTTGACGCCAGGTTGGCGTCAGCCCACTCATTTGATTTTTTTTTCTGTTGCCATGTGGCGTCGTCTAGGCTTTCCGATAGGATTTTTTCCTTCAATCCAACGACAACCAATTTTTTTGCAATAAAATACTGGAAATTTTAAATAAATAAAAACCCAAAAATTAATGAATTTTTTTCTATAAATACCAGCCATTTTTTTTTAATTTATCTGAAATTTGAAATTGAACATTTTATCCGATTATGAGATATGAATAGTATTGACACGTAGGAACCCGAAAATATTATCCAAATTAATTATTGAGGTAAAAAAATTTGTGAAAAAAATAAAAAAATAAATAGTAATTGCCATTTGCCATGACAACGGGTGGAAACAGAAATGCCTTTTTGCAAGGGCAACTACTATTCACATGAATAGTAGCTGCCCTAGCTCCCTCCCCCCTCTTGCCATGACAATGGGCAAATGGGTGTAGTTGCTCTAACGTGTTGGGTGGGCACTTAGACGCGAGCTGCATATGAGATAGATATAGATATAGATAGATTTGATGGTTTGCGTTTATTCAAATCACATGCATCTGTCCGTGTTCGTGTGTGACGTTGTATATAAGTTAACAACAGCTAATATGTATCAATTTTAGTTAACAGCTAATAATAATATGATATTTTTCATGTGATTTGAGAAAAGAACGAGCCGCAGACGCCGATTTGGAACCAAGACAAAAGGACAGAGTTTGACCGTCCGCAGCATATAGCTACACGTGGCAAACATTACGTGGCTTCAGTCACTTTCTGGTATCTTCACCTTAGATTATTAAATTATAATCGAATCTTCTTATTGCTACTTAATTAACAACTTAGTGCAAGTTGGCACATAATTATTCAAATCAATCGAGTACAAATCACTTTTTATTTTTATTTATTTATTTTATTGGATTTTTTTTAAAGTCAAATTTAAGTAAGAGGTCCCAAAAAAAAATAGCAACACACACCATCATCTGTCAAGTAAAAAAGTCGAACATGATTCAAAAAATATTTATGTAACGTATGTGGATACATAATAATAACATTCTTTTTTCTAAGGACTAAATGGTATTGTATTTCATTAAGATAGCTAAAGACATCACATTAATTAATCATATAATGTGATAATTGATTTGTATTTGTTATGAATTATGATTAATAATTAATTAACACATCAACTGTCACATATATTGATTAATTATAATTAGGGTTAGACTCAATTCAATTTGGTTCAATTTCGAGTCCAAACCCACCATCGAACCGAAGCCCTTGGTTCCTTGAAATTTGGAACCAAAAACAAATCATGAGGTGTGAGAACCAACCAACCAAGCTAGTCAATCGAACAAGGTAGTTTGCTTCGGTTCAATGCACAGAACTTATGGGTTTTGGGCTAAACTCAAAATTGGCCCGAATTTCATACCAAACATACTTTTAAGTCCAAAATATGCTTGACAATTCAAATGTAAAATTCATGGCATTCTTATTATCACGTCCGACTACCATGAACTAGAATCATAAGTTTGGTCTAGTTATGCACCGATTTTTTTAAATAAAAAAAAAGAAGAAAATTTAAACAAAATTGAACCGCTAATTTGGTTTGGCCAGTTCGACTATTTTTGCTCTAAATGCCAACTCTAGTTATAATGTGTTAAAAAAAATATAAAAAGTATACAAGTAGTTGTAACACCTAACACCTTCTAATCTTTGTCCAACATTAATCATAATAAAAATTCTAACATGCAACTGTTGTAGACAACTTATCTTAACATAATTTAATCCCATAACTAGTATGCAAAGAATTATAAATGTGAAAGATAAGTTGTATATAGCACGCTTATCAACAAGATTTCTTCCTCAGGGTGATTGCTAGTTTGATTTCATCTCATGCCTCTCTAGTGCTAAAACCTAACCATAAATTTAAACTGTGTGGCATACAATCAAAATCCAAGACACAGAAGCTTACAATTAACAATGGCAAGACAAGCCGCCCATGCCAGATAAGGTTTTACAAGATCCTTGGCAAATGGATTCACACATCGAAAACACTTATAGCAGGCAAACAGAGCTCCAAAATTCATCAAACAAATGGCCAATCCAAGCCAAGCTGCCCCAGCCGCAAGCAGAACAGGACCCCACAAAATGCTCAATGAAACTTGGGCAATGTAGAGGACAAATGCATTGGACTGGGCATGAAATCCACCGTCAGCCCAAACAAGCCAAGCTGAGAGACCCATGAGGAAGGAAGAGAAGAATGTGGCAAAGTTTATGAGCCAGAGAGGAGGGAGCCAAAAGGGTTTGGTTAGGGTCCGGTACTTGGGGCCCCAGCCGAAGAAGAAAATTGTGGTTGTGGTCAAGGTGAGAGGAATTGCAATGCCTACGGCTAGGGACCTTAGAGCTCTCTTGGCCTTTTCTTGTTTGGTCAAGGTCGTGGTGGTGGGTTTGGTGGAAATGGGTTGGTCATTGTTGAGCCGGTGATGGAGGGTGTTGGAAGCCATGTCAAGAAAATTGTGGAGGGAGAGGTGGAGTTCATGACAAAAATATTAGTGGGAGATGTTATAGGACAAAAATGAACGTTATGGAGCAAATTTAGGGGTTTCTTAGAATGTGAGTGATTCAAATTTTCAAAAAAGAAAAATCAATTGAGACACTAACACAAGCAAATTGACCAACAAAAGCAAATTACACACAACACAATACTCTTCCTTGACAAACTATACTACTATACCAAGTTTAAAAGGCCAAAATTGCAATATAATTAATAGAACACATTCAAGTTCGAACGACCCTCCTCCGAGTCCTCGTGAATTAGATTAATTTGAAATTACGAGGAAAAAAATTTATCACAATTGACACCAAAAAGAAGTGATTTTCAAGCATATGAAAATATGGTAATAGACCCTTTAACACCAAAAAGGAAAAAGAAAAAGAAAGAAAAACTAATAATAATAGTAAAAATAGGTCCCAATAATAATTCGCCCAACAAGCAAATAGGGACAAACCGGTAATTGTGTGTCTTTGCATCGCTTTATACCATTCCCTTCCTCTTACAACCAAATACTGGAGCAACACCACCTTTCTCCGCTCTGTACTGACTGCACTGCGTGACCGATAGTCTCCAAAACCTTCCCAGCAGAGGCTTCGAACATGGTAATTTTCCTTTTTCACTCATGAAACTTTATCCCAGGCCTTGTTTAGTTTTCACTGATATTGATCATATGTAGATTGAACCCCTTAGGGTTTTGAAATTTCGCTCTCTTTCATCAGAAAATGCGTTGCATTAGCGTCCGATCTGTTATTTCAATAAGCTTATGTTGTTGTACTGCTTTGAAACTTTGACTTCTATCGCTTTTGTGAGTGATTTTCGCTTCTTGTTCAGTTTTCTGTTTGGTTGCTGAGAAAATTCGAGAAAATAAGTGAACATAATATATACTAATATAGTTGCATTTTTCTGAAACTTTTAATTTGACAGTCCATGTTGTATAGCAAGTCCATTCCTAAAAGGTGGGTCTGGGAAGTGGCAGTGGTGCTATATTTCTGATTATTTTTAGCTTGTTGATGGACTTGGGGAGTTACAATTCCTCCTTTTTTTTTCCTTCCCTCTTTTGTTATGCCCCAATCCGTACATCATTTTCTCTAGTATATTTGTAGCTGTATGTAATGGAATTGGAGTACTTTCAGCTTCCCTCTAACAGTTCATCAAACATAAAGTTGGCATTCGTTTGTGGTGTGCTATTATATTGCTGTATTAGAACATTCTCGTAGTGCTTAGTTTTAGGAACCTAATAGGTCTTCTGGCTGGAATATTTAGGGTTTGTGTTAATCTCATTATCTTGTCGGATTTGCACTCAATTGTAATTGCATGAATACTTGTAAAATGGTGGAAAAAGTAATGAGAAAAACTTGGTAGTTTCTTGAATACATTTCTTCGACTACTTTAAGAAGGAGAACCTGGTAAAGGCTGGATGAACTAGAGGGGTGTGAAATACGTGATGATCATCCTGAAAAAGTCAATACAGATTTCACCAACTTATGTACAATGCATATATTTGTATGGGGAAACTAATGCACGTTTTTTATGGAAACTTGACATGTAATGTAGGGACTGGAAAACTGTGAAGCAAGTACTTGACCATGTTGTGATTAAAAACAATCATATATGTATGACAGTATTTGTGGGAGTTTCAATACACGAATTTTGTATGCTTGTTGGTTGACGGAGTTTTTTGAACATGCGTCTTTGGTACTTTTGGAATACACACTGGTGGAGTTAGGCTTATCTTCTTTTTGTTACATGAGAAGTCAAGGGCACATTCATAACTTGTCGGATGAACGATGAATAATATTACATAACATGAACTGAGTGCTTGGGACAAGACATAGGCTAGTTTCTTCTTCTTTTTTTAAAATCAATAACATAGCATGCAAGTGACATGTCCGGAGATTTCCCTGGAGATGTCTTCTTAAGGTAGGTAGTGGGGCAAGGGTTGGCTACAAGCTAGAGCCCGAATTGTGCAGCCCTTTGTTGCCTTTGGGGGTCCAAAAAGAAGTCAGTTAAACTACACCCCCTTCACGTTATCAACTGAGAATGGTTTCTTTCTGTTAACTTTCCTTTCATATGAACCGACTATATATTTAGCCTAATTCAGCACCGTAGCATGTACTGATAGTGATACTGTTGATGACATTTTGGTGAAGTATCTCATCATTTTTTTGGCAGGATGGACATGATGCAGATGACCCGAAACAGAGCACTGCTGATATGACAGCTTTTGTGAGTTCTAGTTCAACTATCTTTTTTTGTTCATTATAAATTAATTGTATTACTTCTACATGGGCATATGGATGAGTGTTATGCATGTAAAGATTAATGACTGTGTGGCCCTATTTGTGTCTAGTAGTCTGGAGAAAACGATTTTATATATAACCATATTGGGCAATGAAACCGTTCAAAATGAGGGTGAAAATATATTTAGAACTGAACGATGAAGAGGTTATCAATTAGTTAATGTTGATGAATTCGTTGGTTTGCCACTATTCCCAAATTGAAGGTATTTTATTGGTTAATCAATAATTGACGTTTACTTTATTCAGGGATATACTAGGTAGTTTGATTTAAATGTGTATGTGATAATTTGTCACTCCATTTGCCTTTGCTCAATCTCTGTTTTGATTTTTGCAGGTACAAAATCTTCTTCAACAGATGGTGAGTTTGTTATGTGTTTTTAAGGTTTTGTAATTGTGATGACTGACTCTGTTCAATGGATTGTATGGCTTATGTTTTTTAATTTTGCAGCAATCCAGGTTCCAGACAATGTCTGACTCCATCATCACAAAGAATATCCTTCGTTGTTTTGCTTGCCAATTACAAATTGATATACATATTTATTTTACATTAGTTTTAGGACTTATCTTTAGCTAGTTTTATTATAACATTAGAAAACAAATTTTTTGAATTGGTCCATGATAACAGTTGTTCTTTCAGTAGTGAAGCATGTTCATTTGACATGTCTTTTTTTCTTTCTTTAATCACATTTGACTTATTCTATGTTGGAGATTTGGAATTTCTTTTCAAAGGGCTGCAATGGAGATGGATATAAAACTATTATTATTAGGTGTTGCTCAAATATAGAAACTTCATTGATCTCATTGATTTGAATTATGTTGGTACTTGTTTCCTTGACCACCATGATGCACTTGATGAGATGGGCAATAGGATAGATGAGTTGGAGCAGAGCATCAATGATCTCAGAACCGAGATGGGAGTGGAGGGCTCACCATCTCCTTCAGCCCCTTCGAAGTCAAATATCGAACCCAAGTCAGCTGATGATTCAACCAACGAGTAGCCACGGCATGCTGTGTTGCTTTAATCAAATAGTGTGTCTACTGGCCGGCTTTTGAGTGTTTATTTTTACTCTCTTTCATTTGAAATGGAAATCATACTATACGCAGTATCTTGGATCGGATCAATGCTCCTTGGATTTGTAAAACAAGGCCAAGTTTTAATTCTCATTTTGTAACAGAAATGTAGGAAGCCCTTGATGGATTATCTGTCTTCAAATATGCTGAATTCCTGGTTCATTTTCAGAGATAGAATTGCTCTCCCGCATTCATATTTTCGTAATGCATCTTTACAGGTGTGTGTGATTGCCTGACAGCTCATTTTCTACATTATAATTATTAATGCAGTTTCTTATTTTATAGCGCATAATTAGTAAAAACCAAAATAAAATAATTACAAATTTATAAATAAACTCAATCCTAGACATGTATTTATAAAAAAACTCAAGCTCTATTTAAACATAGAAACACATCCAAAATCAACTCCAAAATCAACAATTGTATATTTTTGGGTATGTTTATAAATGGATTTTGAGTGTGTGTAATGATGGGTTTTGGGTGTGTTTATAAAGTATTTTGGGTGTTGAATTTTTTTATAATTTCAGTCTCCATTTTGGGTGTTTTAGTGAAACTCCCGCAATTGCGAATGTTGATTTTTATGATTCATATGGGTGGATTTATAGATGGCTAATACGACAGAGACATATGAGGTGTTGATTAGATTTCTGTCACAAAAAGCCTAAAAGATGCCCATAACATAATGATGCGAGAGAGAGAGAGAGCGCGCGCTCGCACATTCACTCATTTCTCGACCGCCGACGAGTGCTTTACTGCATGTGGGGGGAATTTGCTTTTAATTGTGGATGGCAATATAAGATTCCATAATTTCAGTACTTCTTTTCATATTTTGAAAAGGGCAATGAGAACGCGCTGGAATTGACCGTTGGCCAACATCAAGTTTCATTTTATTTTCTTTGCGCGTGCGTGCGTGTTTGGCTATTTCCATTGCTTTCAGAAGAATGATACAACCACCATATGCATGGTTCTTTTGAAAATAACAATTTTGATTTGAAACACGCAAGCGTCAGTTGCGCGTGGCACGTGAAACTAGCACAACCGTGTACACGGTACAAATTAATAGTTTGTGAATCCGGCTGTGTAAATTAACAAAATAAACGTTTACATATCAAATTGTTTGTTAAGAAACATTTATCTTGATAACTAACCACATGAAATAAATGAAGTATAATTTTCCGATATGAACAAATAAAGCATTGAATTGATGCATTAATCGGCAGCATCTAGGTCCCGTTTGGTTCACGGAATAAATTAGAGGGGAAATCATTTATCATATTATTTCCCAATGAAAGATTTTTTTCCCACGTGGTCATGCTGGGAAAGTAACAGGGAGATAGCACTTTATTTCATTTCCATGTTTGTTTTGAGTATGAATGGAAAACAAAATTTGTATAAATTTTCAATTATACCAATATTAAATTAAATAAAAAAAGAATGTATTTAATAATATATTGTAATTCTAAATTGTTAATGGGGACAAAATAATCAAGAAAAATGTGTATTTAATGTTGATTCATTTCCCCAAACTTTCCCATGATGAGGGAAAACAAAACCTAAGTTGGGAGGATGGCTTCACTTTTCCCTTACTTTCCCATATGCTAAGCAACGATTTCTCATGCCTAGACTTATCAAATATGAGAAAGTAATTGATTTCCCATCCAAATCTCATTTTCCATGAACCAAACGAGACCCTAAGGTAATATTTATTTTGGTAAGATTTGCCTTATTTTCATCATAACATTTTCCTGAAAATAAAAATTTGTTTAATAAATATCCAGCCAAAAGTGGCAATTTCTCATAATTTCAATCTCATAGCCGACACCCCCCCAAAAATAGGAAAAAAAAACATAACCAAAACATAAATCATCTACATCTACGTGGTATTGTCCTTGTTTGCACTATAGCAAGACAGTTGTATACTGCAAGGATAAAGATGCTTCGAAATCAAATCTCCGGCATTATTGGCTCATTTCCTCAAAAGCTCACAGCTTGCAAAGCACCTTTACAACCCACTACTACACACACGCGGTTTCTGGAATTTAGCTCAGCCCCCCATATATATTTTTATATTTATCAACGGCCCACAAATATTATTTTCTCTAATTTTCGTAACCACTAGTCACTTTTCAATGTTGAAAAAACTCGTAAGTTCGAATTCCGTTAATAAAAATTAAATAATATAAATGAAAAAGAAATCATACCCCAAACTATATATGACAATAATGCTAATAAATATTACAAGCACATCCATCCACAATTCAACCAAACAACAAAACATAAAAAGAAAAAGAGAATGGCAAATTGGTATTTTAACATTACAATATGACACATCAATTATTTTGTCTAACCATTATTAAAATCTCATCAAGTATATAACACACAATAACCCCATAAATAATATAAACTTTTCTTTTTTTTAATAATAACAAAAAAAGGGAAGGTAAAAATTAAACAAATAAAAGAAAATAAAAACAAATTAGTGCCTGCAGCGAGTTATGGCGCTACAGCCGCGAGAGTAGGGATTTGCCTGAGCTCCAGGTCGGCAGTTGTAGTAGGACGCGCCACGTCGCGAGCAGGGGACAGTGTTCCTCCTCAGCGCACCGTAGCTGATGTACCGGTTCGTGGCTAAGATGCGCCGGCTGATCTCGGACTCCATCGGCAGCTCCAGATCCTCGTCCTCAGCTATCAGCCCTCCCGCTGATCTCGTGGAGACCCAGCTCAGCTGGCCCAGCTGGTGACCTCCACTGAAATCGACGGCTGCAGATGAAGCATGTACTAAATGAGCGGCCAAGATTGCGCAGACGAAGATGAGGGCAAAGAGTGGCGGTGTTCTTGAGCTTGAGCTTCCCATTTTTGGGGGTTTCCAATCTGAATTTTGTTTTTGAGAGGAGGAGGTTTGTGGGGGTGGGTTTGGGATTATAAGTGACCGTTGGTTTGGAAATGCCACTGGTTTGGGGAAGTATTTACGGGAACATGCCACTTGACCTTTACATGACTGATTTTGCTTCAAATTTAAGAATGTCAATGACTTTATGGACATCCACTAATCACGCTCTTTGACTTGATTTTGTAAATTTAAATTGAATTTGGGACTTTTGTCGTCATTTATTAAAATAAAAAATAAAAAGTTAAATACGAAAAAACACAAACAAGAGCATCGCAATCGTGATGGGATTCAAACAATAAAAGCCAGTTAGTGGCCAACCAATGTGACAATGAAGGAATGAGAAGGTGGCAGTTGATAATGCCATTTGGTAAGAGATAAAAGCTCCATCTTTCATCTTCAATATGAAGTAACCTAATGCTTTTGATATGGTTTAGTGGGAGTAGTCTCCTCTTGATTAGATATACTCTCAAGTTAAACTCACGTGGTTGCGAAGATAATATGCATATTTATGTGAATTTGATATCTAATTGTGGTTAGTCTCATTAAGATAGCGGAGTTTTATTATGCGTGCATTATTCCATCATAAAAGCATATGTATAAATATAGGAATCGCATAATTTAAAGCTTGAACTTGTAAATGCGACCTCTCTCTCTCTTTCACCCACTTGAGTTAGTGTATTAGGGTTGTTGGAGAACTTATAAATCTAAATGCTTGAGCTTGATTTGAGCAATCTAGAAGAAGGGAGAATATTTAATCCCACAACCATACAATTTTGAAACCAAACGACTCAAACTCAACAAACTAACAAACCAAAATTTAGGGTTTTTTTTTTTGTAGCAATGGTCCCTCAACTATACTCGGAGTTACATTTTGGTCACTCAACTCCAAAAATAGTTACAGAGATTACTCAATTAGGTGTTGTGTTGCACCATTAGTCTCTACCATGCAACACAACACCTAATTGAGTGACATTTGTAACTATTTTTTGGAGTTGAGTGACCAAAATGTAACTTCGAGTATAGTTGAGGGACCATTGCTACAAATAACCCTTATTTTTTTGTTATTTCGTTTTTATAAATATTTGGAATGAATTTCCAAGTTTACCCATGGATTTAACTGAAAAATGGACAAACTTGACGAAAGGGACTAGTAATGCAACACCATACATAATTGGGGGGGCCTATGCAATTATTTTTGGAGTTGAGTGACCAAAATGTAACTGTGGATATAGTTCAGGGACCATTGCTACAAAAAAAACCCCCAAAATTTAATAGCTTGGAATCTCCAACACAATCTAACTAAGCAATTACTACAACTGCAAACTACGTGCCAAGCTTAAAAATGAGTCCTAAATTGCAACTTTTCCTAACAGGGCCTAGGCCCATGATACCTGTGCACTTGGGAGTTGGGCTCGTGCGACAAGTTCAATATCCATAACAAGTGGGCTCCTTGTCTATTAATGTTCTAAATCCTAGTATCTTGAATGTAAAAAACACATGAGATTCCCTAGGGATCATAGTTCCAAACATATCGATACAAAATAATTAACATCTACCGGAAAATGACTAAACCAAATACAGGAGTGCTGATAATGATGTCCTTTAAAGTATCTACCACCATATTAGATTCACGAAAAATGTGAGTGAAGGAAATTTGAGAGAACTTCAGGGAAAAAAATATATATATATATTACCGCGCTTTTCAACGAAATTAAAAATAAGTTGTAATTTACTAGTTATTCTAGATGCTCGCCGAATCTGAAAAAACTCAGAAGTTATTTGTATTCTTCGGAAACCCCCATTGACATCACCATTCAATATTTCTTGACCCACTATTGACCAAACCACCTGGTCACTAGATCCAACGTGGGTAGGATCACGTAATAATAATGGAGCGGAAAAGTCATTTGAACCATTGGGTGCTCTAGTTGCCAACTTTGAACAAAAGCTAGATCTTTTCTGTGGGCTGTTGACAGTCTAGCTAGCTCTTTCCTATGGGCCTTTTAAAACCATCTTTTTCTGTTGAACTTCCTCTATAGGTCGGCTTAGCAATTGGTTGGAACTAATGGTGTGTTTATTAATCAAGAATTGGAATTGAATTATAATTATGGAGGATTTATATGTTTATTATTTCACATCAAGGAATTAAAAAGTAAGTGGGGTCCACATAAAATCAGGAATTTAATTCCTGATTTTTTAGGAATTCAATTCTTGAGTGAGATGTGATATTCTAATTACTAGAGAACTAACTTATTATGAATTCATCCTTTTTTATGTATTATATCTTCACACAATTTTAAAAAATTCCAAATTTGTCATATACTTTAACCATGATATTTTAGTAATTAGAACCACTCATACCCAAATTTTATATGGTTTAGTAAATAACTTCAATATGAATCCATAATGTAATTCTCCTCAATCCAACTCCTTCTCAATTCAATTCATCCTATCAAATTAATAAACATGCCATCATAGCAATATGGAAATCGTACCACCCAAAAAACATATAAAAGATGCATAAATGATAATTTTTATACAATTAATATTTGGGGAGAATGAAAATATTGAAAATTCGACTCCGGATAAATATCCTTAACGAGTTGAGCCACAAACACATACACAACTATGATGTTATAGGGATTCAAACTTATAGAACTGTGTATATAGAGAGATAGACAAAAAAAAAAAAAAAAAAAAAAAAAAAAAAAAAAAAAAAAAAAAATCCCATATTTTAAGCAGGTGGCCCTACAAACATCACTCTTTACCTTCACCACTAAGCATTGGCGGACCTAATAATGCGCAAGGAGGTGCAGTTGTACTTCCCCTCGCTGGAAAAACCATTGTAGGTGCTTCAAATTGCTCCTTTGCTCAACTGTTATACATATTACCTTAAGTTTACAATGTAAAATAAGGAACCCCCACCCCCCCCCCCCCCCCCATTTGGATTCAAATAAAAATACAACAAAAATCAAATTCCCACCAAACAAAATATGAAAATTCGGTTTTAGTGCAAAATAAGATTTAGGCTAAAAATGATGGCTCATTAGGTCAATATATACTTCATACTAAAATCTTATAAAATCAAGTTTTCTTATTTGATGTGTAAGGAATAAAAGCTGCCAAAAATTATCTTGAAAAAATGATTATTCCGAAAAACCATTTTTCATACTTATTCAATATTGCACCTCCGCTAAAAAATTAATGGGTCCACCAGTGCCACTAAGTATAAAGTCTTTGATTAATTTGATGGTTTTAATTATTATTTTGATTATAATTATAATTATAATTATATTTAGACAAAACTTAATTAATTTTTATTCATAATTGTGGTTTAAGATATTTGAAGTCATGAATTCCTTAAAAAGAAAAAGAAAACTAGGTGCCACTAAAGCAAATAATCATGAACGACACAAATGAACTCAAATGAACTCGGATGAATGAAAAAAATAACACCATCTTATAACAAGTAGATCGTATCTAAAATAGGAAAAAGCCGTGGCATTGCTAGGTCATAAGATTCTTGTTTTCACATTTGTCCATCTAGTCATGGTTTGAAGTTTATGTAAAGGAGTAGTGTGTGGGGAGAGCACACGCCTCTCAATTGTTTATTTGCATGTTGTGACTTGTTAATTTTCAGTCTTGCTCATTGCAATTGCTGCCTGGTTTAAAATATAAATCCAATGGGTTATTTTCTAAGTTTTTTTCCCTCACAGTTGCTTCTATAAATAGCACTACGCGCACGCCTCAAATGCTCAATCAGATCAAAATGGCAAGCTTATTGTTTACTTCCTTAGCTTTGTTGCTGATCATCACGGCAGAGGTTTTAGTCACACCGGCGATCTCTGTGCCTCTGAAGATTGGTTTCTACCAGACTGCATGCCCCTCGGCTGAGACCATGGTCAGAAATACAGTCACTAAGGCACTTGCCGCAGATCCTGCCATAGCTGCTGCCCTCATCAGACTCCATTTCCACGACTGTTTCGTAAGGGTATGAAATAATAATATAACTTCTGATAATTTTCTTATTATATGCAAAATATTTTATTAAATTTTCATTCGTACAAAAATGCTTGCTTTACCAGACTGATTGCCTAGATTATGACCATTGGTTCATTTGTTATTGATATATATTTGTTTTTTGGAATGTGTAGGTTCATGTATAATACTCATATTATATATATTATCCTCTTCGTACGCGCTTCTGCGCTTGTGAAAGGTTTTTCTTAAAAAAAATTAAAATTTATTTTAGAATTAAAAAAGATAATGAGTAGTTGTGTTCCATAATAGGATCCATTATTTGATTTTTCTTTTTCTTTTAATTTTTTTTAATATGAAAAAGTGTGAATTTACCATATTATCCTTGTTTAATTAATAATTTCAATTCTTAATGTTTACATTAACAAATGACATTTTATGGTATTTTGAATGTTTTATTATTCTCTGAATTTTGCTATATATATATGCATTTGTTTCCTGTACATTTAAAAAAACAAGGGTAAAATACACTCCTTTTTTATATAGAAATCAAAAGTACAGTACACAAGTGAATACACATTTTGTTACCAATTTTTGAAAAATACAGATAAAAGTCACATATTATATAAATAAAAATACTATACATAAAAATTATAAATAAATAATATTAAAACACCATATAGTGGCTGAATTTTTATCAGAGTTTTTAAAATATTACATATTTTTATTTTTCTCTTTTCGTAATTTTTATTATTATTTATGACTATAGTACCAGTTTAGAGTACGTATGACAGATTTGATCGTGTATAATATTATTCAGGGTTGTGATGCTTCTATTCTGCTTGATTCTAAGCCGGGAATGCCAGCAGAGAAAGAAAGCACGATGAACAAAGGCGTCCAAGGGTTTGAGGTGATAGACGAAGCCAAGGCGGCCATAGAAGCCCAATGCCCAAACACAGTTTCCTGCGCAGACATCATCGCCTTCGCCGCCAGAGACAGCGTTTTCGGTGCCGGCGGCCTCCGCTATGCTGTCCCTGGGGGAAGGCGCGACGGCTTGGCTTCGTTGATCGATGAAGCGGCCGAAAATCTCCCCGGTGCATTTTTCAATTCGACAGAGTTGAGGGGCAACTTTGCAAGAAAAGGGCTGTCGATGGAGGAAATGGTGACGCTCTCTGGAGCTCACTCCATTGGAGATTCTCATTGCTCTGCCTTCTCCAAAAGGCTTTACTCTTTCAGTGCAAGATTTCCACAAGACCCTTCGATGGATGGGGCTTATGCTGAAACTTTGAAATCTAAATGCCCAAGGCCTCGGAATCTGACAGATTCTGTTGACCCAGTTGTGGCTTTTGATCCCTCAACGCCTGCTCTGCTTGACAACAACTACTACAAGAACTTGATGAGCCACAAAGGGCTTTTGGCTTCTGATCAGGAGCTTTGGAGCAGTGGGTTGACGAGGAAGATGGTGAAGTACAACAGGAACCATCCGGGTGCATGGGCCTCTAAGTTTGCTGCTGCAATGGTGAAGATGGGTTCCATTGGTGTGATGGTGGGGAGAAATGGAGAAATCAGGAACGACTGCAGGGCTGTGAATTAGGAAGCTCTTGTTGTGTGTGCCTGCCTGGCTACATAGTGCTCACTCAAAATCTTCTTTCGAACTATAATTTTATATTTTAAGAGCCATGTAATTTAATTTGAGTTTTTTCAATTTTGGGCATGTTCCCCTTGTTTTGGGAAGTTCATTTTGATTTGAGATTGTGGACGTGTATGTTATAGTTTGTTTGATATAATAGTTACATGTTTGTGAGGTTTAATCAAGAGTTCATCTTACTTGTCATATTATAATTATATATTCGTAAAGAGTGACCCTATTTGTACCACATTTACTGACTACATTGCTGATCACCTTTCTAATATAATTAATAAATATAGTACAAATAACATTATTGATTCGTAAAAATAGGTTATATCAATTGGCTAAGGTAGTGTGTCTGCCCATTGCATATGAGTTGAATCTCCTTCCCCATATGAGTTAAGCCAATTGGCCAAAACATTGTGTCCACTCCTTTGCACTTGAGTTGAATCCTCATTCTTGTGGAGTATAATATCACTTTGTCAAACAAAAACTATAATTAAATATTCTAATTTTGGTTTCTCATTTAACAGTCCGCTAACTTAAAATTGATTGATTTAAAATCAGAAATTTAAATAAATAATTTGATAATTTTAAAAATATTTAATTTTGATTTTTTTATATTCTTAAATTCATGGTAAAGTTGGAAGCAACTTCTACACAAGCAGCCCATTCAAGATGGGCTTTTAACTGGAGAAGCCCCCTTTTTTTGAGTTCTCTGGTAGGCCCAGTTTATAGTTAGCGAAGCACCAGTTCTCGCTTCTCATTCATATAAAACCAAAAACCCCTTCAGAGTTAGAAAACCCTAACGAACGCAGAGCACTACAGTTCAGCAGCTGCCGTCACCACTTCTCAATCTCATATCTGTTCAAAGGTAGATTCTTTCTCTTCGTTACATTCTGAATCTTTCAAAAATATTATCAGCGATCCATCATCCTACCATCCACCGATTTGAGAAAATTGAGATTTGTTTCTGTGTTTGTTGTATTTGGATTTTTAGGGTTTCAACTCAATCGACAATATGCAGAACGAGGAGGGACAAATCACTGAGCTTTACATTCCCAGGAAATGGTATTTAAATCTTATTTCAATTGAAATTTTTGTATCATCGTTTTGTTTGTGTGGTTATGATTATTAGGGTTTGGGCTAAAATTTTGTGGTGTTTGGATGCAGCTCGGCCACAAACAGGCTGATCACTTCAAAGGACCACGCGTCCGTTCAGATTAACATTGGGCATCTGGACGAGAATGGCATCTACACTGGCCAGTTCTCCACTTTCGCCCTCTGTGGCTATGTCCGCGCTCAGGTTCATCTTCTTTCTATCATTTCAATACTATTATGATAAATATTTGTGTTTTTTTGGGCATGTTGTAAGTGTATATGCCAATAGGAATGTAGAATGATTGTGGGTATATATATCTTGTTGTCTTTTCGTTAAGATTAATCTCGTAGAATGATTGTAGACTGCACTTCTCAACCTGAATTTGAGGAAAATAACGTACAAATCATTCAAGTTTGATGCGTATATGTACGCGCAATATCCAAAAATTCCTATGCTAAAAAATCACCAATTTTGTTTCAGCAATAAGTTTCTTCATTACATTAGAAAGCAGTTGCAATTACATCGTCAGAATTTGTTCAACCACTCTGGATTCACCTCTAATTCGAGGATGCCATTTACCAAATCGAATATCAGAAGAGCCAAGTAAACACAAACATATGCTGGGATCCCATAATCCAACTGAAAACCCCAAATAGTACACACAAGCATCTGAACTTTTGTGAACTTAGTTGTCTTAAGATTTTCCATGCTTCTATAAAGTTTAGATTACGAGGGGTCGGTTATTTAGGTTTTTGAATCATTATTTAATGACTTATGTGGTGCTCTCTTTTTTGAGTTCATAAATTTGCACTTTGGGAGCCCATTGATTCCAGTTCTGATTCTTTGCATTCTTTCTTTTATTTTCCAGGGAGAGGCTGACAGTGGTCTGGACCGTCTCTGGCAGAAGAAGAAATCTGAAGTTAAACAACAGTAGAAAGAGATGATTTTTCTTATGTGGTTTCTTTTCTGGACGTATGTTATTGACAATGGAAGTGTTGTTTTAGTGAACTAAAATATATGTTGAGCGTTTTTCTTTTCCAATTAGTAGTGAATGTTTGCAACTAGCTCCCAACTTTTTGGTGTTCTTGAATTGGGCTGTTCTTTTGACGGCGAAGTAGTGAAACTTTTACTCCTTGGAGTATTTTAAATATATTTCCCTGCTTTACGGCACTTTTTACACTGGTAATGCATGATGATTGAAATCCAGGGCAGTATATGTTTTGAGAGCTTGTGACTAAAGATTTGTAGTTGGCAATTCATATCTATTGCATGTGCCTGCTTTTGCCTGTGGCACAAATTAAGCTACCACCCTCTGCCTTTGCTTATCATCTCTTGTGGGCTGTTAATTGCTTGTAAAGATTCATGTGTTGACATAAAAAACTGGTTGTCATTTATACGTAAACGTTGGCTTAGGAAATCATATAGAAATTGGGAGAATCTTACATTCAAACGTTGGTGAGTTTTAAATTGATCGAATAGCTTGCAGATGAGCTAACTGATTATCTTAAGTTTACAATATATCCCCAATAATTTAGAATGCCATGTGGGCAAATGTTGCCCTTACAAAAACATTAGCTTGCAAAAGAGAAACTCGTGTGGATACACATCAAATGTTGCCCTTACGCATCCTATCTATACGCATCAATCCATTCAATACAGAGGGGTGCAACTGTCGTTTAATATATCACGGAAAATATTAACTTCTTGATGCCACCTGCAGGTATTGCAGCTGCTGAAATTTTCATGATCAAGAGGATCCCATCCTCGCTCGACTGTGAAAACCTCCTGTCTATTTCCACAGTCGCTGCATGTTTTCGCAATGGCAGTCTCATGGCGGGCTTGTACAATTTTACCCACCACCTTCCTGTCAGCCCACATGTTCCGAACAAGTCCCTTAACCCTCTCCCTGCATTCTCTTACGCTGAATCCTTTCGGTTTGTAATGATTGAGAGAATACAGAAGCTCCAGGCCTTCCTGCTTTGACTCTCCCCCGAAACACACCAAGATGGCGCCGTAAACATACGTCGCTTCTACATGACCCTTCGAGGCTGCTTTCTTCAGACACGTGATTCCTTGTTGCACCCTCTTGCCTCTGAAAATATCGCGAAGCCCTTGTCGGTACAAGGCCTCCGCGTTGCCGCACTTTTTGCAGTGTTTCAGAAACTTGGAGAATTTGTCGTCAAACCTCCAAGAAACCAATGGGAATTTGCTCATGTCAACGCACTGGAATATGTAGTCTTCTTCAGCCGTTTTGTTGAAGGCCTTGCAGCTTAACTTTGCCGAGTAGAGATCGTTGAAAGAGTTCGAAGCCACCTTTGCAAGAACTTCTACCAAAAGCTCCTTCGGAAGAGATTGCATGATGCGACTCTTGCTGTTTGCTGCTTTCTTCTTCATTGACCTTGTGAGAGGCGCCATTGATGCCTGATAACAAGAACATTCTAGTTATCCAATAGAACAAAATTAAAACTTCCCTATGTAATGTTTGTAAAAAGGTAAAAAAAACCTTAAATTTGGCAAACTCAAGAATATATTAAACTAAAAAGAAAGCCAAAAACAGGGAGGCAGAGAGAAACCTCAAATTATTGCGGTGGAAATAAGCTTAAATAAGCTTCCTGAACAGAGTTGGACGGCCTGATGCGGTGTTCTGCTTCCTAACGCGACGTCGTTTTTGCTTTCCAATTCGCCTTTTGCTGGTAGTCCTTTCAAGTTGGATACTGGTTTTCTCGTAAGTTTGGAGTGTTATTTGCGCTCTGGTTTTATGAATTCCAGTTCTTCACCACCCAAAAAAAGAAAAAGAAAAAGAAAAACTGAAACCAGAAGACTTCCCCAAAGACATGGAACAACTGACACCAGCATGCAAAATAAAAGAGGAATGTACGTACGTGTGATTATATATCAGACACAAACACAAACCCTTGTAGGGTTAGGACAAGAAACACCGAAGTCATATGCAAATTGGATTTCCTAAAACAAAATTAAAGCGGTGGTTAACTTGGCTAAATTGGTTTTCTTACATACTAATCATACTAGATTCTTATCTAATTAGGAATGTATACCGTGACATGTCTTCGTTGGGCAGCCTGATTACAAATAATATTAAATACTAAGTCTAAACAAAAGAAAATCTCTCTCTTTCTTTTCTCGCAAATTTTTGTGTTCTTGTTTTCGAAGAGAAAAGAAAGCGCAATCTCAATTAATATGGAATTCCTACTGAAATTCACATTCATCAATGACTGATATTAATTTACGCCATAAATCCATTACTTGTCAATAACCCCAACACATTCTGTGTCAGTGATGAATTTTGATAGAATTGTGCTAATAGTCATAGCGTGAAACATTTTCCTCTTTTAAATTTCTAGGTCAGATTAGAACTCAAAATATGTGCGCAGCAGGTTGACAAGTCTCACCAATTGGGTTGCTTCAGCTCATTCAATCATCTGACATTATAACAATATTATATCTATGTAACACACAATTTTCTTACTATATGAATTGAAAGAAAATATTATTTTCATTATACCGTTATTAATTATTATTTTTAATACAACACAAATGACATTTTATTTTAATTTAATCTAAATTAGGGCGAGAGGAATTTGAATATGAATGAAAAGTGGGGATCATCACATCAACGTTAGTCAAATTGTACAAACCAATTACGTAACTAATGGTGAGAAGTTCAAACATGGCCTTCTATCTAGAGCCATCATTGCCAGGGCGGAGCCACACTGGGAACAGTGTGGTCCCGGCCCCCACTCAAATTTTTTCACTCTTCCCGGCCCTCACTCAAATTTTTTTTTAATATTTAAAAAGTAATTTATTATTATGTATTTTTATATGTATATTATTTCACATATTTTACGTTTTGATATGTATCAATATGTGTTGTGGTGGACTTATTAAGGCACAATGAGGTACTTCAAATTACTCATTTGCTCAGCTGGTGGTGGTGCACTCCAGGTGTACAGATTGCTTTATTTCCATTTTCAACATTTAAGTACATGTTAATAAATGAAAGTAAAAGGACAAAGACATTTACTTAGAGCTGTTCCAGCCATAGAGCCCAGCCCGAGGGGAGGTGGGAAAAAAACAAAAATCTGGTTCCAGCGGGAGAGCCCAGGCCCGGGGGGGGTGTGGGACCCACCTACCCGGGCTGGCCCGAAGGCAACTTTCGCCCTAGGTCCAAAACGCGGGGGGGTGACGTCACGACGACGTCAGGCTGACGTCGTCACGCGGTTTTCAATTTTTTTTTACCGTTGGCGCGTGCAATGCACGCGCCAACGTTAAAAAAATTTAAACCCGCGTGCGCTGACGTCAGCGCGACGCCAGCCACAACGGGTGGAAGCCACGTGGCACTCCCCCAGCGCTCCGATTTGATTCCAAATGCTAATCCAACGGCTGGCGATTTTTGGACAATAAAATTATGAAAAAAAATCGAAATTTTTTTTAAAAAAATACTAAAAAATCCTAAAAAATTCTGATTTTTTTTCCTATAAATACCTATAAATACCCTTCACTTTCAACACCAATTCTCATACATTTTATTCTACTTCTACAATTACTCAACATATTTTTCACTCTTCACTCAACATTTTCTTCACTCTTCACTCAACATTTTCATCTCTTTCACCTTGTAATTTTAGTTATTATTTTTATGGCTTCTTCTATTGAAACCGGAGGGGCGTGGAGCACCATGGAAGATGTTTCTTTGTGTGAGGTTTGGCTCCGAGTTTGTCATTGTCCCTTGTCAGGCAATGAGATGAAATTTTTCCATATGTGGAAAAAAATTCATGCCGAATTTTGCGAAAAAATTCCGGACTCCACTCGTACGGAAATGGCATTGTCGAGTAGGTGGAAACTTCTCAACAAAGAGATGGCAAAATGGAGAGATGCCTTGGCAAAAGCGATGAATTTGTATAGAAGTGGGGAAAATCGTACTAACGAAGTAAGTATTTTGTAATTTTCGTAATCATTAAGTTTAATGTCCTAATATATATATGTTGTTAATATTTATTGCATTGTCAATATTTTGTTAATATTTCTTGCATTTCAAATCTTTTGTTAATATTTCTTGCATTTGAAATATTTTGTTAATATTTCTTGCATTTTCAATATGTTGTTAATATTTATTGCATTTCAAATATTTTGTTAATATTTCTTGCATTTTCATTATGTTGTTAATATTTATTGCATTTCCAATTGTTTCTTCATATTTCTTGCACTTCCAATTTATTTGTAAGGTTAATTGCATTTCCATTATTTTTATTTTGTTACTTGCATATCCAATATATTTTAAATAGTTATTGCATTTCCTTTTTTTGTTAAATAGCTCATTCAAGCACAGATGTGGTTCGGTGCAACCGGGGGTGGCAAAAAAAAGTTCACCCATCATGAATGTTGGGAGGTGGTGAAACATTGTAAACGGTTCACAATTATTCCGACGGGTCCCGAAATTTGAACCCAAAAATCTTATCCCGAAATTTTATCCGATTATGAATAGTGTTGACACGTAGGAACCCGTAAATCTTATCCGAAAATATTATCCAAATTAATTATTGAGGTAAAAAAATTGTGAATAAAACAAAAAAATGAATAGTAACTGCCCTTAGCTAGGGCAATGGGTGGAAACACAAAATTCTGATTTTGCAAGGGCAACCACTATTCACGTGAATAGTGGCTGCCCTAGCTCCCCCCTTGCCATGGCTAAAGGCAATATGGGTGGAGTTGCTCTTAAGTTTACAATGTAAATAAGGAAGTATCCTATATTTGGATTTAAATAAAAATACTAGAAAATCAAATTCCCACCAAATCAAAATATAAAAAATTGGTTTTAATGCAAAATACGATTTAAGCTAAAAATGATGGCTCATTAAGACAATATATACTTCATACTAAAATCCTATAAAATCCAGTTTTCTTACTTGATTTGTAAGAAATAAAAGCCGCTAAAAATTAGTTTGAGAAAATGATTATTCCAAAAAACCATTTTTCATACTTACTCAATATTTTTATATAAAATATTTTTTCATGTATGATATGAATGTATAAAGGGACGTAAGATATTTTTTAGTTCTTGAAATTTTGATTTTTTTCTTTCTATTGGGTTTAATGGGGGAAAAAACTTTATAGATATTTGTTAAATTGCTACTCTTTGTCCATCTCTTATAATTTTTCTTGTTTAGAATATATTTATCTATCTCTTTGTTAAGGACAATTATGATTGCAACCAATAAGCAATATAATTCTTGACATATGTTATATATATATATATATATACTATTTTTCATATGTCTTGTGAATTTTGATTTTTATAATTTGTAAGGGCCCACACACATAAAATGCCGACTTCGTCACTGATCATTTCTACACAACGATTTATGAGTTCTGAACGCGGTAGTGACTCAGTTTTGAAATCGGTGTTCTGTGAAAGCTATGGCTTCGAGCAGCTTGAGCCCCACGAAGCTCGATTATTTCGACGACATGTGGAAGCTCCAGTCCAGAGCCATATTGCTATCTTTATCCAAAGTTAGTTCCTTTTCTTCAATTCAGTCTCACATACTTCTTCTTTTTCAGCTTCACTTTCTCTCTGATAAAATCTTAGGGCTTTAATTCCGTTCTGTTTGTTTTCCGAGAAAGTTCAGAGAAAAATTAGTGCCATTCGTTAAACGAAAATCGAAAATCACTAATTGAATTGTGGTGTGTGCTTTGTGGTTTTGAAGGGTGAAGATGGACGAACAGCTTTGGTATTGGACCGTACGATTTTCCATCCACAAGGTGGTGGTCAACCTGCCGACACAGGCTTCATCGCCGTCGAAGATTCTGATCTCAAATTCGTAGCAGAAGATGTACGGTCCAAAGACGGCATAGTAAGTAATCAACATTTGAATATTTTCTTTCTTTGATCTTCAAATTTTTGTTTAAAAAAAGAAAAAAAAAGTTATCTTTATGATTGATGCTTCACTCAATTTTGGTTAGGTTTACCACTACGGTTTTGTTGAAAATTCTGTTGAGGAAATGGAATCAAAATTTGAGAAAGGGAAAGAGGTGTTCTTGCGTGTTGATGAGGCTAGGCGCAAGCTAAATTCTAGGTACCCATATACACAAAGAAATAGGCTCATTTGATTAGTTAAATTTATGATTTTTATTTTTATTTTTTTTGGTGTGGAGAAACTTGGAAGTTGCTTATGTTGTGCTGATCATAGGCCATGTTAAGTTTTTGAGCAAGTTTGATTGCTTACTTGGTGATTCATTTGTCATATTTGAATCATTATGTGCAATTGGTTTGTGCAGGCTTCACTCAGCTGGGCATTTGCTGGATGCATGTATGAGAAATGCGGGATTGGGTGATTTAGAGCCAACCAAAGGCTACCATTTCCCTCAGGGGTATGATTTTGTTCTGCTTTATTGTCTAAATCCTGGATTAAAAAGTGCGGGTATATATTCCTTCTTTAGTTCTGCTTCTGCAATAGGATTTCTTCGTTTTGCTATCTAATAGGGAAGCTAGCCTCTACAATTCCTCTTTATTTCCTCCTCCCAGTCCAAGTTGCTTCCTTGCCTCCCCTTATACTCTCTCTGTGTTTGTATCAAATTCACTGTTGACGACGACGTTCATGAAATTCTTTTTACATTCCATAGGCGGCAGCTTTTGAGCACAGTCTATGACGGCCACAACCCTTTTAAGAAGTTATGAGCTGTTTTTTTAAGACACAATTCTTCACAATCCAAATATGGGGAAATGTAAGGTCCAAATTTTTTTCCACCTAACAGAACAATGGTCCTTCCTCTTAAGCCTAGCAACAGCCCCTAAGCCTTAAGCAGCACAATGATCCTGAATATATGAACAACTTCTGTTATTTGAGACACAAGGTTGACGTTGTTTGCAAATCCTTTGTAATTTGGTTGAAATTAGTACTTATAATGTACTTCTTGCCAGGCCATATGTGGAATACAAAGGCACTGTTCCACAAAAAGATATGGAAATTAAGCAAAAGGAGTTGGAGCTAGAAGCTAATGCATTAATATCGAGAGGAGGGAAAGTGAGTTGCAAACTTGCAATATTTATTTAAAGTTGCTTGGTTGGCTGGTTGGTAGTATGGGATTTGGCTCTAATGCTTTACTATATTTCTCTTAGGTTTCTGCTGCCTTGTTACCATATGAAGAAGCGTGTAAACTCTGTGGTGATTTCCTTCCTGATTACATTCCCAAGGTTATTCCTTATACTAGGCCTGTTTTATATACATGAACATGCAGGAGCTTTCAAATTTTAGTGCTGCAAATCGTTGAGGGCTAACTAATAACTGCAATTTTACTTTTTTGCATCTCCAATCTCTTCCAGGACAGCACTCCTCGCATTGTGAAGCTAGGGGACAGTCCTGGCTGTCCGTGTGGTGGTACCCATGTTTCTGATATTTCAGAGATCAAGAGTCTTACGGTAAGATCCATTCGCTTCAACATTTTTATAAATCGATGTTCACAATTTTTCTCAATCATGAGCATGAAATGAGTGTATAAAGTAAGAATCTGTTGGTCTGCTCTTATTTCCGTCGTTGAAGTGAGGTGTTTTGTTGCTTGTTCAGATTTCTCAAATACGAACAAAGAAAGGATCCACAAAGGTGTTCTACAATGTTGGGTCCTAATTCTTGGTATAACAATTTACACCCTCATTATTGATGCACCCTTATCATTTTGGATAAGCTAGCTGTTGTGTGTTGATAGTCAATTGACATTATCACTTCTGAAAAGGTGAAGCAGTGCTTGTATTTTGTTTGTGTTGTCCACGTGTACTCGGTATTTATAATGATGATAAATATACATAAAACTCATCGTTTATTTTATGTGGATGTTAATGTGGAAGCCTCAAATGGATAATAAGATTTAAGGTACATGATTTGTAAAGTTGAAACCTTTGAGGTTGGAATTGTTCGAATTGTTCGATGGTGGGGTAGGATCGACTTTTTAAAAAGCGACGTGAAGGTCTTTGTTATAAGCAGTTGGCAGAGAGGGTGATGAAATAGAAGAGGCAGGCCCAATCAAAGCATAAGCAAAGCCATGTCAGCTGTGGGGATTTTTTTATTTTATTTTGGTTGGTATTTTGGTATTTTTGGATAGTCAGAGTGTCATCGAAGACTTGTTTTTTTCATTCATCCTAAGAGAGAGAGAGAGAGAGAAAATAAAACGACTAACTCAAAAATATAAACCGTCGTCGTATTTCACTAAAGACGACGGTTTCTTATTGAGATGGACGATAGTATATTAAACCCATACACACTACACGGATGTTAGGACACAAATTGAAGACCTTTTTTGAAAGAACAATTACTTCAAGCGCATTCCGTTGATAGCCTGTTAATATTCAACATCAGAATAATTAATGGGGCTGTGGACCAGGTATCGACAGAGCGATAGGCAAAGACATGGAGTATACTTTGTCTCATACATTCCGAGTCCAAAAGCATCGCCATCTTAAACTTGGATATGATAGTTTGACCTCTGGCCTCAAGTTTCGATCAACACTTGGAAATTTTATTCGGCTGCTGGAAGTTGCAAGGCACATGCTGGTCTACCAGGAGATTTACTGGTGTGGTCCACAATCCACATCTGGAAAAAAATGCATGAAAAATAAAATATTTTTATTTGAGGTCCATATTCTTTAGGTATTTTTGGCAAGTTTGCCTACGACGAAATCATTGGAAAGGTATAAGAAAAACAATTTGGTACACACTCGTGGTTTTGTTTTCTTTCCAGTCAAACACTTTCTTTGGGCTCTTTTTCTCGGGGTGGTTCTCAGCTTTCTTTGCGGTTGAAATCTGCTCTTCTTCAGCGGTGTTTGGCCAAGTCAAATCCACTTAAAACACACAAGGTTTGATTGGGGAAGGTAAAGCCATTTTCTTTCATTCATATGGACCTTTGGTCGACAGTAGCGGCCACTCTGACATCTGATGAACTATTAGCAAACCCAAATAGATCATCTGATTGAGACGTTGGTTGACGTTATTAAACACTTAACCCGAAGTTTAAATTTAACCAAATGAGAAAAGAAGGAAAAAAAATTGTGCAAATGACTGCTAATAAGAAATTATCTACAAATTAAGAGCTTTCTTTTTTATGCATAATTTTTGTTCATGAGCTCATCAGCCCAATTGAATTATTTAATTGGAAAAACTATAATAACAAAATCCAGTGGGTATAAAAACACAATTGTAGTCAATGTTTGGGGTGTAGATTTTGGGAGGGTGTGCTTAAAGGGTTTGGATATTATCTACTGAAAGATTTGAGTGAGGTTGCTAGACCTAGAAGTTTGTTTATATAGTTTTATTTCAGAGCTTCGGCTTAAAAAACCTAAAAAAAAAAAAAAAAAAAAAAAAAAAAAAAAAAAAAAAAAAAAACCTTGTAATTTCCTGACCTTGTATGGAAATATAACTCCAAAAAATCTATAACCATATAAATAAATCTGTAACCATAAATCCACTAAAACTTTAATTAAAATAAAAGGAAATTTTTTTTGGAGAAAAAATAAAATGCAATCTTAATTACAATAATATTAGGAGGCCACACGTGCTGCATCACCGACACACATTTTTTTTTCACTTTGTATTCTGATTTGTGTCGTTTTATTGTTTTTTTTTTTTTTTTTTTTTTTTTGAAAAAAAAACAACAGCAATATTATCTGGAGGAGATATTTCAGTTTATTTTTTTATTTTTTTTTCCGTTTTTTTTGTTTCTTTTGGGAAGGGAAAGATTGGAGAAAGAGAGTTAAGAAAGGAATAATAGCAGGAAGGAAGCAAAATATCGAAAGAGTTCAAATAGAACTGGGAAAACGGCATTACCGGTAGGAGCGAATAGACAAAAAGCCAAAACGCCAGCCAAAGAAATTCCGCTAAATTCAGCAAAGACCCTTCCTCACCATCCATTCCCTTCGTCTTTTATGTACCACCCAGATACAGATTCTCCACTACCTCTTTCTATCTCTTTCTCGGTTTCCCTCATTCTCAGATCTGCTCTTGCTTGTGCTTTTCTGCTTTTTCTTTCCAAAGTCTTACCCTTTAACACTCCCTCTTACTATACAACAACAACCCATCACTCTTTGTATATATAAGTTTCATAGCACAAGTCACATTCTGGGTTTGTTTCCATTGCTCCTGTGGGCGCCTCTTTGTTGAAGACAAATAAGGTGAGGTGGGTTTCGAATCATAACTTTGTTTGTTTTGATTTTGTATGATAATGCTTGATTATGTTGTTTGTTTTGTCACTGTTGGATTGTTTCTCTTTTGTTTCTTTGTTTTTTGATTCATTTTTAGCTTACTGTTTTGGTTCTTAATAGACGGTTGTTGTGTCTGGTTTAAACTATCTTTGCTCTGTTTCTGAACTTTGTATTTGATTGAATTTGCTTATTCTTTCACCCTGTTGGTTTTGTTGGTTTTGTTGGTTTTTGTTGCGTTGGAAGGAATCACTTTTGAACCTTACATATATAGCCAAGTATCGATCTTTTGGTGTAGTAAAAGGTGCATCCTCATACAGGATTTCCTTTTGTTTTTTAATTGTAATTATTTTCTTATCCAAGGGAGCCCAAAGGGGGTTGCTCCAAGTTTAGTTCTCTTTCCCTTCGGAGGCCAAAGGGCGGGGCGTTTCAAACTCTGGCCTTGGTGTAAATGCTCTTGACCACTAGAGCTGCAAGGCCCCCCATAAGCTCCACGTTCAGTGGATCAGATAAAATTTAATTCCTTTTCTTTGTGTGTGTTATTCTTTTGGTTTTGAACACGCATCTATCGTATTCTTGTGGCTTATAGCACACAACATTTCCCTTTCAGTGTTTCACTCTCTCACACCCAACACAAAGAACACACTTTTTACATCATCATCGCCAATCTGTTTGGTTGATATTACTCTAAAAATGGACTTTGGAAAAAGATTGGATTCAATTACAAGTTTTTGATATTTGAAGAAAATTTGGTATTTGTGCAATAAAATATGATCAGATCAATTCCAAGTTTCTTACAAATGTTTGAGGTAATGAATAACCTAAACGTTTGTCTTTTTCAGCTATAGACCATGCGAGGAGGAATTATGATTAAACCTGAAGGAGAACTAAAAGTAAGCTTTGGCTATCAATGCAATAGCAACAGAGACAGTTCTTGTGAGGATTCTGATGAATATGAAACCCTGCCTGAACTCCGAAGGAACAGTAGTTTCTCTTGCTTGTCTGGTGCTGCCTTAAGTGCTAATGCTACTCTGGCAAACACAAATATCTGTAATGGTTTGATAGGGGCAGAAATCCTTCCCAGTTGGGACTCCCCTAATTCATTTCGTAGGGTTCCCTCTTCACCAACTCTTTCAAGGTTGGACATACTATCATCTTCACTTCAGAGTAGTTTGTCAAACTTAAGTTGCAGTCCATCTACACCTGATTCTGATTCTTACTTATTGAAATCCATGAGTCCTCCTTCCAGAAGTGAAGGTTTTCTTAATGCCATGGAAGTGCAAGTGGCAGGTGGAGCTGCTGGTGAAGACAGGGTTCAAGCCGTCTGTTCTGAAGAAAATGGGTGGCTCTTTTGTGCAATATATGATGGATTTAATGGAAGAGACGCAGCTGATTTTCTGGCTGGGACACTGTATGAAACCATCGTATTTTACTTTAATTTATTAGACTGGGAATCAAGTCAGGAATCCATCGAAGCTTCTAGTGGTCTAGATTTAGATGGGTCCCTTCCATACATAGAAGATGATAGCAATACTATTAACGAAGAAAGATTTCTACCCCAAATTTACAGAGACAGGGATTCAAATGTTGACAATGTCTCCAAGAATACTCCATGTGCTAAACCAAAAATATCTACTGATTCATTTAGGCATGGGGTGCTTGACAGCCTCCAACGTGCTCTTAGTCAGGCTGAGAATGACTTTCTATACATGGTTGAGCAGGAAATGGAGGATCGCCCAGATTTGGTTTCTGTTGGGTCTTGTGTTTTAGTTGTGCTTCTACATGGGAAGGATTTGTATACACTTAATTTAGGTGACAGCCGAGCTGTTTTGGCAACATATGGTGATGGTGATTTCATGAATAGGAGTGAGAGGCTAAAAGCTATTCAACTCACAGATAGTCATACAGTTGATGACGAAGGTGAAAGGATGCGAGTTTTGTGTGATCATCCTGATGATCCCATGACCATTGTGGCTGGAAGAGTAAAAGGGAAATTGAAGGTCACTCGAGCTTTTGGGGTTGGTTACTTGAAAAAGGTGACTACTCTTACCGTTTAACAATTATGTACCAACACTAAATTGGATAATTTTTTTAGATTAACTCTGACATTATCTGGTTAGTTACTGATTCTATTTTCCTACAGAAAAAACTGAATGATGCATTGATGGGAATTCTTCAAGTTCGCAACCTTTTGAGCCCGCCATATGTTTCCACTCAACCATCGTTGAATGTGCATAGAATATCAAAATCTGATTGTTTTGTTGTAGTTGGGAGTGATGGTTTGTTTGACTTTTTTACCAATGACGAGTTGGTAAAGCTTGTCCATTCCTATATCTTGAGCAACCCCTCTGGTGATCCAGCTAAGTTTCTGCTGGAGCAGCTTGTAGTAAGAGCAGCCAACTGTGCAGGTAGACCTTCTGACATTTCATATGAAGATTTTGTTGTCATTCCAGTCAAATTACTTATAATCAGTTTAAATGTTGTTTGTTAAATTCTCGCATAATTTCTTCTTCTGAACTGTTTGAAGAGAACACTTTTGGGGATGGCTCAACAAAACTCCAGCTTTGATACAAATCTCTTCCTGACAACATTACTGATTGAAACATTTTAGACCAAATTTAACTAAGATGTTATTAGACACTGATCATACAGCCCACACACCACACCGCACCACACCCTAAGGCATGCATGCACATTTGATCCCAGAATTTGGTATACCGTCTTCAAAAATGTAAATACCAGTACAGAGGTTGGTTAAAATTTATTTTAACTGAAAAACTAAGTAGTCTATGTAGCCAATAAACTAGTCTATTATTTTTCACTGCCCAGGTTTTTAAGCACTATATTTTTGTTTCAGGTTTCAGTATGGAAGAATTAATGAATATTCCAGCAGGAAGGAGGAGGAAGTATCATGATGATGTAACTGTAATTGTGATTATTCTGGGTACAAATCAGCGTACTACAAAGGCATCAACGTGCGTGTAAGATTTTTTGCGGTGTAATATTTTTTATTTTTGGCATTCTAGTTTTAGGTTTCAAATTGTATATATCGGATATCAGATATGTCCTTCCCCCTGCTCTATAATGATCTTTATCATTATCCATTTTTGTTTGACAAAAACTGCTTGATTGCATTGATCTGCAAATTGCTGATCTTTATGATCCTTTGAGAGGCTTGTCAAAGAAGGGCACAGAATTGTCTGAATCTTTATTATTGTTCTCAAAACTTGCAAGCATATATGTATCCCATATGAAGCAATTGCTCTCAATAAATTAAAATTTAGTGTGAAATGCTTTTTAAGATTATAAAAAAATCTGTTCCCTCCTTGTAATTATGTCAATGTGATCGCAGTATCTCTCTTGAAATCTGTTCTTTGGCTTATCCGCCTCTCACAATTCTGAAAGTGGAACTAGTGTTGATACATTGCTCACTCTTTATTTTTATTTTATTTCGTTGCTTTTTCTGCTACCTAATTGGTTTCTTCCTACAAAGAAGTTTAGGTCCACAAGAAAATGATGCACTGATGATCAAGTATGTGCTTCAGATTTCTGATATTTGTCAATGATCAATAGAACTGTGGAATTGGAGATTATCATGGATGCCTCTTTTTTATGATAGACAGGACAAGTCCTTCAGATAATTAAAAAAATTAAGTTTTAGACCTCAAATAGAAATGGGTGGCATGAACTTCTGTGCCAAAATGGGTGGCCTTCATTCAACATGAGAATCACAAGCACGAAGTTGTCTTTCATGTGCTCTCATCAATCATATCATATTAAGTAAATTTAGGTTTTAACCACAAAAAAAAATTTCACTTTTAGAAAAAGCCAAAATTTTTTCAAAAAAGACAGAAAAACCTCTCAACTTTCAAATAAAAGACATGCAAATGTAAAGGATTTTTAAAAAAATCCAAAAACAAATAAGGGCAATTTTGTCCATTTTAGCTTCTTTTAAAAATTCTCTTTCCTTTGGTCTTTTCCGAAATTATTGTTGTTTATGAACCGTCCAGTTCATGTTTCATTTCCAGCCAAAGGCCCAAAGTCAAAGCATTTCCCTTTTCCTACTACTTCAAAAGAATATGTTATTGAACTTAGTTGTGATGCTGTTTTTTGTTTTAAAACCTAAGCTTTATTAGAATCTCAAATGGCAATCCAAGGGAATCAATATATTCTGTATTTTCCAAATTTCACAATGAGGAACCTGTAGCGAATATTCTACACTGGAAAAAGCTGAAGCAAAGAGAAAAATGTTGTTGATGTTAGGGGGGACATAAGACCCTACTACTATTCTTCGCTGCTGGAATTTTTAGTGAACTGTGTAAATAAGACGGAAGATTCGAACTTTTTCAAACTTACGACATCTTTCAATATTAAAAAAAAAGAACATACTACTAGACTAAAAGCACGAGAAGCATAAAATTAACTAATCAAGGACTAGTGCTTACATGTTTTGTCAAGTCTTAACCATTCTAATTACCCCCATTACCTACTAGGTCCCTCTCTTGTGTTACATGTTACAAAATCATCTACCTTCCATTCCCCACGGCTGCTTCTATTATTAACATTGACTTGCGCTCATTTTCAACAAAGCCCAAAGGCAAGCCAAAAATCACATGATAAAACACCCATCAGCATTTTCATCACTGAAAATCTGCAAAATGTCCAGACATGTTGCCTTCTTCATCACCCCATCAATCTCTTGATGACTAGTTGTTGCCCACGTGTACGGTGGTGATGGAACATGATAAAAATTGGGAGCCAAGCTCATGCCAGCAGCTGCACTGCCACTCGCAACATACACCAGAGGAGAGTTGTAATCCATCGGATACAGGTATGCCATCTGACGTGTATGGCTGCGATCATCTGGATGATCCAGAGGCTGAGATCCTCTGCTTGCAGGTGCACCAGAGCCTCCTGTAGGACCTAAATTACACCCCCTGCTGTTTTCATAATCTTTTGGCTCTAAGTTTTTCTTCTTTTTGCTGACACTTCTTTTCTCACTTTCACTGCTCTGAAGGTTCATGGCCGGAGATTCCTTGCCGCCGGTAGTCATTTCCGGCGAAATATTGCCGGAAACCTTAAGTGGGTTGGCCTGAGTAGCAGTACTTGCTCTGTTTTTAGCAGAGCTAAGCTTGAGTGCTCCAACTTTCTCACATGGGTTCTGCTCATCACTGTGATTTGGGCCTTTCTGTTTGTCCTTGTTCTTGGCTTTCAAGGAGTGTTGGTCTTTCCCAGTGAGATTTCCAGGCCATAACTCTGCTTTCTTACCTGCTTTCATGATCAGCTTCTTGATGAGGGTCTGAACGTCGACGTTTCCAGTGACTGTAACTCTGTTTTGCTGTGAGTCAATAGCTGTGGTGTAAACACCTGCAGAAATTATTAGTCAAAGAAATATAGTCCAAATCTTATGCTAGCTGTGTCTAGGATAAACAATTATATGTGCACTCTTTTTTTATTTGTTTTGATTTTGAAAAAAAAAAAACAAACAAAAAAAAAAAGTTCTTTTCTTTTTCATCCAAATGTGTACCATCAATTTTTTGTAGAACTTTCTTGACTTTCCTCTTGCAACCTTCACAGTGCATAGAAACTCTCAAGACCCATGTCTGGAAAAACCAAAGAGAAGTAAAAGTTAAGGACTAAAATGGTAAATATCAAGCTAGAGAAAGAAGAACAGTAAAAACTCATGCATCATCAAACAGAAAAACCGCAGAACAAGAAAGAAGGAAAGATGAAGAGGAGAAATGGGCTTGTTTTGTGCATGTAACAGAGAAATGTACCTGATATTTGAGTGATTCTGAGACTTGTTGAGCTGAAACTAGGGAAGCCATTGGAAAGAGAGAGCTAGAGCTAGCAGCAACATTTACCAGCGCTTAGAAGGAGAGCTAAAGACACTAAAGAAGAAGCTTCATACTGGAAGAGGAAATTAAAAGGTGAGTTTTGAGTGAGACAATTAGGGTGTGGTGGCAGAGAGCATGGACGATGTGGTCCGCAATGTGTACACCTATGTAACATCTAAAGCTGCAAGGAGCTCAGCTATCGAAGTTTTTATTTTTGGAAAAAAGGGTTTTTTGCAGTTTTTCCCCTTGAACTGTTTGTATATTGTTAATTGTGGGGTCTTTTTGTTCCAGCTGCCTGACGAATGGGCTTGGGCTGTTGTAAAAAGAAAACGAACAGAAATTCCCCAAGTATATGAGTTTAGAAATCAAGCTCCTAAAAGAGTTTTTGAAAGGTTTGATGAAACCTTAGAAAAACACCATCAGGTTCTTTTCACAAATAGCCAAATAAACATGATAGATTGATTAATGGCTTAACATGAGGAGCTTGTGGCATGGGAGCTAAGCTTTCACAAGTTTAGCAATTTGAGAGAGAGAGAGAGAGAGAGAGAGAGAGAGAGAGAAGCACGAATTTCTTACAGAGAACGAAGGTTTGGAGTAGGCAGAGGAAAATTAAGAGGATTTCTTCCTAATGAGAAGATGAAACAACTAGAGGCGAAAGTTGGGTGACTTGAGTAAAATTCCCAATTTGCTTGACAAAGTTTGGTCGGGCTTTGGATGATCCTTTTGCTGGGTAGAAGAAGCTCCCTTTTATAGGCACAAAGAATCCCTAATTTCATTTAACCTTCTTCTCCCTTTTCGTTGCTCCTTCTCACTTGATCCTATTTGATGCAATTTTCCTATCCAAGGCTCATGGGTAAGGAGCCCTTTGTGGTTCCAAGGTTTTGACACAGCTGGTCTTCCCCATAAGGGTGAAGCACCACCTGCTTTCCCTCTGGTTTTTCAAGATAGAGCTTGCAGTGGAAAAGAAGATGGATAGAGGCTTTTGTCCAATGAGTATTCTTCCTACGCTCATGGGTTTTCGTTGGTCTCTGTCATGGCTTCCTATTTGACCATCTTGGAGTCCTAACAAGGGTGAAGCACGGTGACAGCTTTTCTACAAGTTGTTGGGCTGGGCTCGTGTGCAATATTGGGTTGTCAACATGTTATTTCCAGCGCTTAATGGGTTTTCGTCAAGCTGCTGGGAATAACCTATTTAATTTTGGGCATTTTATTGATGCTGGCTTTGTCTAAGTGCTATGGCAGACTATTAGATATCATCCTAAGGCATTTGATCATTTTCTCCCATCTCTCATGCTAACCCATGTGTTTGGGCTCAAGAAATGAGCTTGAGTTTTGGGGCTCCCAAGCAGCCCAAAATTTCCATTTCTTGGCTCATTAATGGGCCCCATGAAAGCTCGTTATCATCCATACCACAACCCACTCAAGCAAGCCCCAGACATTTGCGTGGCTTGAGCCCACTTAAGCTTGTAGTGTGGCTATGTGTGAAATAATGATTTCCTACTTGGCATGACATGTCAATTGGTGTGCTTGAATTTTATAGTCTTTGAAAAGAGACATAATGCTTGACAAAATAATTAGCATGAGCTTGTAGAGCCAATGTCTTTTATAGGCTCATTTTAATTCTTAGCGTGATAAATTGCATATTTATTTGGCATGACACGTGGTCGTGGCTCGTGAAAGCATGCATGACGAATTCCGCATGCTCCAAATCGGATCTTTTCTTAATAAAGTGTCGCATTGGGCCAAGAATTTATTTGGGCCCAATCCTAGATTTTTTGGGCCTCAACATTAATTTAGCTCTTTAACAAATTTTTTAGTAAATTAAGAACTCCAATTGTTTAAAAATCGCCAATTAAGGACCTATCGTTAATTTTTTCAAATTCCATCTAAGGAGAGTTTATTCAATTTTGATTTTAAATTATTTTAAAAGAGTTATAAAATTGATGGAGTTTAATTGAATTTAATTGAGTTTCACTGAATTCTACAAACTCCACATAGATTTTGATTGAATTTGTGTATAGATTTGAACTGAGTTTGTTATAATTTTATTATTGATTTTAATAGAGTTTATAGCCACGACAGTAGTGGTGATTACAATGGTAGTGGCGATGATGGTTTGTTGGGGAGGAGGTAGGGGTGGTAGTGGTGGTGGCAGTGGGAGTGAGGTGGTGGAGAAGGTGAGGGTGGTGGTGAAGGTGGTGGTGGTGTCGGTGCCGATGGCAGTGATGGTGCTAATATTGGCAGTGGCTGTGGTGGTGGTGACGGTGAGGTTTATGGTAGGGGTGGTAGTGGTAGTGGAGATGGGCGTAAGGGTGGTGGCGGTGATGGTTGTGACGGTGAGCATGATGGTGGTGGTGGTGTTGGGGGGGTGGTTGCGATGGCTTTGGTGGTGGTGGTGGTGGTGGTGGCGGCGATGATGGTGATAGTCATGATAAGATGGTAGTAGTAGAAGTGGTGAAATCATATCTTGAGAATAAAAATAATATATCTATCAAAATCTTTGGGGGAAAACAAAGATTTGTCATTGCCTAAAATAGTCTAATATCAAACGAAATCCACCACTTTTTGTATTTCTTTTAAAATCAATGAGTTTTTTAATTGAATACATTCAGAATTGAATAGACTTCTATAAAATTGTGATTGAATACCCCGGAACTTTTAAACTTCTTTAAAATCTTTTAAAATCTAAATTGAATACACCCAAATTTCCTTCTAAATTAAGGGTAAATTCGTAATTTAATGATTTTTGTATTTTTATAAATAAAATGAAAATCCTCACCTACCCAGCCCCACCCTCGATGCACCTCTTCCCTCCCCGCCCCTCTGTGTCTTTCTCGCCCCTCCCATCTAAATTCTAAACCCACCCACATCCACCACATCCAACCCCATCACCATTTTCAACTTAAAGCACACACACAACACTCTTCCCCATAACCCCAAGCTCTCTCTCTCTCTCTCTCTCTCTCTCTCTGTCTCTCTCTCTCTCTTATTTGTATATAGAAGATAGTTCAAGGTTTGAAACTATTACCATATAGTGCATATCAGGCCCATCATCATCAATTCCTACAAGAACACCACCTGTTGGTGCTCCAGTGGACACGATTTCTACATTTCCCCCAGTATGCATATGCAATAATGCACTCTCAATTAAATTGCTCAGAGCCTGTCGCAAAGCAGGTTCTTCTATAGCAACCTGCAAATTGATAGAGGGGGAAGAGAGAGAAAGAGAAAAGAGAGAGAGAGAGAGAGGAGGGGATGGGCGGCGACGCTAGGGTGAGGTGGAGGCGGGTGGCGTTCACGAGAGGGTAGGGTGAGGGTGGGTGGCGGTGAGGAGATGGTGGGGTGCTAGGGTTTGGGGATGAAGATGAGGGATGGGTCATAAATTTTTTTTTCTCCATTTTTCATATTATTTTTAAACAACTATTTAATACTATTATTTTGATAGTTTTATAGAGTATTATTTTATTTTATTTTTGCAAAATTACAAATTTATCCTTAATTTAACGAAAAAGTGGATGACTCTTATTGTAGGCTCTCAATTGGCGATTTTTAAACAATTGGAGTCTTTAATTTACTGAAAAAATTATTTAGGAGCTAAATTGGCAATATACAAATAGTTAAGAAGGCAAAACTGCAGAAAATCCTTGGGAAAATGACATAAAGATACCCCTTTGTTTTTTTTTTTCTTTTCTCGATCTTTACTTCTTGCTCTCAAGAAAAATGATGTATATTATAATTTCTAAGGGAAGCAGGGTAGTAATTTAGATGTTTTACTCATGCAAAACCAATGTGTTTGTTTATATAGAGACAAAAATGTACTCATATTAAAGGAAATATTTTTTCTCACAACTTTAATCTAATGTATACTTTCATCATTATTCTCAACACTTGACACGAGTTCATGAGCCTAATTATAATTAACTTTTTGTTTTGTATTTATGGAACCATGGTTATGCTCATAAATACGTGTCAAGTGTTGAGAATGGTGATGATAATCTATATATATAAAGCAAAAAACAGAGAATGATGAAACATTTAAAATACTAGAAAATATCATTGGTTAATTAAACATTAAGAATTGAAATTATTAATTAAATGAGGATAATATGGTAAATTCATATTTTTTATATTAAAAAATTAAAATTCAAAACAAAATCAGATAATATGTCCTACTTATATGGGATATAAATACCCATGTTATCTTTTCATAATTCAAAAAATAAAATCATGTGCCAAGGAGGTTAGTACACATTGAGTTAAAGTGGTGAGCAAAAATGCTCTCTATATTAAATAGTTTAATATGTTATGTTATGATATCGTTGAGATAACTCGGTACATTAAGATTGTTTAATGTGAAACTTTACGCCAAACTAATATAGCTTGGATATGTTTCCATATTTTGCCCCAAACTACAAAGCTTTGTGGATCACATTCACATGCACATATGTCAGGCTCCATGGTGCAAACATGACAGCAGTTTGAATAAGAAAATTAACTAGCTTTTTTTTTCTTTTCCTGCAACGCCTGTAAATGGAAAGCTAGTTTGGTCTAGGTCCTTTTTGTGACAGCACCTAATCTGTTGCTTCCCAAGGACATTGAATTCAAGTTCAGACCTATCCGCTCAGTTGTCCACCAACAACCACAACCTCTCAAAAAACAAAGAAATATAATGCTAATAAGAGGAAAGTGGCTTGTAAGAACTTGTAACTCAAGTGATTAAAAGTATTTATCCATTTATTTTTGAGATTCTAAATCCGATTATCAAGAGGCAATACAACAAATTTAGATTCAGAAAATAACGCAACTCAAAAGCAATAAATGGACCTTGGACATAGACAATTCGTATTCAATCAACAGAAAAGAAAAGGAAACCAAAAAAGCTAAGTTCAATTTAATTTCTTCCTTTGGATTTTGGATATAAATATTCCAACGACTCCAATTCTTTTTCATTATTAAGGTTCAGGGAAGCTAAAATCAAAATGCTTGAATGTACCAGTGCTGATGAATGAGGCTCACCAACCACCCTATTGACTAGAAAAACTGTCCTGCAATTGGGTGTATATATCCCTCCTCTTATATCACTCGTCACGTGATATGTAAGTTTTTCTTTTTATTGACTCGAGTATATCACTCGTCAAGTGACTACTCAATCACGCAACTCCGGTATATGTAAGTTTTTTTCTCTATCAATCCAACGCAAGAGTCAAAGCCACATGTGGTAACTTCACAAGTTACAACCCCAATTTCAGAATGGTGTCACTACTTCTCCCTATCAGCATGCAAAAAACATTAACAACCGTTGACCTAACCCAATTGCTTTTTCACAAGTCGATACAAATTTTGTGGACAAACAACTGACCAAAGATGCTACGAGGGCGAAAAAAGAAGATATATTCTTGAGGGATTACCCGTCAAGTAAACATGCTATGTTTTGCATAACACTAATTAGCTAATGTGTTCTCTATCTTTAACATTACTCAAAAGAAAAAACCGTAATCTAGTAAAGACCGAAGGAAAATTGATGCTTTGCATTTTGCACCCAATTGTAACACTGATCGCCCAACAATCTATTTTTCTTGTAGAAAGCCAAATTGAAAAGCATTTGTGAACCATGAAATGGTAGCATGAATGCAAGTTCTAATGGAACCCCATGATCCCATTGATTACCGATGCACCTCTCCCGCCCTTTATCAAGACAAATTTGGTTCGCATGGTTGGTTTTTTAAAATTTAAAATTTTATTATGCAAGACATCTTGTTTAGCATATGATTATTTGCTCATACAGAAGTCATATACATCCCCTCAACAAACCGGCCTACACATGAAATCCAACCAATACAATGAATATTGTTCTAACTATACGTAGTGAGAACCTTTCTCTAATGTGAGATAAAGGAACCAATTTATGATTGTGTTGGTGTTTTTTGTTGTTGAAAAATTTGCTTTATTCAAAACAATATAAGCATCTTAAGAAAATACAACGGATGGCAAAAGAAAAAACCCAAACGTAAGAGACAAGAACAAAAACATGATCTCAAAAAAATATTCCAATCCCTAAACCGTGATTGGGTTGAAGTTGGGCTGCACACACTTCCAATATCCTCCTTACAAATGATCCAATTACTTCGAGCCTTCATGGGATTGCATAGGAAGTTGTTAAAGCCCAATGCTACTCTAAAGTTTGTTGTTGTTTCGCCCTCTTGAGTTGTTAGACTTAAATCTCTATAAAACAACCATAATAATAATCGAACGGCTATAAAATTTTGAAAGGTGAGATAAAAGCAGAAAGGCGCTAGTGCATTGCACGGCTGCCCCGCTGCCGCTGCCGCTGCCGGCTTTTTATAATTTAGTAAATCAATTGTGTTTTCATTTTATTTATTTTCCCATAATACCCTCCTCTGGAAGCATCGATCGCCAATTGTGTCACATTCCACTTTTCGCCCAACCAGGGGCATTGTCGCGATTCCACTCTAAACCAGTCAAAGCCGAGACAACAACGGCACAACATGATTACAGGTCCTTTACGACTTAGGTCCACCCAAAATTAATTTTCTAAAATTAATCTCTTAATCTTTTTTTTTCCTCTAAACACCGGCGCCGAAACAAAATCCCTGTCCCTTTTTTTTAAAATATTTTTTTTCTGAGTCAAATAAAGTAAAACCAAGAGCTAAATTCTTACTTCATTGGAAAGAAACAAAACCAACCAGAGCCTACAATTTGTCTGCTTCCATCTTCCTCCTTTCTGATCTCCCCCTCCCCCCCAGCTGAGAGCGAGCTGACTCAGTGCGAGGAAATGAGTCAGGAATCGTTCATATACAGCTTTGTGGCCAGGGGCACAATGATCCTGGCCGAGTACACTGAGTTCACCGGTAACTTCCCGGCGATTGCGACTCAGTGCCTTCAGAAACTGCCGTCTTCTAACAACAAGTTTACCTACAGCTGCGATCACCACACCTTCAATTTTCTCGTCGAGGATGGCTATGGTGCGTAATTCAATTCTCACCCTTTAGCTAGCTGATCTCTATCTCTCTGTATCATTTTCTTTTTACTTTCTCTCGGTTCCCAAGAACGAAACACTCTGGAAGCTTGAATTGCATGGAAGTAGTTGGATCTAGTGCTAAACAGTATAATTTTAGTATGTATGATCTGGTTGTGCTTGGTTTGTTGCTGAAACTTGAAAAGCAGTGAACTTTTTTAACTGGGTTTGAGCTTCTCATAAATTTTGGTTTTTTAGCTGTTTGATCGCTGAGAAATGGTAAAAAAAGATTAAAAATTCGAATTTTGAGTTTGCTTTTTGAGTTGTTTTGCTTTCCGACACTTTAAAAGAGTTTGTGTTTCAGCTCAGTTTAGTAGGATTAGAAATCAGTTGAGTTCTGGCATGTAGCGTTAGTGAAATTGTTCAAAAGAATGGAATTCTATGCAAGTAATTGTAGAAGTTTAGGGATGGAAGAAGTACTGATTTAAAGAACACCATTTGATTAATAAAGAATGCGAATAAGCTCGTCCTTGTTTAGATTCTGGAAATTCAATTCCTATTGTGAATTATTATTAATTCACTTTCAACAGAAGAAAAACAAATATGATATTCTCCAGGATTCGTATCACAGTCCGTTACTTTATGTTCGTTTGGTACTAGAACCTATATATCACATTACACCATGCATCCCATTAGTACGCAGCCTTGAATATAAATGAATCCTCCACAGAGTTTTGAACCCCTCACCTCTCTATAAATAAGTATCTATTAAGGCATATGAAAATGAGTATCAGTTTGTGGGGGATCAACAGCTTAGTTGATAAGACATATTACCCCACATCTATGGTGGGAGTTCAAATCTCGACTCTAGACTTTTGGCCTCCAAACGAAAAAGGAAAAGTAGTTTCAGTTCTAGCATTGTGCGGTTGTGTCAGTTGGCAATTGAGATTACCTGTGAATTCATTTAAACATAGCACAAGCACATCAGTTTTGTCATACAGGTCCTGGGGTTGAACCATTTCAATAGCTAGATGTTTGTTTTTATGATGTTTTATGCCATTACTCTTTGCATACAAATCTTTCATAGAATAAAAACTTTATGTTATTTCTGAAGCAACCATTAGTGCTAGTTCTTAGTTTCTAGTTGAAGTGGTATTTAACGAATCAGTACTGCAATCTGTTATTCTCTTTTGTTTTCTGTATGCGTCTATGTGTGTGTCCAAGTCAATGCACTTTCAATCAGTAAGTTTTAGTGGGCAATGTATGTGGCATCAAACCTTATATACAGTGTTTTATTGAATTTGCAGCGTACTGTGTGGTTGCCAAAGACTCTGTTGGCAAACAGATATCTATTGCATTTTTGGAACGAATGAAAGCTGACTTTAGAAAAAGATATGGGGGTGGTAAAGCAGATACGGCTATTGCCAAAAGTCTTAACAAGGAATTCGGGTATGTTCATTCAAGATAGACTTTATGTAATTTATGCAAGTATCTCTATGCTTTTGAGGGCAATTTTCTGTCCAGGTGGTCAACTAAGATGGATTTGTAAATTACAGACCAATAATGAAAGAGCACATGAAGTATATTATCGATCATGCAGAAGAGATTGAAAAGCTATTGAAAGTGAAGGCGCAGGTTTCAGAAGTTAAAAGTATAATGTTAGAGAATATTGACAAGGTAAATAAACCTCGATGAGTTACACGTGGTTTCTGTTCTCAATTATAGTGCATATTTTCATTTTTCTTTTAGTTAGTAATTTTCCATCTGCATCTACACTACACACTTTTTTTGTATCTGGTAACATACACGTAGGTCTAATTAGTGATGTTGTCACAACAAACTTTTCTTTTCTTTAGTAGAAACTTTCTTTTAGCATGCACGGGCCTCTCCCCTGTTTCTAAAATTTGGCCTCCCTCAACATTTGTACTCAGAAGACACACTGATCCTCACTAAGATGGAGACAAACAATTAAGAGTAATGCTGTTATCAAAGAACTAAAATGTCTTTATTATCTTTAATCAAGTAAGTTGACGAATTTAGCCTTTCAAAAATCTATGAAATATTGTATAAACCAGACTTATATGAGACTTCTGAGAGAGATGAAATATTGTTTAATCAAGTAAGTTGACAGATCAAAATCTTCCGGTTAACATTTATTTGTAAAAGAAAAGTACTTGAGAGAGATGTGACCCACCAGTTGTGGTGTCAAATGGCTTCATCATGAATGTATGTGATCTATTCATGTTGGTGGTGTGGTACTGTTGGTGTTGGGGTTTTCTGAGGCTGGTGGAAGTCATTGCAATTCGCAATAAAAAAACACGGAGTATCTTTTGTAGATTAACTTTTCCAATTATTCTTTTGGCAAGGGAGTGATCTGCGTTTCAACCCATACATGCCAAGCTTTTTCTTAAAGGCAAGTTAAGAAGTCTTTTATTTTCTGGCAAAAAACAAAAGAAGTCTTTTTATATTTAGTTCACAACCTCTTAAACAGAGGAATCTCAAACTAAGAAGGAACATAAAGATATAGTGAGACAAGGAGATCTTGCTGGTTTGTTAGTCTATTCTTTGAGTGTGGTTTTGTAGTTCACAGGTTCCATGGATTGTTGGAGAGGGGCTACTGGGGCTTCTGTGATGCTGTAAATGTTGCTGTGCTGTATGCGTTGTCATTTGATATTCAGTTAACTATTTAAAATTCACATGAGTATAATTCTTAGAAACAAATGGGAGGTCCCTGTATTTGTACTATATTGCAGTAGAGTTTGGAGTGATTTACTTGTTTTGACCAAACCATTTAATCCAAGGACCAGAGCATCTGGTGCTGTAACTGGAAGATGCTCTCTCTGCTTGGAGGTAAATTTGCAAACTGAGTGTTTAGTTAAAGAGGAGGGATAAACTAAGTTGCCTTATGCTACTAGCATTAAATTTTAATTCATTTTTCCTTTAACTAGGCCTGGTGGTGCTGTATGCGTCTCTTCTTTTTGGCATTCAACATCTTGCATGTATCAACCTTGCTTTATTAACTTCATTTCATCATTTTAAAGGTTCCTTTCATCTGTATTGGTTTATTATATCCTACAAACTAGGCAATAGATGTCGCATTTCATGTTAATTCCTCCCGTATATGTTTTCCAGGCTATTGATAGAGGGGAAAACCTGACTGTTCTTGTTGACAAGACTGAAACCCTTCGTTCTCAGGTAAGTTGAGTCAAGAGAGCAACCCTGCCCGTTTATCTGCCATATACATCTTAGTTGAGTACTGAACACCCTTGTTTGTTGCACTTTTCAGGCCCAAGACTACAGAAGTAAGGGGACACAAATCAGAAGGAAAATGTGGTATCAAAACATGAAGATAAAGTTGGTCGTTTTCGGAATCCTGTTACTTCTGGTCTTGGTAATCTGGGTTTCTATTTGTCATGGATTTGACTGCACAAACTAGTAATAATTAGGCACAAAGCTTTGCGTTCAAATTATACCATACATGGGCTTCAACAATGCACAGAGATTTCTTACATTCTGGTCTTTATCAAATTGTTCGTTATGTTTCTAGATTTTATTTTAATACAGCAACAATGCGAACGCGGTTTTGGTTTTATTTTTATTTTCAAAATTTCAGTTGACCGATTAGATCAGAAGATCCCTCGTGTGTTCCAAAAGAAATTTGTGTGTAAATTTTATACAATTCAATTCACACTTCAATTTTTCCTTCCCGATTCTTTAATATACATCGGGAGACTTTTACGACTTTTACATATGGGTTCTACAAAGAAAGAGTTGGGGAAAACAATCTAGTTTGGTAAACCAAATAAATGTGGTTGACGAAAAACGTTTGGTTCGTTTGAGACATCTGTTAAAATTGGAACGATACATAGAAGTTTAGCATAGTGGAATGATACATAGAAAATTAGAATGGCGAATGATATATGTTGACGCAGAAAAAATGGTTCTGCACTTTCCCGCGTAACTTAGTGATGTTGGGCCTTTAGTATGCTCTGGGCCTCAGTAGAGCGCGTAATCTGCAAGATAACAAAAGCTTGGTAAGACTTAGGGCACCGGTGTGGTACCGGCTGAAGGCTCTCCGATGCTTGAGTAAGTACAAATTTAGTAAAGTTGAACTACATATCAATAGACAGTATGCCGTAAGTTCTGATTATCTCCATTTTGGGATAGTTGTCATCTTTTATAGACCTTGAGAGGTGTGCATTTTGTTTGGAATTTTAATGTGGGACTGTGGACACCAATTGTGGGACCGCCACGTGTCCCAGAGGGGGATGTTGCCCTAATCGTGGGATCGGTAGGCTGGATGCCGAAGCGAGGTGCCGAAGGCTACCATAGCTCCAGTTTTGCCCACGTGTCCGACTCTCATTGCCAGGGCCGTCCCTGAGATTTTGAGGGCCCTGTGCGAAACTTAAATTGGGGCCTTACATAATTTAATACGAAAATACTATAAATACAAATTTGCCATAGCTTAATGTCATAAACAATTTTTTTATAACTAAAAGTCACCATCAATAAACATGTAATAACAATCAAAAATCAAATTCATAAAAATTTAAATGTTTCCATTTGATAAAGTTAAATATTGGTATATTTGATACAAAAATAAGCTCCTTATGCCCTTATAAGATCCCTTTCTACCTCCTATAAGCAATCTGTGTTTAATAGTAAAAACAAATTGGCAATCTATGTAGCATGTGATTATTTAACAATGAATCTATCAAGATTCAAGAGCTCATCTTTGAGATTGAGTCAATTCCTCGATTATTCTTTTTTTAAGTCTTTTTGTATATCCAAAAATGTATTTTCTAGTAGGTGGCATGTTTAGATTACAAAGAAAAATTCCAAAACCTTGTAACCTGGAAGAAAACTCCAGCAAGAAATAGATAAATATTTCTAAAAACCATATTATCATATAACCAATCATCATCATGATAATAATTTAATAAAATAAGTCATGTAATATATAGATTGAAATTTAGATATATACCTGAATTTGAAATGAGCTTTGATTCTGACTATTTGAATTTAGGAATTATGGTTTTCTCTTTTTGGGGTTGAAATTCTTGAAATTGAAAGAAGTACAAAAATTGTCAAATGATTGAAAAACAGAACCAAAGAGAGATTGATGAATGATGATGATTACTTATTAGAAAATCAAAGTTTGAGAGAAAGAAAAAGCCATGAATTTTTTTTTTTTTTTGGTTTATAAAGAAAGTACTTTTCTTGGAGGAGAATATATATATATTTTAAAGGTGTGCTTTTGTTTTCGTTTTTTTTGGTTGAAATTTTATAATTATGTAAAGTTTGTTGTTAACTTGTTATAATAAAAAATAATATAAAAAAAGGCAAATAAATTGGCATTAATGAGATTCGAACTCGTGCGCCCCTGTTAAGTGGAGTTTCGCTGGGAAGCCAACTCCACCACGAACACTTCTGTGCAAATATTTAGCACGCTATAGTATATATACACTTTATATAATATTAATATATAATTTAAAGAAATTTTTTTTCGGGGGCCCTCAAGAATCGGGGGCCCTGTGCAGTGGCGCCACTTGCACCACCACTGGGCGTCATTGCCTGTTCACTTTGGTATAAACAATACATAAAAGATTAGCATGACTCATGCGCAAGAATAACACATGAATCGGAAATGGTCCGAAGTTTTTTATAATAAAAAAAGACAACAAAATGACAATCTAGTGAGAGACTAATTAAAAGCGGACAAATATTAATTAGAGTATTCAGACAAATATTAATTATTCAACTGAAACAGACTGATTAAAAGCGGACAAATATTAATTAGAGTATTCAACTCAACTGAAACATCCGATTCCTTTCATCATCATCATCCTGAGAAAATTTAAGCTTGAAAGAATGGCAGCACAAAACGTCCGAAGGTGTAAAGACAAATGAGTAGAGCTATAGGTTATGATTATTTAGAAGCACCATAAGTCATGGCCTGCCAACCAAACCACTAAACTCTTTATCTAATCATTTTCTTCTGTAATGTACCGACCTTAAAGTAGTGAGTGAGAGTCCCATGAAATTAAGGAAGGCGCAGCAGAAGAATATACGGAAGCAAAAGTTTGAAAAACAGGACACTCCACCTCGAAAATTCAAACTCTGGAACACAACTTTTTTGAAACAAAAATTAAAATAAACTAAACTATAATATTAGTACGAAAGGCGTGCTGAGACTGAACTCAAGTCTACATCTCGCCCTAATATTACATCCTAATCAATTGGAAATTTGGCACAGAAAGGTGATTTTAGAGCTAGGTTTCCCTTTTGGTGAGTAGGGTTTGATTGGGGAAGAGACTTAACGAGCCCCTAAGAAACCATGGAACTTGTATATATATATATATATATAATTATTTATGTGTATATTATAAACGACTTAGTCAGATGTAGGTTAGGTCAGTTGGTCAATACATGTAGTGTATTCGTCTTCTCGCATTTGAGTTCGATCGAGCTTGATAATGAGTTAATTATTTCTCTTTTCTTTTTTCTTTATAAAAATAAAATAAAATTGGTGAGAGTAATTGATGAGGCAAAATTCAAACTGTCGGTTTGTTGACATGAGTTAATACAAATATGTCATGTATATGCTTCCATTTTCAACATTCCTTTTATTGCCATAAGGATAATATATACAATGTGTGTAGTCCAGTTGGCTCTCATATATACATACATATATATATATGTATATATCTTCTTCTAAACTGTTTGACAAGTATTGCATGGCAATGATGGCATTGATATGACACAAGCTTTGACATTGCCGTCAAAATCAAACTCACATAAGAAGACAGAAAGGATCCCTCTCCCCATCCTTTGTGGATAGGAACCGGATGATATAAAGAAGAAAACAAAGAGCTCCCTTACCTTGCTAGCTATCATTGATCCTTTTCTCAGTTGGCGCTCGATCAATTCATTCATTCATACTTTGTTGCCCTTTGGAATCAGAAGACCATATCATTATTAATTTGAAGGAACTGACCACTGCATGAAAAGTCAATTCTAGCCCATTCAAACAAGGGATGGGGGATGGGGGCTTTTTGCCATACGAATGAGAAAAGAGATGAGCTCTAATTTGTGCTCTCTCATGACCCTTCATGCATCATGGGCTCTCGGCCGTACGATCTTTTTGACACATGTTGATAAGCCTCTTATCCACACTAGTTTTTGGTGCCTCTCTCTTACTTTAGCTTTAGGGTTTGGATAGTAGAAGATCTCTCCTCCATAACGTCCTTTAAAGCAAATGTTGCTTGGAGGACATGCATGGCAAATTGGCAAATTGGCAATGGCATGATATATGGCTCCAAAAACTCTGGATTAATTCATGCATGGCCACCATATATCTCGGAAATGTATAGGAGAATGTTAGTAGGAAGAAGTAAATTGCGTTAGAGTTTGGGAAGAACGATATTAATACCCTATTAGGGTACGCAGGGCTCGAGGTCCTCCTCCTTAGGAGGATATATTCCACCACTTTTTGGTGTACCCTAATATCTCTGTCCCTACTTTTTTCAGTAAGGGACCCATGTGTCGTATCGAACTATCATAATAATGTCAGGTTTATCAAATTTGTTTATTTAATTTATCTATCAGATGATTTTCCAGTATCTAATTATCGCATTATTTGGTGAGCAAAATTAATGAGTGCGTAGCAACTCTAACTGTCTTGCGTCCTTAAATTCGGCTCTAACTACTTGAATTCAACTTTCTAAACTTAAAAACAGAATTTGAGTCCAAAACTCAAAAAATCTGTTTGGTAGACTTAGTTTTGAAAACCTAAACTAAAAGATCACTCAAAATCACCAAAATACTTGAAAATAGATAAAAATATGTTTTTCTAGAATTTTTTTTCTTCGAGAAACTATTTTCAAATTGCGCACCAAACACATTTTTGAATCTTAAAACATGAATTTTATGACTCCTTGTTTTTAAAGTTTTTGAGTTCCTACTTTGATTACCAAACTCCACCTAACACACTTCATGTTGGATTATATATATGCTAGGTCAAAACGATGCTTGCTTTATAGGATGAGACAGAGCTTTCAAGAGTCGTGTTAGAGTTGGCACAGCCAAAATTATCACTCTCTTCGTTTTAACATTTTCTCCTGAAGGATCGGATGACTTATATTCTTTGCTCCTTGAGTTGGACAAATTTCTATTTCCATTTCCGGCAAAATTTTCCGTTTCGAGTAAAAGAATATTTCAATTTCCCTAAGCCACAGATAAAGTTTCGATATTTCAAGAAAATACTTATTTTTGTCTCACCCAAAATTAGCTACTTGCTGACTTGCATGTCCATGGCTTTGTATTATTCCACTTTTGGGCTCGGAAAAACTCAATAATTGCCTCTCACTTGTTTGATTTGCGTAGGGTAATTTTGGGATTTCAATGAATTTTCTCTGGGCGGATAGAACTGGCCAGTTGTCACACACGTGGTGGCACCACGTTGTTGGTAAGCAAACCAAATGGTTGGCCTAAACGTGATCCATTTTATCGCATTCCCATTTAAAATTTTTAATGATCTAGTTTTTCGTATATTGCCCAATTGATTTGGCTTTAATGTTTTTTTCTTTTTTTCTTTCTTATATTGGTGTTGATTCAACCTACAAGTTTGCTAGAAAGGATGTGCTCCATACTAGTTCTTATCTTCCTCTATGTAGTTTAGTATTGTATACTATCAAAAAACGTATAATAATATACAAACAAATTAGGCGACATGTCGTTGCCCCCTCATCCCCTCTCTTAATCCATGCCAATCAACATGCATTTCTCCAAGCAAAAGGTCTGGCTCCTTAAAATTGAGGAGGAATTCATTCTTACAACCAATGTGGTTTTGACATGTGTAATTTTTTATAATAATAATATTCTTTTTTCTTTTTGTTGATGAATTTCCCAATTGTCAAAACCCCATTAGTTTTAAGGAGAAGCTCCTCCTTAATTATAAGGATCCAAGCTAGGAAAAAAATTTGGATCCTTAAAATTGAGGAGGAACTCCTCAAAACAAATGGAGTTTTGACACTTGTCATTCTTTTTTTTCTTCCTTTTTAATAAATGTCAAAATCCTATTTCTTGTTCCTCCTCAATTGACATGTGATGTACATGGAACATATAAAAATTTCTCTAATTTTAAGGAGCCAAACCATCCTCCAACATAAATTCTATAGAAAGATAGAATTCATGTATCTTACCTATTATGTTTTCAAACTGTCTATAGAAAGGAAAGAACATCACCAACATAATTTTCATTTAGTTTAAATTTCTTTCTCTTCTAGTTAGAATTTTGTCATTAAGGGGCATGGAAATTGCTGGCTCTTCTGATTCTTTCCAAGGAAACAATAGGGCATTTAAAATAAATAAAAAAATAAATAAAGAAAACCCATCAAGAATCGAGACCCAATTTTCATTTCACAATGATCCTTGATTAATTATAAAATTCAATTTGTACATAACCAGAGCACCCTAAACTAAACCCAATTAAATTTCACCTACAAATCAAACCGAATCAAACCAAACCAAACCAAACTAAACCAAACTAAAACTCAAAAGTGAACCCCAAATCAGAACAAAAAAAAAAAACCATACATAAATTATATATTAACACACAATTAAGTCATCACCAATCACATGCAGCAGGGTAGCTATATATAACAAGTACCAAGGAAGGACTACATGTCCCTCACTTCAAACACATTGCGGTTTTTAACAACGATGTCGAACATGTGCATGGACTTGAACTTGCTGAAATCCTTGGGGAGAGAGATGAGATGGACGGTGGATCTTTTGTGGAACTGGAGAAGGTCTGGGTCGTCGTAGTACCGCTCCCAACCCAGCGACAACAGCTTGCGCTCGAGCACGGCGTAGGAGCTGATCACTTCCTCACTTGGGGTGTGGACCAGCACCTTGCGCCTGGAGTTGGAGCCCTGCATGGAATCCGCCCCGTCCACGAGTCTAACGACGCCGTTCTTGAAAACCCAAACCCCAGACATGTTTGATAATCAAGAGCTTAATTAAGTAAGAAGGCAAAAAGCTGGTAGTGAGTGAGAGAGAGAGAGAGAGAGAGCTGAGAAGGAGAGAGAGTGAGAGTTGTTATGAGCCATTGAGCCTGGAGATGTAGTGTATATATATATAGGAGAGAGATGAGATGGAAAATGTGATGTGGTTAATTTATTATTTTTATAATTGAGGAGAAATAAAATTATGGGCATGTTTGGATGTGGTTATAGTGGGGTAAGGTGGGGCCCACTTGATTGGGGTGGTCTTAGCCAGGATACAATAGGGGTCATGGTGTTTGGGACATGCAGCCATGGACCAGTACCAATCACCTATCTAAGTGTGTGTGGGCATATCTCATATATCCGCTAGGAGAGAATCCTTTTTTTTTTTTTTTCTTTCTTCTTTTTGTTTTTGTTTTTTTTAAGGCTTTAACCCCACATTGGGAATCTTTGTTTTGTTTGTGGAAAAAATATTAGGATGGAGACTAGTTATTCTCGAGAAAGCTGGCTAGCAGACTAATAGAAAATGATCATGACTTTCATATTTTTTGTGGATTAAATTGCGGGCATGAAAAAACACATACAGCTATCACTATTTGTAAGCTGCCGACGGATTATCTCTGCGGATGTTTGTACGCGGGCATCGGTTAAAGGCAGTTTGATGTTGATGGTTTGGAGTTTTGAGTTTTGAGTTTTGAGTGAGAGGGATGTTTGTATGCATGCATGATGTAATTCAATTAGCTAAGGCTACATCATATACCTTGGAAGGTGGAATAGTTTGAATTGGGGATGATGAAATTTACTTTGTGACACATATATTCCATCTTCAAAAACAAAGCGAATAACGGAATTTATTATCTATTTTAAAAACACAGCGAATAACGGAATTTATTATTTTATGATGTAGGTTGAATTACATATGTATAGTAGGAGTAATGTTCTCTTGTCGTACGTATCTTTCCGAACAAATATTGCTTATGTTTTTCAAAAGTGAACTTAGATTACAAGTTTTGAAAACTATATATCAACTTTGAACCATGATCTAATTCCCATGCGATATAAGATCTTGTAGATGAAAGGTTTTTGCTTTACTCATTTGAAGTATCACTTTGAATAAAATAAAAGAGGGAACTAGTGTGGATTTTAATTAATATATATATAGGAGAATTGGACGGTCATGGAATAAAATTTCTGTAAGAGGGAAATTTGAGATGCTCAAGGCATTGTAGAGTTATAAAAGTTTAATGTCTTTTTCCAGAGTATGTGAATGGCTGTGGCAAAGAGATGACTGATGAGCTGTGAAGGGTGGGACCAAAAAGAAAAGGATTCTCAACTCTAGTTGTTGGGAGGTATATTTGGGGGTTCAGTATAATTCACTTTCTGTAGAGATGACCAATGTGAATCCCCCACAGGCCCCCCCGTGCAGTTATCTGCCTAACTGTTGACTAGCTACTTGCCTCACCAGTTACACACATGCGCTATAAAATAATTTTTGGGAATTTCAATGTGTCGGTATCTCAAGTTAATTATGTCTTATAATTTTTTATTATATGATAGTGTGTTAATTGATTGGGATACAACCACAGTGACATTCCCGTGTATGTAAGTTTTTCTCTCCCGGTCTCTTCCCCAACTTTTGTTTTATCTATTAGGTAATTAGGTAATGTCATCATCATGATCTTACTTTGCATTATATGAAGAGACCTCTATAATTTGCATTTTATATTTTTGGCTAGCTACTTAGAGCTAGGAAATTATGGTATGTGTCTGAGGGGGAGTAACCAAAAACAACTAGGAGCTAGGAAACTATGGTATGTGTCTGAGGGGGAGTAACCAACAACAATTAGGAGCTAGGAAATTCAAAAAAGCAGTTATATGGATTCCAGCAGAATCTAATCCAACCCAACCAAACCAAACCAATGGATAGATGGTGTGATATATGCATGGAGTTTGTTGCCCTTTAGGACACACATTCTCTTTTCAACAGTGCCATGATCATTCCCTTGTTAGCTTTTGCTTCTTCCTCCTCCAGCCACCTGGCCCTGTGACACAGACCCCAGCCAGACCAAACCCAGCATTTCCCTTCTCATGACAATGAGCTCTGCTTAATTGGGTTTCCAATTTTGACAACTTCTTCCTTCATATTCCTCTCAATCTCATAGTTTGGACCACCCCAATTTTTTTAAGTACTTTTTTCCTTCAAATTCCTTACCCAAGTACTACTCAATGTCTTCTAGAAAATTTCAGAATATTAATCACCTTTATTATTTCTAGATCATTGATGTAGCAATGTCTTCTAGAAATTTCTCTTTACCATTGTCAACGTAATATGTTTATGTCGTAATTTTGTGTCTACAGATCATTGATCATGTTGGTTTTGCCATAATATATATAGTTCAAATTCATTAACAAATTCATTAACAACGTAAGTTTGACAAGAGAACATTATAGATATAACTTACGAGAATGTTATTCCTACTTGTTTTTCATCAAGCCTAACCTAGAAACTTTCAATTCACCCACGAAAGAATAAACCAAAGGGAATGCATCAAGATCATCATGATGTATATATACAAGTGATGCCCCATAAAAGGGAAATTTACCAATTCCCACCTCATGATTCTCTCAAATTTAAGGCACTGTTTGGTAACGTTTTAAGGGGTTGTTTTCATTTTCAATGAACAAAATAAGACAAAAACACGTTCGGTAGCCCAAAAACAGAAAACACTGAGAATGTCAAGTTATCTGGATTGAATCTTTTTTCTTCAAACTTTTTTCTGGGAATTCCAAGTTATCTGAGGGAACATCTCTATAGCCCCGACCAGCTTTTTTCATCATGCATAGTTGCTTGGCTTTAACCCTCTATATATCATCACAGTGTCAGTAAGTTTATATATATATACGAGTCTCCATAAAGTATGGAAAGCTCTATTTCTTGTAACACATATACAACATGTCAACATGCCCATGTGATTGTCCTCCACAAAAGCCAATTTTCCTTTTTTCCTTCTTCTTTCAGGTCCTCCATTTAACTAAGCAAGATATTTGTATATCACCTTTAAAGAAAAGCAATAACGACCTCTCTTAATCACCAAATAAAGGCAGTTTGTTGGTTTTCTCCTATAAAGAGTAATAAATTTGGAGCAAGCACCATGTTTATGTGTTCTCTCCTTGTTCACGTAAGTGCATATAACTATGACTATGTATACATCATGATTCGAATTTAAGGCACAACATTTGAATAAGTGGAGATTAGGACATAATTCCTTTGGAATTCGATTATATATGACCGTCTAATGAGGTCGGTGATATGTCAGGAAGATGTATATTCTTCCTTCTTCGTAATTAAGCAATTAAGCGAGATTTGAGTTTTATAACGAGAAATACGCAGTACTATACGAAGAGCAACATGCCTTTGATTTCTCCTAAGTGGATACTATGTATAGTGTAAAGGAAAATGGAGCGCCTAGTAATCTTTGTTTACACTTTTTTCCCCTTAAAGTGAGTAATTCCAAATGATTATCCACTTAATTTAATTAGTAGTATCTTCAATATAAATTACCAATGGCTTTTCATGCTTGTGTAGTGAACCTATTCTCCATTATACTTATATAATAATACAATAAAAACTCATTGGGTATTTGGGTTTTTAAAAGGGTGAATGTTTTGCGAAGATGTTAATGGGAATTTGTCTTCTATTGAGATATAGAGAGAGAGAACTTTGCTAGAAAGAGAATAAAATAAAGCAATTAGAGAAGGATTTGCTTATCTAGTATTAGTTTATGCCTAACTTTGAATTAGAAAGATGGATTTAGGCCAATGACACTGATTTTGAGAATAAAGTAATAAACATTTGGAATGTAGGATCAATTCCCTCATAAGAACAAAAATTCAGGGGAGCTAATTCTTTTAATCATATTCCAAATTCACTAAAAATGACAAGATCGATCATTTTATTCTAATTCTACTATCATTGGAAAACTAATACTAAGTATGGAACCTGACGTTATCTTTGGTGGTATTCCCTTCTTATAATTGTAAATTTTTTGGTGCACATTCAATGGACTAATGAATTTATAAAAGTAAATTGGGCTTCATACCTCAATGCTCCGTTTGGATGAAGGAATTGCAAATTACATAGAATTTTAAAATGACGGAATTTAGATTTCCGTCATTTCAATTTCTGGCAATTGAAGATTTCAGTGTTTGGATTTATGTATGTCGAATTTTGTAAATAACAGAAATTGAAAATTTCAATGTTTGGATAGCTCATGTAAATTATAAATGAAAGAAATTAAATATTTCGAAAGAGCAAAAAAACTGATAACTGACATAGAAGGTATTCCTCGAAGTATGAAATAACATATCGTTTGATGAACTAAATAACTCAACTTAAACAAACAAAGCATATTAGCAAACCAAATCACTCCCCACGTGCAATGAACATCAGTAACATACTTTTTTTTTCTCAATTGGGAGTGCCTATGGAATTAGAACTAGAAACAATCAGCAATCAAGACCCTGATACTTCTTTTTCACTTGGCAAAAGACCAATGACCAGAGAAACTAAAAGGGCTTTGATTAAAAAGTTGCAAACAAAAGTATAGGAATAAATGATGAAATCAATGAATCACTATCATAAGACTTAATTTAAGTCCCAAAGAATGAAGGAGCACCTTGGCCAAGCTGTAGCTTACGAGCAAGTTGGTGTAGCTTACAATCAACATCTAATGGCTCACACAAAGTGATAAAGCTAACAAACAGCTACAGAGCAAGGCGATAACTCAAAGTGATAAAGCTAGCAAACAACTACAGAGCTGTACCATAAACACCAATCACACACCAATATCCATGGGCATAGAGTATTTTGTTAAAACTTCCCAAAAATCTAGCCACAGTGCCGCAAAGATTACAAAACCCATTCAACACATTCATAAATTTAGTCAAAAACACCCAATTTTGATAGCCATTCAGAAACCATGGTAACCCTAAAATAAAAAATATATAAATTGAAGGAGAGAAAGGCTTGAAGACTAACCTTCAAACTTGATCCAAAGAGCCATGTAACCCAAGAAGAACTCCTTCTTCTTACTTCTCTAGCTGTACTCAATTTTATAGGTTTTTGGCGCTATTTTTTTTATTTTTTTTATTTTTTTTATAATGAAAATTTTGGTGAGTTTTTTTTATGTAAGTTTTGGCACACTGGAAAATATGAATTCCCGCACTACGGAAATTGTGAAATGACGCCTATTCTGGTGGAAATTAAACTCGGGAATTTGATACATCAATTTCCACGATTTTTTCCACGCGTCATTTAATAAGTTCCGCGTTTAAGTTGCCAAACAAGGGAATTGTCAATTTCTTTTCTTCAATTCCCGACTTTTACCTAAATTCCGAATTATTTTCCCTCATCCAAACGGAGGGCAAAAGAACATGCAATGGACACTCCCGCCTCGTTTGTTAGGGAGGATTAGACCACTGGCGGAGCCAATGCATACCCAAGGTGGGCATTGTCCCCTCTTAAATATATATATATATATATATATATATATAAAGCAAAAGGTAGAGAATTGTGAAACATTCAAAATACTAGAAAATGCAATTGACTAATGCAAACATTAAAAATTGAAATTATTAATTAAATGAGGATAATATGGTAAATTCACACTTTTTCATATTAAAAAAAATTAAAGTTAAAAGAAAAATTAGATAATAGATCCTATTTTTATGGAACACAATTACCCATTATCTTTTTTAATAATAAATATTATTATTTAAAAACCTCTCGCAGGCGTGGAAGCGCATGCGGAGAGACTAGTATATATAAAGCAAAAAGTAGGGAATAGTGAAACATTTAAAATACCATAAAATACCCTTGGTTAATTCAAACATTAAGAATTGAAATTATCAATTAAATGAGGATAATATGATAAATTCACATTTTTTCTTATTAATTTTTTTTATAAAAAAAATCATATAATAAGTCATACTTTAATGGAACATAACTACCCATGTTATCTTTTTTTAATTCTAAAAAAGAAAACCACGCATGTGCCAAGGGGCTAGTATTGTATAGACAATTATATGTTAGTGATATTGTAAAAATATTATAAAATTCCTCACAAATTCTTAAATGTCCATTATTTTCTTTGTTTCTCTTTCATTCTCATGTCTAAATTTCTTTTGAATTGCAAGTATTTTGTTATAATAAAAGAGTGATAGGTTATTCATACAAAAAATAAAGAAAAAAAAATAGAGAAAAGTTATAAAATTACGGATTTCTTAAAAACTAGGTTGATTTGTCATAAAAGAACGGTGCCCCCTCTTACTTAAATTCCTAGCTCCACCATTGGATTAGACTAAACTGGATTAAACGGGAGTTTTTATAGTGAGGGGTTATAATGAGGGGATTTAATTTAGTAGTCGAATAATAATTATGCACTAGATCGGATAGCTATTAAGAAACCCCTCATTATAAGCGCTCAATTTTACCCCTCATTATAGCCTTCCTGTGGACTAGACTAGCAAAGCGGCTACATTTTATTTGCAATTAAGGTATAATATGGATATTATTATCTAAACTTGGAGAATGAATGATGACTATTCATAAGAGGTGATGGCTAAAACTTATCCCTTATAATCCCGCCATTTTCAAAGGAATTATGGGGGATAAGTTATAGTCATCAACCTCTTATAGATAGTCCCTATTCTTAGGCAATATATTTTTATATTATGTCTTAAATGCACAAGAAATGTATGTGTTTTTCTAGTCTAGTTTAGTCCAATCTAGTCCTCCCTATTAAATAAGCTCTCAATAGTAAAAGAAGTTATTTATTCACATACGTAATACACGTGACGAGAGAGATAAAAGAAAGGAGGACGTGAAACTAAAATAAATAAGTTCTTCCCTGAATTAATGAACTCATAAATTAGTAAACTGTTTTAAACATAAAATTGAGAAATGAAAAAACATGTAATTGGGCTTGCGTAAGAAGATGGACAGAGGAGTTGGAGGATCAACTCCTGTTAGACGAAATCCACAAATGTTTGAGGGATCCTAGTACAACAAGAAGCAAAGGCCCAAACTCCAAAAAGGTAGCCGAGAATGATTCTGTGCCTCATGCCCGTCTCTCCTCCCTCAAGACCGTATCTTGGATTGAAGGAGGTCAGTCAGCTCCCATGTCGTTGTATTTGAAGACTTACCAAAGAGGCTCAGATTTCCATCTTCTAAAGAAAACGCGGAGCGGAACACATACGCGTCTTTAACATGAGATTGGGCCATGCTACTTCTTATTTACTATAAGGAAATAATAAATAAATAAATAAACGAAAATGAAAAATATCGAAACAAATAACTGGTATCAGAAAATAATAAAATATAAAATGGACCAGTATTGGCGGACGGGAAGGATTCTGTGAAGTGAAAATACGAAGGCGCGGTTGCCCACCCGATTCTCTACCTGGCCCACCAAAGTATAATATCTCCCTCCCTCTTCTTTTTTACAGGTCGCCGCTGTCTATTTTCTCTCTCTACCCCCTCTCTCTCTCTCTCAAACGGTCAAAGCGTCTTTGACATCTCCAAAACTTCAAAATTCAAAATTTAACTTCTCTCTCTCTCTGCTTTTCCTCCCCCCCCATCCCACTGAATCTCACACTGAAACTCCAAAACCCCAAAATTCAAACTCAAGAAATCGTTGCTGATCTCAAATGGCCGTCAACTCTTCTGATTTCTCAACCCCGCCTCTCCCTGCCGCTCCTCTTCCACTCTCATCCGTACGCTCCTCTTCCCCTCTTTTTATTCTTTCAAAATTTTCTTTAATTTGTGTTGCTTTTATGAATGCTTTAACTTGAAATTTGTGTGGTTGCAGACGAAGGAGAATCTGACCCCCGTTGGCTCCAAAATTGCGGTAACTTGTTTTGCTCCATTTTTTACAACTATTTTCTAAATTATGCTGGATATATTCTGTTTGGGCGCTGAGAATGTTTACAGAGGGAATTAGAAAACTGATTTTAACTTTGGGTTCAATATTATCAAGGAACTGGAAACAGATGTTTGGTATTAATTTTAATTTTGCCCACAATGTTGTGTTTATTGCTAGGAATTGAATGAATCGAGGTCTGAGCTGCTTGGCAGAATTCAAGGGTTGAAGCAGGTGAAACTCAACAATACTTTCTCTCTTCATTGTTTCCTTTTTTCATTAGTTTAAATTTGTGGCTAACTGCTTACTTGTTTATCTGTTTGTTTGGGTAATTAGGATTTGCAAAGTTGGAGGTCAAAATTGGACACTCAAGTTAAGGTCTACCGCGATGTAAGTGTTTATATACTGTGTTTCTTCACACTTGAAAAGCATGCATTTGGGTTTCTGGGTTCCTTTTTCTATGCCACACGGCATTGTCATTAAGAGTTCATCTTGGTGGGATGATTTGTTCTTGCTTATGGGAGTGGTTAATGTAGATTTGGTTGCTTGTTCGTCGGCATTTCCAATGATCTGTGTAGTTCTTAGTTATGGGATCGTAATATGATTAGTTGTAGGGTTAATTCATCGAAGTTTTTATTGGAACATTAAATCAAATCAAAGTGTTGTTGACTGAAGGATTCTTTAAGAGATAGAATTTGAAGATAGGTTATTGATTGTCTACTGGTCCACAATGAATGTTAAGTTGTTTGGTATGGATTTGACCAATTAGCATTTCTAATCACTTTCTGCCTCCATATCTTACCTAATGATGTTGATGTTGATTGTGTGTGTGGGTGTGTGGGTGTGCGCATGAGAGTAAGAGCGAGAGGGAGAGAGAAGGGATGCTTGAACTTCTCACCTGTTAAGAACACCCGTCAATAAACCAATGCCTTCTTTCCTATTTTGAAACTTGGAAAAGCCACAGCGGTTGGTTTCTCTTTCTATTAGTTTAGGGTTATATTTTGAATTATCTCTTCTGCTTGGACCTGAAACTTCCTTTTTCATAAGTATATGGCTTTCTTGTTGCAATTGTTGAACATATGCAACTCTTGATGCAATTTTCTCTTCCTTAATGCAGGAGCTTTCGGAACTTAAGAAATCACTCAACACTGAAGTGGATCAGCTTCGATCAGTAAGTACTGCTCCAGCAAAATTTGTCCAAGTTTAATTTTCATATGTGAATGTTGTGTTAAATTGATTTATTGAAATGAAACTAGGAATTCCAAGAACTGAGGACCACTCTTCAGCAGCAGCAAGAAGATGTTACTACTAGTCTTAGAAACTTGGGGGTATGTTTTCATACCTATTGGTCTTTGGAGTCAAAAAAACTACTACAAGAGCTGAATAACTTTTTATTAATTGCCGCAGCTGCAGGATGTCTCAGGAGATAAAAAAGAAGGCCAAGAGACCCAAGATACTGTGGTTGAAGAAAATGGTGACAAAAAATCAAATGTTTCAACTAAGGAGGTTGGGACTAAAGAAGCTGAAAGCTAGATAGGCTTTACCTGGAGCACGGCTTATGTTTATTCCTGAAGGGAAAATTAATCTATGGGGTTGATATGTTGGTTTAGTTAGAACTTGCCACAACCTTGTTGTTGTCTTGCAACAGTGATGAACTCTCTTTCTGAATCAAATTATGTGGAATTTTGCCCGCTATTCTCAATTTAAGCAGCTCTCTCTCTATGCAGCTTTTCTTCTACTCTCATTTGTGGATTTCCGTTGTCAATACACATTGAATATGAGATGAATTACTTTTTCTTGTTTTAGGAATGCTTAATCAATTAATACTCATTAGCTTAATCAATTAATACTCATTATCGGTGTTATCGGTAATCAATGGGATCATGGGGTTCCATTAGAACTTGCATCCATGCTACCATTTCATGGTTCACAAATGCGTTTTAATTTGGCTTTCTATAAGAAAAATAGATGCATTGTTTGTTACAATTGGGTACAAAATGAAAAGCATCAATTTTCCTTCGGTCCTTGATTATGGTTTGGGTCCTTGATTATGGTTTGAGTTAATGACCTAAATGGTCCTCCAACTATTGCTCAAATATCATTTTGGTCCACCAACTAAAATTTTCAATTCAAACGTCTTTAAACTTTTTATTTTGTACCAAGATGGTCCATCCGTTAAAGTCTGTGTATTATTCCATGAAATTGAGGGACAAAACTGTATTTTTAGGTGATTATCTTCCTGTAAAACGACCACTGCGTGTACACTCCTCACATACCTATTCCTCCAAATTCACAGCTTAGCGGCTACGCATTTCGGGGCAGGTGAGGTGAAAGTCGCACTCGCAGCCATCGTAGCCAACCACTTGGTCGTGAACCTCATGCTTGCCATAGAAGGAGCAATCGAAGCCGCGAGTCGAGTCGGGAACACCGAAACAGAGAGACCAGTTTTGCTTGGATCCGATGGCTAGGGGAAATTGCTTGGATAAGGGCATACGACGTCGTAGGAATTAGAGGGGGCTGGAGGCAATGGCGAACCCCATGGCAGCCATGGAAATGGGCTTGAAGGTCCTTGTTTGCTGGTGATGCAACTTTGAGTTCCCACTAGCTGCTCGACGGAAGTCCAGATGAAGAGAAGGGTATTTGTTGGGATCTAATGGACCAAAATCTTTGGAATTCAGCCTCTTTGTGAGGCCATCAAGTTATTAAGGATCTGTGCTGGGTAAGGAAAAAGAGGGGGGGAGGGGGTTGCGTTTTGGATGGTCGAGGAAGACTAGATTTGGGTGGGGTTGGTGTTTTTCTTTTTCTTTTTAGTTTTTTGTTATTTTATTTTTGTATTTATCTGATTTTTTAAATTAATTTAAATAATTGAAAATTTTTTATATTAATTTTTAAGTCAATCTCAACATTTATAAAAAATAAAAAAATAAAAAAGAAGAAGAAGAAGAAGAAGCCATGTGGCTGGTGAGTGGACTACACTTGGTGAGATTCAAAATTTTCAATTTTCTAAGTTTTAAAATAGGTTTCTAATTTTTAATTATTTAGGCAATATTTTAATTTATATGGACAATTTTACCCCTCAATTTAACAGTAATATTAACAGTTTTTAACGGTGGGACCGTTTTGGTACCAAATAAAAAGTTTGAGGACGTTTGAATTGAAAATTTTAATTGGTGGACCAAAATGATATTTGAGCAATAGTTGGGGGACCATTTAGGTCATTAACCCTTATGGTTTTTTCTTTTGAGTAATGTTAAAGATAGAGAACACATTAGGTAGTTAGTGTTTTGCAAAACATAGTGTGTTTACTTAACATTTTAATCCCTCAAGGTTGTTTGTCCACAAAATTTGTATCAACTTGTGAAAAAGCAATTGGATTAGGTCAACAGTTAATGTTTTTTGCATGCAGATAGGGAGAAGTAGTGACACCATTATGAAATTGGGGTTGTAACTTGTGAAGTTACCACATATGGCTTTGACTCTTGGGTTGGGTCGATAGAGTGAAAAATTTACATATATTAGAGTTACATGACTAAGTAGTTACTTGACGAGTGATATACTTGAGTCAATAAAAAGAAAAACTTACATACACTAGAGTCACGTGATGAGTGATATAGGAAGAAGGATATATACACCCGACTGCAGGATAGTTTTTCTAGTCAATATGGTGGTTGGTGAGCCCCATAAACCTTAATAATGAAAAGGAATTGGGGTCGTTGGAATATTTATATCCAAAATCCAGAGGAAATTAAATTGAATGTAGCTTTTTTTTTGTTTCGTTTTCTTTTTTGTTGGTTGAATACGAATTGTCTATGTCCTAGGTCTTTTTATTGCTTTTTAGTTGCGTTATTTTCTAGATCTAAATTTGTTGTATTGCCTCTTGGAAATCGGATATAGAACCTCAAAAATATATGAATAAATGTTCTTAATCACTTGAGTTACAACTTCCTTGCGAGCTACTTTCCTCTTATTTGTATGTTTTTTGAGAGGTTGTGGTTGTTGGTAGACAACTGAGAGGGTAGGTCTGAACTTGAATTCAACGTCCTTGGGAAGCAACAGATTAGGTGCTGTCACAAAAAGGACCAAGACCAAACTAGCTTTCCATTTACAAGCATTGCAGGGAAAAAATAAATAAATAAATAAATTTTCTTATTCAAACTATTGTGGAGCTTGACATAAGTGCATGCGATCCACAAATTATTGTCATGTTTGAATGATTTTCTGTGTTTATGGTTTTATTTATATATTCTTAAACAATAATATTACTCTTATCATATTTGTATACTATCTTATGTGATAGTTGAGGTGGACAACTACATCAATTAAAATTGAATAATACTAGTCTTACCACATTTTTTATACCACATGATGTGGCAGCTGATGTGTACATATCACATAATGTAAAATACTAGTTTTTGTTTTTCTAATTTTATTTATTAAAATACACTTCATTCATTTAATTGATGTGACATATGATATGGACATGCCACATCATGTGGTATAGAAATGTGATATAAAAATGTGGTAAGTGTAGCATTACTCTTTATTTAATATTTTCTTTTCTTTTATGATTTATTCCAATATTTATTTTTGTAATTATTTTAATTAAAATACACTTCATTGATTTAATTGATGTGGCATATAATATGGACATGCCACATAATGTGGTATAGAAATGTGAGATAAAAATGTGGTAAGTATAACATTACTTATTTTTAAATTAGTATTAAATTACTGAAATACCCTCGGATGTAGAGAAAATATGCATGACACATGACAAATTTTAACAGAATTTCGGATGAAGTTAGTCCCATATGGCAAGTCATGAATTATTAAAAATTAAAATGATATCTCTCTTAAATTATTTGTAATAAGTATTATTAAGAATAAAGGTTGTTTAGTGTTCGAAAATTCAAAATCTAATTGGAATTATTATGACTTTAATTACTGATGAGTTGAGCGGGAGGTTCTAGCTTTTCTATCTAGGAATCAATCCTCATTAGATGCTCTAGATTAGAATGGGCCATAAAATTGGCGGGTTTCAACTTGCATCCAAGTGTCTACAATGGGGGAATGACTTATGGCGGGGTCGCGTTAGAAATGGCATCCAAGTGTCGTCGTTTTTGCTTCTAGGAAAAAAGGTATTTTGCTTTTGGTTTGGTATACAAAGCTATGTGCTTCTTCGACCCAAAGCTATGTGCTAAAATAATGCCAAAATTCCAAGTTGACGTTGTCTTCCATACACCTCACCCTCAGATGAAGGCAACAAAATAATCAGCCAATTAGAGGTTGAAATTCTAATAATACACCATAGTGAGGGGTAAAAGTGAGGGATTATAATGAGGGGTTCAATCCAGCAATTCAAAATAACTACGCACTAGATCAGACAACCATTAAGGAACCCCTCATTACAAGCTCTCACTTTTACCCCTCATTATAGCATCCTTGTATACAAGACTAACAAAGTGAGTACATTTCATGTGCAATCATGGTATATATAATATGGATATTATTGTCTAAACTTGGAGGATGAAGGAGGACTATTCATAAGAGGTGATGACTAAAATGTATCCCTCATAATCCCACCATTTTCAAAGAGATTATGAGAATAAGTTTTAGTCATTAACCTCTTATAGATAGTCCCTATTCTTAGGCAACATATCCATATTATGCAACTTATTTATTCACGTAAGTAATACACGTGACGAGAGAGATAAAAGAATACAAATTTATAAATAAACTCAATCCTAAACATGTATTTATAAAAAAACCCAAACACTATTTAAATATAGAAACACACCCAAAATCAACCCCAAAATCAACAATTGTATATTTTTTGGGTGTGTTTATAAATGAGTTTTGAGTGTGTGTAATGATAGGTTTTGAGTGTGTTTATAAAGTATTTTGGGTGTTTTTTATAATTTCAGCCTCCATTTTGGGTGTTTTAGTGAAAGTCCCATAAAAGAAAGGAAGAAGTGAAACTAAAATTAATAAATTCTTCCCTGAATTAATGAACTCATAAATTAGTAAACTGTTTTAAACATAAAGTTGATATATGAAAAAACATGTAATTGGGCTTGCGTAAGAACATGGACAAAGGAGTTTGAGGATCTCCTCCTGTTACACCAAATCCATAAATCTTTGAGGGATCTTAGTACAATGAGAAGCAAAGGCCCAAACTCCAAAAAGCTAGCCCAGAATGCTTCTGTGCCTCATGACCGTATCTCCTCCCTCAAGACCGTATCTTGGATTGAAGAAGAGCTCCCATGTCGTTGTATTTGAAGGCATATGAGCCCAAATGGCTGTTGAACAACATAATTCACAATTTTCTTACTGTTGCAGACATATATTTTAGAAGCAATTAATCCCTTGGAGAATTGAGGCATTATCTGTTCACATTGTTTTTGAAGTTTTATATTACCTATTGTTTTTGAAGTACTTATTTATATTTTCTTGAATTGTGTTACTGTCAGTCGTGCGTAGACGCATGATATAATCTGAGTCATTGATGATAGCATTTATCATGCAACCATGTGATCAATTGACGATAACACTTACAAAGACGCCTCAATAGAAAACCAGCCTAGATTAAAGAAATAAGTAACAAATAATCATATAATTAATTAAAGAGAGGGAAAGGTTATAATATTCATGGGCAAAACACAGCTCTTACGTTCAAAGATACATAGGGCTGCTGTTTTGTTAGCACCAACAGCCACGTCATTGATTGCTACCATGAACTTTGATTGCCACACCCACAGATTGTTGAACCAGAATTTGATGGCGTCTTGGAGATTAGCTTATTATTTTATTTCTATTCAACTTCTGCCGGCCTCACATAGTTTATTCAAATTGGAACGATCTATATGGATGGATCAACTTCGAGCCAACTGAGGAATGTAGTTGTAGAGTATATTCAAGTCACAATCTATTGACGAATATTATCAGATTCAGATTCATAAAAGTTAAAATCCAACTTTTCCCATCAAACAAACAAAAGACAACTACTCCAAGCCCTTCCCCATTTTATACTCAAGTTTGACGATGGATTTGAGTAAAGAACAAAATTTGGAGACGAGCACTGCGTATGCAAGCTTAAAATTTAACACCAAATCCTTGTAAAAAATATAATCTGATTCTCATATCTTAAAAATACCATTTAATTATGTGTTCCCTCCAAAACTCAATTCCCTTCAAAATTTAGCACAATTTGGGGATCTCCCAACATTCAACTTAATATGATAAATTATTTTAGGGATTTCTTAAATTTGAGGAAAGTATGAGGATGGATTGGAGCTATATCTGTCAATGGATCGGATTTTGATCCGAATCTTGTGTAATTAATAGGAGATGGATTGAACTTCTGAATCCGATAATCCGATTACAATCCGAATATGATAATCCGATTATAAATGGATTCATATACGGATTATAGTTTATCTGATCCGACTTAATATGAAGTATAATTTATTTAGTCTATACTATATATTAAGATTTTATATGTGTAAATGAGTAATTTTAGTTTTATATGCATTAAGATTACACTCAAAACTAATTTTTATGATAAAATATCAAATTTTGATATGAAAAGTAGCCCCTCAAAGAACGAGGCTACTAATGAAATTTTGATTTTTTGTACATCTCAAAACAAATTCGATAATAATCCGATCCGATCTAAATCTAGTGCGTAACGGATATGGATTGATAACTGCAATCCGAATCCGATAGTACGATCCGAATATGATAATTCAATTATAAATTAATTCGAATTTAGATTGAAGTATATCCAATTCGAATCCAACCCGTTTACAAGTCTAATTGGAACACACCTTACGTAATTGGAGATGCTTACTAAAAAATGACATTCAAAAATTAAGAACTACAACTATGCCACCATAACCACCGCCACCACAACCACCACTGCAACAACAACCAATACTAGCAACACAGCCGCCACGAGTAAATAGTTTCATATTTCTGAAGTACCAATATAAACCATTTTGTGAGCACCATATCAATACAAGCTCCTTCTGTGCATATCAATACCCAATTCTCATTGATCTTTTTAGTAATTCCATTAATCTATCGGGCTCGAGATTGGGTATCCCTATTCCGGTGGTGCCGAAGGAGTGTAATCATATCCATGTGGCGGCGGAGCAATCGGAGGCAGAGGAGGATCATATGGTGGTGGAGCATATGGCGGCTGAGCATATGTCGGCTGCACATACGGCGGCTGAGCATACATCAGCAGAGGATGCGGCGGTGGTGCATAAAGCAGTGGAGCGTACGGGGGCGCCGGCTGTGAAACGGTGACTTTATCGCTGAACTTGTAAGAGAAGTGAAGTTCACCTTTGGGCTTTCCTGATGGTTTTCTGACAACTTGGTAAGCCGCAAACGTCATGGTGCACTTACTGGGGTCAGCCATGGCGTCGAAAAGCTCCTTAATGGGAGCAACGACTTGGCCTATGTCCTTGTCGCCGAGGAGGCGGCGCTTGCAGACGAGCCTGAAGAGGAGGGCGAGGCGGTTCTGCTGGGCCAGGTACTCGTCGATGGTGAAGTTCATGGGAAAGTTGTTCCACTTGGGACGAGTGCCGCAGTTTCGGACCGCCAAGATTTTGGTTTTCTGCTGGCTGCGGGGGTCGCAGCCGAGGACTGAAACGACGGCGTATACAGACATCTTGGTAAAGAAATTGACATCATCTTTGAGGTCTTTGGCTGAGATGAGTTCCAGTTGTACCGTCCTCTGCTCCATCATTTTCACATAGAGAGAGAGAGAGAGAGAGAGAGAGAGAGAGAGATTAATTCAAGTATATACGTACTCAAAGCGGCTAAAATAATAATTCGAGTATTTTGGTTGAAGTTAAACATGATTCTTTCAGTAATGCCTTTTTGTGTGGCTAATTTGTTTAAAAACGGATTCATTATTAGAATCGTAATAAGAATGTAATTAGTATTCTCTTAGTAGTAATATATTATCATACACGAGTCTATGTTGTCACAAAAATCTATAAAAAAAATTTGGTTGACTAGTCTTTGTTTTGAGCATAAGGAGGGTAATACCAAAAAAAAAAGAAAAAAAGAAAAAAAAAGAAAGAAGAAAAGGATCATGTGCATCCAAATTATCCTTTTTATTTTTATTTTTGTTCTTGTTTTTGTTTTTGTATTTTGTTTTTATATTGAGAAATGGCCAATTGAACACACAACTTTGGATACATGGATACATATGCTCTTAATCACTTGAGCTACAAGTTATTTTCAACTTTTCCTTGTTAGTTACTTATAATATTTATCTTTCTAAAGAATGATACAGTAACAGTAATTTCAGTATCTATTTGATTCACGTAATAAGTTAAAGAAACATGAAATTTCAATGCAGATTGTTGAGAATGAAAGTCACAAAATACTCTTGATCCATTTTTTCAATCATAGATAGAGGGGTTCAAATTTACATATAGAATTTTATCAGTAACTTGTAGATGTATCAAGGGATTTGTAGCTCAAGCAGTTAAGAGTATTCAATAAGAACCGTTGGATCGTAAAGTACATTTAATCTGAATCATTGTTTTGTCATCACGTTTTTGCACACAATTCAAGATTCGACATAATAGGATGTGATATCATTTTAAACCATTGAATCATATTCTCGTATCTTCATCTCAACTCCCTTATCGTTATCTCAGATATCATCAATTTTTCTATAAATATCAAAGACATCTTTACCATTACACTAAAAACATTCATCTCATATGAATATCTCTCTCCTCCTCCACAATACAATGAGCCAACAAAACTTGTTTGACACCGATTCTGAAGAGGAAATGATGGAGGAGAGATGATTGTCAAATGAGAGATATCACATAAAAAGAAGAATATTCGGTGAAGGCAACACACACGCTGGTTAAATTTAGTGAGTTAATGAGCCCTTAAAGCCGCATTATCATCATCATCAAGACGAATAGTTTGGAAGCAGTACCACTGTTCCTTCATCAGGTCAAGACATATGTATCAGAATTAGGACAACATATGGGCCGCAGGATTGCATTGCCGCCTTCGCATCAGCCTCTAAGAACTAAGATAGACACACATGCAGTCAAGCCAAGCTCAGCACCAAGTCTGTGTACATTCCTTCAAGCACAAGCATGCAGCATATGCAGCCTCTAAGTTCATGCCAATTGGAATAACTTAATTACGATAAATTCTCCTATGCGCTCAACATATTGCACTGAATGCTACCCAATATGGGGGGATAAATGAAAGTTACGAAACAAAATCGATGACTAGGAAATTTTCGATACACTAACCTGGACCTTTTTTGGGAGCAAACCCTTTCTAGCCCTCCAAATCACATAACATTCGAAATTTGACTTCACTGGATTGGAGCACACTTCATAGGTTAAGTATAGAGAATGATTTAAGAGAGAGGAACATACAATCCAAAAATTAACAGCAGCCGCCGCAACCACCACAAACACCAACACTAAATACGAACAGAGTTATCCTCAGCAGCAGACCAATACGCCGGTGGGCTCGGAGTTGCCCGCGTTGCCCCACGGCCAGGGGAGGGTATTCTGGCGCGCTACCGGGTACTTGTAAATGTATCCCCGCGGCAGTGCAACGGTCACTTTTTCCCTGATTATAAGCTCCCCACAAATGTTAATGGAGTACAGGACCCTAGAAGTGGAACTCAACTCAGCCATTAGCCATAGACCTGAAAGACATGAAATTCTTTACCAAGATGTCCGTATATGCAGTGTCGTTTCCATCTAGGGCGGCGACTCCCACGTAGAGACTCACAAACTCCGTGGTCCGAAACTGCGGCACTCATCCCATCGTGGATCAACATGCCCATGCAGTTCACCATGGGAATGTCTGGTCCAGGGGAGCTACCTCGTCTGCCTGCGTGATGTCGAAAAGATCTTTCAAGGGAGCAACCGCTTGGCCTATGTACTATGGGGCTAAATTTTTGGCTAATTTCTTTCAAACGCAAGCTATTAAAATCATGTAGGAAGTAATAATGCAAATGACTTGAACTTGTTAAAAGATTACAAATTTTAACAAAAAAGAAAAAAAAATGTTCAGGTTAACTTGTCCTTTTTGAGCATAGAAGAAGGTTAAGAGAGGGGGGGAACGCATGATAGTATGATACTAGAATATGGTTACATAGCATAATTTATTGGGTTAATCGTTTTATTAGTCCCTGAACTTTGACCCGATTTGCATTTGAGTACGTCAATTTTCAAAATGGTTCCTGTGGTCCTTTAACTTTAGTTTCATTTGGACAAATGGTCATGCCGTCAATTTTGTTAATTTTTTATGTTAAATGCAAGGGCAAAATGGTATTTTTATATTAAAATTAAAAAAAATGAATAAAAATCATATATTTAAAATAACAATAAAAGAAAATCAAATAAAAAAATCAACAAAAAAGAAAAAGGAAAAATCAAGTTTTAGGGGAGTAGAAATCGGGATAGAGGGGGAGAGAGAGTTTAATTTTAATTTTTTATTCATATTTTAATCAATTTTGATACAAAAATACCATTTTGCCTATGAATTTAACATAAATTTTTTCAAAATTGATGACAGTACCATTTTTCCTAACGAAACTGAATTTAAAGGACAACGGGAACCATTTTGGAAATTGAGGGATTCAAATGCAAATCGGATCTAAATTGAGGGACTAATAAAACGATTAACCCTAATTCATTTACAGTGTTATAATAGGGTTTATATTTCCTACTTTTTAGAGTAAATTAATAAATATCCATTTATATTATAATCCGCAAACAAGTTAAGTAATTAAACTCTAGAACTACCCATACTAGCATTGAAATTATAAAATCTAATTCATCGTCACCGACTCGCCGTCAAGGCAACTCATGAGTCAAAATCCAAGTCAAATTGATAGATTTTGTAACTTAATTAATTGTAATTTTTACCCTGGAAAAAAATATTGATAAAGTAAGACTTTCAAAAGGTCTCTTTGGTTAGCCCTTACATGTGAGGAGAATGACTCCTTCCATATAAATTGTATTTGATATGCAAAAATAACTCTCTGAGATTGCCTTACAGAGAATGAATTCTTCGCTTTAGATTACAGTTTTTGAAAACTGAAAACAACTTTCGTCCTCTTCAAAAGCTATAATGTCATTTTTCTTTTAGAAAAAAAAAAGTACTTTGCCTTTGGTTTGATGTAGAAGCTTTGTACTAAATAATGCCATAATCTCAAGTTAACCTTGTCTTCCATTCACTTCACCCTAAGATAAGCAACAAATCAGCCAATTAGATGTCGATCGATATTCTAATAATACTACTCTTAAGCTGATGATCGATATTCAGCATTCTCAATTATATATATATATATACATATATATAATATTAATCACTAAGCATGTTTATTTACAAGGAATATAGGAAGTCATGAATTAGGGAGTTATGTTTACTTCAATTAGATCAACTACTTTCCCTAGTTGATCTATTTCCTAGTTTTTAGGATATTTGATTACGAATTTTACCATGAAACTCCCATAATTTTTTATTCTGTATGTGTAAGTAAATGCAGAGGAAGTAATTGGCTTCACGCTTGACATAATGTTTGGATTGAAATTGATTCATTGTTAGTTACTCAATTCTTTCGCTCTCCTCATTTGGTCCCTTGGCGCATACAGGTTGATTGGCAAAATTGCTTGCATTGTCTCCAACACATGTCATTTAAGATTTCTCATACCTTATGTGAGGGTAATCATGCAGTTGTTGCTTTGGAAAATCATGATGCTTTTGGGCTCTGATTTCACATGGTGGGACACTGCACCTTCTTTTATTTTGTCTTTTTTTCATCGAGACTGGTTGGGCGTGCCCAATTACCATTTTATTTAGTCTCTTTTTGTTTACTCTTTTAGAGTTTGGTCTCTTAGGTTAGTATGTTGTTGTGTCTTTCTGTCATTGCCTTTCTTTTACGCTGGGTTTTGGTTGGTCCCCCCCTGATGTTCTTGTATTTATTTATGTTTCCTATCAACCTGCGTGGCGTCGAAAAGATCTCTCAGGGGAACAACTACTTGGCTTATGCGTTTGTCGTCTAGGCTGCGCCGGCAGACGAGGTCAAAGACAAGGTGGAGGTAGCTCTCTTGGACCAGACACTCATCCATGGTGAACTGCGCATGTATGGGCTTGCTATTCCACGTGGGATGAGTGTCGTAGTTTCAGACTACGGAGGTTTTGGTTCTTTGCTCGCTGTGGGAATCGCCACCCAGGACAGAAATGACGGCGTATACGGACATCCTAATAAAGAAGTTCACATCTTTCAGGCATTTGGCTAAAGTTGAGTTCCACTTCTAGTGTCTTGTAGCTGTACTCCTTTTTATTTTTTCACACGATAAGGGAGAGCCATAAAGTAGGATATAAGTTCACTTAGTTGAACATTATTTTTCAATAATGGCTATTTTTTTCGATGTGGTTAAATTTGGGCTAATTTATTTATAAACTTGCATGTTATTATTATTATTATTATTATTTTAATACAACTCGTCTGTTATTAAAATCATATGAAGTAATAACAATATAATTTTATTTTTAATACAAGCGAGACAATATTTGATGTTGGGGTATAGGAGAATCGAACCTAGTTAATAATAGAAAAATTGACCAATTGCCACAACATTTTTTTTATAGTACAAGTGATAGTTTAAATTACTGGGGGATGAAGATTTCACACACACACAAAACAATGATGCCTTGGAAATTTGAATATGAGACCTCTAGTTTGCAAATCAAAGTCCTTTTCTACTAATTTAGACCCCGTTGGCATAACTATAATCCCATTGCCACAACTTTTGTGCAATTGGATTCTTGTTATTTACTTATAACATTCACCTTCCAGAAAAACATTATTAAAGTAAGACTTTAAATATCCCTTTTGTTTGCATAACCTGTCACACCTCGGATCGGCTTCGCCGTATATCTGCCCTCACGATTTTGCTTCTGGAAGCTCACAAGCAACTTCCCAGTGGGTAACCCATCCTAGGATTGCTCTAGCCCAAACTCGCTTAACTTCGGAGTTCTCATGACTCCGAAGCCAATGAGCTCCCAAAAGGCCTCGTGCTAGATGGAGGCGGGCATGTACATATAAGGCACATCACCCTTTCTCCGTTGGTTGATGTGGGATGTTACAATCCACCATCCTTAGGGGCCTGACGTCCTCGTCGGCACACTCGCACCACACGACATAGTGGCTCTGATACCAAATTGTCACATTCCGGATCGGCTCCGTCGTAGCACGATATTGTCCATTTTGGGCCCCCCTCTCTGCCCTCACGGTTTTGTTTTTAGGAGCTCACGAGTAATTTCTCAGTAGGTTACCCATCCTAGGATTGCTCTAGCCCAAACTCACTTAACTTCGGAGTTCTTATGACTCCGAAGCCAATGAGCTCCCAAAAGGCCTCGTGTTAGATGGAGGCGGGTATGTACATATAAGGCATATCACCCCATCTCCGTTGGTCAATGTGGGATGTTACATAACTTGTTGGATGGAATTGAAATTTTGATACCCGTTTATATGAGAGTGAAAGATTCATATTAATGACATTAATGATATGTTTGCTTACCTAGAAAAGGAGTATTAGGCCAACGGAGTCTAGCTCGATGGAAAAGGACCATGATTTGCATACTAGTGGTCTCAAGTTCGAACTCTCATGGCACTATGGTACTGTGTGAGAAAACCCTTCTTTTTGTAGTTTAGACTATAACTTTTACTCCAAAAAAGAAAGGGAATATTAGAATTTGTATAATTGGGTTTTTAACTGTAGACGTCCCTGAACTTTGCCCATAGTTGCAATTTGGTCCGTGAACTTTTTTTTTTTAGGCAATTACATCCTTTAACTTGATAAGTAGTTCCAATTGAGTCATGTCGTAACAGAATCCGTCGAGTTTGATCGTGTGAATAGCACATACTATTGTTGTGAGGGGTATATTGGAATTTTCACGATGGCCAGCTTTGTGTGGGGGCTGGAGGGTGGACGACTTGGCGATTTCGTCGAGAACCTTGCGCTTCTTGTTGAGGTTGATGATGGGGATTGATGAAGAAGTCAAAGACCAACGGCTCGCCGAAGAATGAAGACCGACGGCTAGCCGAAGAACTTTTCAAACTTCTCTCTCTCGCTCTTGCTCTCTGTAAGCCTCGATGCTATTAACTCCGTTTAGTGGCCGAGAAACCCAAGGAAAAGAAAAGAAAATGAAGAATTAGGGCTTGATTTTCTTTTTCTTTTCTTGTTTTTCTCTCAGAATCCAATTGGAGCTCTAGATTCAATGTCTTTCTCTCCGAGTCCAATGGTAGACGTTACTGAGATATTCAATATGCTTCACAAAGAAAAAAAGATCTGGCTTTTCAAACTCTTCTATCTCGTTTTCCTCCTGTTTCTCTCGATATTCTGTTATGTGGCTCAGTAAGTTGCACTTCTTCTTTCAACTGTTCTTTTTCTATATGTTCAATACTGCTTAGTTGCATTATCTTATTCACAACTTGTTATTGTTAATACTAATTAATTCTTTAAAACTGGAATATTAATTTGGTATAGTAATACTGAAGGTGCTAGTTGAGATCTTTTTTTAAATGTAAATTGGTGTGACCTCTAATTTGTGCAACTCTGAATGTGGAGGAGAAGGAGGAGAGGGTGGAGGTTCACACACAGGATTATCCAGCGAAGGAGACTCTTGGAACTCGAAAGGACGCTTTTACCCCTCATTTTGACAGATAAATTGATAGAGTTGGATAGCATGACCAAATTGGAACTACTTGTTAAGTTAAAGGATGTAATTGCCTTAAAAAAAAGTTCACAGACCCAATTGCAACTGGGGGCAAAGTTTAGGCGAGCAAAATGCTATGAAATGATTAGCATTATTTTATGTTTGGAAGCAAAACTTGGGGAGTATTTTCCCCTAATGTTTGGAAAATGATATGAAATGATTAGCATGATTTTATGTTATTTGTTGTGAAAAGAGGAAACAAAACTGAGGGAAAATATTAAAAACTTTACCTGAAACACCATTTTAATGTTGTCACATTAACAAACAATTTAAGAGAGAGATGTCATCTCCACATTTGAAAATCCATGATTTGGCACCTAGCACTAACTCCATGATTTGAATGATTTTATGTGTTTATGGTTTTATTTATTTATTTTAAAATTAATATTAAATTACTGAAATACCATCGGATGTAGAGAAAATGTGCATGGCACATGGCAAATTTTAATAGAATTTCAGATGAAGTTAGTCCCACATTGCAAGTCATGAATTATTAAAAAATAAAATGACATCTCTCTTAAATTATTTGTAGTATTATTAAGAATTAATGGTATTTAGTGTTCGAAAATTCAAAATCTAATTGGAATTATTATGACTTTTTAATTCCTGATGAGTTGAGCGGGAGCTCATAGCTTTTCTATCTAGGAATCAATCCTCATCATTAGAAGCTCTAGATTAGAATTGGCCATAAATTTGGCGGGTTTCAACTTGCATCCAAGTGTCTACAATGGGGCAATGACTTATGGTGGTGTCGTGTCAGAAATGGCATCCAAGTGTCGTCATTTTTCCTTCTAGAAAAAACGCATTTTGCTTTTGGTTTGGTATACAAGCTATGTGCTTCTTCGACCGGAAAGAAAAAAGCTATGTGCTAAAATAATGCCAAAATTCCAAGTTGACGTTGTCTTCCATACACTTCACCCTCAGACGAAAGCAACAAAACAATCAGCCAATTAGAGGTTGATATTCTAATAATACTATTCTTGATTACTTGCTCCAATGACCATTTATAACTCTTTATTTCCGGCACAAGATTTTCTTGACCATATATACATACCTTTTTTTTTGGGATATTATCGTGTGAATGTTATTGTAATTCGAGAAGAAAGTAGGTAAAGGTAATAAGAAATACATTGCCGTCTACACAATAATAACATCCAAACATCCGCACAAGAAAATTTATGTATGTATATAATATAATAATATGGATGAGGACAAAGTCCTATTAATTTTAGAATAATAGGCCAGGCAATAACACCCTTTCATATTTGATTAATGGCTTGACCTTGAGTTGGTTCCAAAAGGAAAAGGAAAAAAATATACTTGACCTGAAAAATGCTTGTCCTTGAGTGTGCAACCATAAATAATGATAAAAAAAAAAAAAAAAAAAAAAAAAAAAAAAAAAAAAAAAACATAAATAAGTCATGTACATTATTTTAAAAGTCTTCATTTTCATATTACCAATAAGATGGGTACAAAATAATTGCTACTTGAGTGCAATTATAATGGGGCTGTCCCCAAATTAAGCATTTAAAATGGGAATTGGAATTTTAAATTGAGAGGCTAGCCGTTGTATTTGTTATTTTTTATTCAGGATGCCTTGTTGATCGGGGTCAGGTTCTTTTCCTCCCAGTTTACAGTACTACTTAAGCTTTCAATAAATTACCTTCTAAGTTTTGGGAAATATTTTTGCTTATCTTTTTAATTCAAGGTATATGTTCACATCCCTTATTAATGCTTTAAATGTATCCATAGAGATAAACATGATTAATTTTTATTTTGATTTATATAACCATAGTTATACTTATGAACACGTGTCAATTGTTGAGAATGATGAGAGTATACACCTTAAATTAAAGTGATAAGCAAATATGTTCATGAAGTTTCGAGGTTTATTTAAAAAAACAAAACTACAAATATATAGCATTGATGATGTCATGTCACATTATTTATTTATTTATTTATTAAAGATAAAAGTTATTATTACATTCCCATTGACAAAAAGTCAAAATCCAATTTTACCATCAAATACAAACAAAACAATCCAAAAAACAAAACTTAAACTCTAAACAAAAACATACCACACCCGAAAATTAAAAACCGCCACCGCAGCCACCGCCACCGCAGCCACCGCCACCACATCCACCACCGCCATCAGATACTATATCTCCGATCAACATCCCACCAAGCATCCCTCCTAACAATCCAGCCCCCAGCCCCATCCCAAACTTATTCTTCTTCTTCTCTTGGACCGGGGGTTGCTGCACCGGAGGGTATCCATACCCCGGTGGCGGAGGAGGGTACCCGTACCCGTGTGGAGGCGGGTAGCCGTATCCTGGAGGCGGTGGTGGGTACCCGTATTCAGGTGCTGGCGGCGGTCCCTTTGAGCTGCCAGCTGGAGGTGGGTAAGTGCTGTATCCTGTCACTGTCGGCGCCGATGGCCCGACCATCGGATACGCCGTCACGGGCTCATAACCTTTCGGCGGCGCTGCTGTTACGGACTCATAAACCTTCGGGGGCGCCGCCATCACTGGGGCGGCGACTTTGTCGCCAAATTTGTAGGAGAAATGAAGTTCGCCTTTGGGTTTTCCGGATGGTTTTCTGACCTGGTAAGCAACGAACTTCATGGAGTTGGGGTCAGCTGCTGCCGCCGCCACGGAGTCGAAGAGCTCTTTAACGGGGACAACGACTTGGCCTATGTCTTTGTCGCCGAGGCTGCGATCGCAGACGAGCTTGAACTCGAGGCTAAGGCGGTTGAGAAGAAGCTCGTCGAGGGTGAATTTCATGGGGAAGTTCCAGGTGGGGTGGGTCCCGCAGTCTTTCGCCACCTTGGTTTTGGTTTTCTGCTTGCCGTGCGAGTCGTCGCCCTGGAGTGAAACGACGGCGTATACGTCCATCTTGGAGACGAAGTTGACGTCTTTGAGGTCCTTGGCTGAGATGAGTTCGAGTTCTAGGGTTCTCTGCTCCATCTTTGAGAGAGCGAGTTGGGCTTGGAATTTGGAGGTGAGGTTGGGATTTGGGAGAGGGAGAAGCTGGTAGAAATGTTTATATTGCGAAAGTCTGAAAGATGAGGTCAGCTCTTGGGAAAGGTGATTTAGGTTCGTTGGCTAAGGTCAAGGCTTGCTTTTGTATAAAGAAAGAAAAGTAGAGGCATGGCTCATTGCTGGGAACATGGGATGAGAGATACCGTAATTAACAATATGCTTAATAATAATAATATATGTACATGATTACTCACTATAATACTAGAAGTATTAGGGATAGAGACAGGGAAAGTGAGGTATATTTGATGAGAGGGAATAGGTTTAGTGATGCAGTTGAATCCAAAAAAGAAAAAGAACAAAGAAGTTCAAAATATGGCAAAAAAAAAAGTTTGATGTTAGCTAGTTAGTAGTACTTATTAGTAGATAAAGTGGGGTTTGAGTTTGTTAAAAAGGGGTTCAACTATATATTATCACAAGTTCTTTTTTAACAGGACCAACTGCATATAATTATGTGTCAATTCACGTGACGAGACAAATAAATATATTGTTAGATACAACTCATATTGTTAGTAAGAAAAATGCAAATGTGAATCAGCGTTGTGAAAAGTAGTGAACTACACATGAAAAATGCTTAAGGTTTGGTTGACTAGTCTTCGTTTTTAGCACCATAGATACGATACCAGAAGAAGGGAGAAGGATACAGCGGGGCAGGGCACAGTAGAGAAAAGAAGGGGTAGTTGCATCCAAAGTTGAACATATTTTGGGCATCGCTATCAACTACGGCGAAGTCAAAGTCCATCTCAAATTGATTCCTTCTTCTTAGTTGCTTGCTTGTAATACTTTACCTTCGGAGAGAATAGTTAGTATTAAAGTAGTAAGACTTTGAAATGTAAATGCTCGGAAAAATAAAAGTTAATATATGGATATTGCTTGTCTCTTTCCCGGTAAGGAGATACTTTTTCTTTATGTGAATCATAATTTGACATATATGCAAAAATAAATCTTTAAAAACACAAAAATATAAAATTATGCACACATGTTACACTGCTATTGGCAGGAATGTAGGAGCTTCTATTTATATGGTAAATAGGGAAATATTTTCCATAAAGAGGGTCTTTGAAAAGCAAACGAATATCAGAGAGAGGCTAACAAGGCCCCGGGAACTTGCAGGCCCATCTTCCCGCCAATACCCAGTGGGGTTAAGGCTTCTCATGGGCTCTTTCTTATATTGGGCTTCTCTGGTCTTTATGAAATCTGGGTTTGTTGGCCCTGCTTCTATATTGTTTTGCCTCCACTGTCTTCCATGAAACTCCTATCCTAAGCTCTAGTTTTATTTTTGTCCATATATGATTATACTAAACATGACACAAAGGCAAATTTGAAGTGGTATATGAAGGGAAACTCTTGTTTTGTCAATTATAATGTATAAAATGTTAATTATATATATTCGACTCATCGAACTCGTACCTAATATTGTTATTGTGACTCTTTATATTATTGATAAGTTAACTTATGGAATAACCCAATTGTGAATCTCTACTACGCAATTTGAAAGCAATTGCATTAATAAGATATTCTTAAAAAACCAATAAATGTATACGATACACCACGTGACATAAAATCTATCAAATTTTACTGTAATGACTCATGTTTATGCTAAGACTTTGATTCTTGCATTTCTCATCTTCGAACAGAACAAATAATTGCAAACGACCGCTCTAAAGAAAACGTGGAACACTTTCGCGTCTTTAACAATAGTGGCATAACATGAGATTGGGCCATGCTTCTTATTATTTACTATAATGAAATAAAAAATTTTAAAAAAACGAAAATGAAAAAAATCGAAACAAATATCTGGTCAGGAAAATAATAAAATATGGTGTGGTGGGGGGTTGTGGGGGGAGGGAGGGTGGGTGCTAAAATGGATCACTATTGGCGGACGGGAAGGATTCTGTGAAGTGAAAATAGAAAGGCAGGGCTTCCGTTGCCCACCCGACCATCTAGCTGGCCCACAAAAACACCGCCCACCAAAATATAATATCTCCCTCCCTCTTCTTTCTTACAGGTCGCCGCTGTCTATTTTCTCTCTTTGCCCCCTCTTTCTCTGCTCTCTCAATCCAATAAGGCGGCAAAAGGCAATTCAATGGTGCCCCCACTCTCTTCATTGCCGCTTGTGCCCTCTCCAGGTTCCTTTCTTTCTCTCTTCAACTTTACCTTTTTTTCTTTGCGTATTATTTCCTCATTGGAACCCTAATCATCTAGCAGGTTCTTGGATTTTGTTAATGTGCTCATCGATTTTGCTTTTGGAATTGGATTTTTCGTGTTTCAACTGAATTGCATTTGAACGGTATTGATTTGTTAGGTGATAAAGCTTAGATTTTTTACCTGAGGGAGGTTTTGTTGGCAATGGAAGAGACAGGGCAGCTCAAGCGAGCCTTCATTGATGCTACGGCGGGTTTAATCGCGGGTGGTATATCGCGAACAGTTACGTCGCCGCTCGACGTTATTAAGATTAGATTCCAGGTCCGTGAAACTTAGCAGTTAGTAATTTTTGCAGGTTCTGAGCTTTGCCTTGTTTTTTACTGTAGAAAATCCATATTTTTGTTTTTGTATTTGTAAGTTATGCATAAGTTGACTTGGTAAAATGTAGTGGATTTTGGGAATGTTTATTTATCAATTTGGAGTTTGGGGTATGCTTATTTCCGGTCTATATTTTAAAGGTTGGTGGTGAATTGAAGAAATTGTTCTTTGTTTTGGTTGATAGGTTCAACTGGAGCCCACCACTTCGTGGGCTTTGCTTCGTAAAAATTTGTCTCAACCGTCAAAATATACTGGGATGTTGCAGGCAACAAGGGATATTTTCAGAGAGGAAGGCTTACCGGTACAGTGAATCAATTTTTAATCATGGAACTTGCAATGTAATCGTTATCCACTTGCTCCTTGTGGCATTCTATAGAAGGAGATTTCATTCAGTTTTGCAAGGAAATTTATGTTTTCTCTAAATTTTATTCTGAGAATTTCTTATGACAGGGCTTTTGGCGTGGCAATGTCCCAGCTCTACTTATGGTTATGCCATATACCGCTATACAATTTGCTGTGTTACACCAATTGAAAACATTTGCTGCTGGTTCCTCCAAGACAGGTACTTTGAGAATAGTCAATATCTTTTCCTTCGATGTTATCTTATGTGAACTCTTCACTTCACTGGAATACTAATTTCAATAGTACATGATTCTAGCAAGGGTATGGTAACTGGGACTCAACATTTGTTTGAAACCCTTGGACTCAACTTTGGATGTGGTTATATCTGATGTTCCCCCATTTTCTTATATGTCATGATTGTTTGTTTGTTTGTTCTGATGCAGAGGATCACATATATTTGAGTCCTTATTTGTCTTACATCAGTGGAGCATTAGCAGGTTGTGCAGCCACTGTCGGATCATATCCATTTGATCTTCTAAGAACCTTATTAGCTTCACAGGGCGAACCTAAGGTATAGAACTCCAGCTAATGCATTGAATTATTACTATGTGCGTGCGTGTATGTTTGTACATTAACTTTCAAACTGGTTTTCACTATCTATGACTGCAACCGCAAATCTGAGAGCATAGGAGTTAGTGTTAGGATCTTAGATCCGTGTTATTCTTTTTAATTTCTTACAAAGTTCTGCATCTTACTGTAAATGAGCTGTCCTTTTGCAATCAGAAGCTTTGAAAAGTGCTTAATATCAAGTGTTCTAAATTGCTTTCTTGTCTACCATGTGTAATTCTACTCATATATTAATGGCCAAAGTTTCAAACTTGATGCTGTAGCTTATTTATGGATTGGACTTAGTTCTTGGCATGGTGGTCTTGAGAGTTTGCTGTGGGCAAGCTTGGTTGGTTTGACCAAGCTTGGGTTGAGACCCTGGTGCATGATTGTATATTAATTGCAAAAAGAATTGGTTGACCGAGACATTTGACACACTTTTGGGATTTAGGCAGGCCTGGTGGGCCTCTTTTTTGCAGGCCTATGATGTCTTTCAGAGGATTTGGTTTGCATACAGCTTTTAGACTACACAGTCTTTAGCTGGCCATTTTTGTTTTTCACTATGAGGTTTCTTTGGGGTTTCGTGTAATTGTGAAGTAATTAAAGCTATATTACCAATAAATATTAGTACCCTAACTCAAGCCATCTTTAAAATTGGTTTCTGCAAAAACACCAATGTGAAGAGTTCTTTGGCATAATAGGACCGTACTAATATTTACCTTGATTTAGGTGTATCCAACTATGAGGACTGCATTGGTGGAAATAGTTAAAACTCGTGGATTTCGAGGATTGTATGCTGGATTGTCGCCAACACTGGTTGAGATTATTCCTTATGCAGGCTTGCAATTTGGTACATATGACACGTTTAAGCGCTGGACCATGGTGAGGTTCTGGTTCTGCTGTATCATTTTCCTTTTTGTGGGTATGAAGTAGATAACTTTATGTCCCCATGCCTTGATGGGATGGGGCTATATCTTTTAGACTAGGTAATCAGATTTGTAAATGTTTTGGTTGAAATCAGCTTTGTATGTATATGCTGTGTGCACGTGCTTTCAAACTCACCATGACTTGAAGTTCAATAGCTAGTTGTAAAACATGGCAGTTTTAATACTTGAATTCAAATAGTGTCAGTAATTGGAATAAAATTGTCCATCGCTTGCAATATGTATTTGTGTTGTGAGGAGGGTTCTTAGATTAAGGAACATATTTTGCAGCATGTTTCTTTCTGCTTAATGCACAACCTATTTGACAACAGTAGCCAGTCATAGTAAGATTTCACGTATTTTGTTGTGTTCGTTGTAGACATGGAACCTGTATAGATCCTCCAATACAAACTTACACAGTAGAGAAGATGGTCTCTCAAGCTTTCAGCTTTTCATCTGTGGTCTAGCAGCTGGGACATGTGCCAAACTTGTCTGTCATCCGCTTGATGTGGTCAAGAAAAGATTCCAGGTAGATATTTAGACGTCCTGAGCTGTGTCTCTACTTCTAGAACTTTCAGTTAATCGGGATTTTCATGCTGTTTAGCAATCATCCCCGAAGAATACATCGGAAGGGAAATGTAGATCAAAATGCTTTCATGTTAATGCAATGAGGTTGGTTATATGAATCTTCTTGTTCTATCCCTGCAGATTGAAGGACTACAGAGGCACCCAAGATACGGGGCTCGAGTAGAGCATCGTGCTTACCGAAACATGTTTGATGCCTTGCGAAGAATATTGCAGAGGGAGGGCTGGGCTGGTCTTTATAAGGGAATAGTTCCATCGACGGTCAAGGCCGCTCCTGCTGGCGCTGTAACATTTGTGGCTTATGAATATACATCAGACTGGTTAGAGTCTGCATTGACTTGATCGAACTGTTCACTTGTAGTTTCAGATATTATTTTTGGATTATGCGATTCTTTTGTCCTTCGAGACCTTACAAAGCCCTCCTCAAAGGAAAGGAAGTGGGCGCATTATTTTTGTCACGACTACAGGCCATAAGATTGTAATTAGACAGCAAAATGTTTGAAGATGAAAGTTGAGATTTGGAGCACCAAGATTTTTGCATCAGCATTTTGAGTCATGATTGAATTGTTTCTTTTTCTTATTCTCTTGGAAATTAGCTGGTTACTTACTACCTCAAAATGAACTTATAAAACAAAATATAACTTTCCCATAACATTAGACAGATTCTCAATTTGTGTTCAAATCAAATACCTCAACAAAAGTTATAAGTTTGGTAATTGCCTTTCTCAGAACCCAAACGCTAGGTACAAAATTTCCTACATGTTACAGATGCTGCCAAAGTATAGATTCTCTGATATTTTCAAATTTGTATCCGAGCCAGTTTTATTCAACAGAAAACCCAACCAGTAGTGCCAGTGTTGAAAGGAGAATGGTAGACACCAAAGTTATCTGCCCGTGTCTTCTTCAAGGATTGTTCTTCTGTTTGCTGCTGTCCTCTGGGGGCAGTGACACAAACTGCAAGATCTTCCGAACCTCCGCGACATCAACCCGGAACTTGTCGGCGATTTGGTCCGCCTCCATGGGGCCATTGTGATCCTCAGCCTTGCCCTGATGGAGGAGGATTATGTGGCGCAGCTGCGCCACATTCAGAGTTCCTGGAGCAGCCGGCCTCTCCTCGTACCTGCCCGAATCTGGCTTTGTATCTCTCAGCTTTGGTAGAGGCCTCTTATACTTTTCCACCACAAATGCCTGCAGCACCACAATTACATGACCAAAAGATATAAAATGCACCAATCAAATAACTAAACTAAAATTCAAAGACCCAATTGGAACTACTTAGTTTGAATTTTAACCATTTACATAACTTCAAATGAGAAATTAAGAGAGAAACTGACCTCACCCATCTCCAGTTTTCCTCCGGGCTTTGATTTAATTCTACCCACCATTTGATTAAGCATGGCGTCGTAGCTTGGATCTCGTTCTTCAAGCACATTATCAACGTTGGCTGTTCCTGCGTCTGCTTCTGCTGCTGTTGCTGCACTACCATCTTCAGACAAAAACCAACGAAAACGACGCCGTAAATGTAATGAAATTGAGCTGAGAACAAATGCGCGTAAAGAGTGAAGGGACAAATTAAGGGCGACAACTTTATATACCAGAATTAGGAGCGTCGCCGGCCTTGGAGATCTCGGTGGGGCCCAGAGGAGGAGGCCGCTTATCGACGACGACGGTCTTTGGCTTCGCCGACGTCGTTTCAATGCTGGAAGAGGGTCGGATTCTTCCAGCAGCTCGGCGAAGTGCCTGACCCATTGCCGATTTCTCCTAAAAATCTTGATTAAATAGAAAATCCCTCTTTAGTTTTTTAATGAATAGAATATAGGGTTTGGAAAATTAGAAAAGGAGGTGGGAGAGCAGAAGACGAAGATGAAGAGCAATGGAGATGGAGCAGTAAGTAGTAAACACTGGAGTGGCGCGTGGTGGTCTCCGTATGGACACACGTCTCGCTTCTGCTACTTGGCCTATTGTCCTACACAAGATACCAAAAAATTGCCATGGCATGCCCCCATTTCTTTTATTTTTCGCATTTTCGCTCCCTTTTTACCTTTCTCAAAATAGTTCCATCTATTTCTTTATGTGCACATCTTATTATTATTATTTTATTTTTATTGAGCACATCTTCTCATTTGGAAAACTCAATTTTGAGTTGTTTAATATGTTCTTGTTTAAATAACGTTTAGACTATCATTTGTATTAAATAAATAAAGCTGGGGTTCACAAAAAAACATTATTTTTGAATTTTAAATTTATTTTCAGTTTCGATTTTCATGTTCATATGATAGAGCATTGTGCTTCAGAAGTTTCTTAGGGTTAAATGTTGAAAGTTTGAGAATATTTAGATTAGGTTTAAAAATTAAATTCAGTTTATCAATCATTCACATTTTTATACTATTTGAAAGCTATTGTTACAAATTACAATTATCAGAACACCTGTAGTTTTGGATATTGAAATATAATTTTTACGAATCGAAACTAAGCTTGAAGATCATGGGTTTGACATGAGCCCGTTTATCTGTGCTTCCCTTATCTTCTCAACCACCAGAATGGCATCCCTTGACATCCTGGAGGACGAGCTGATGATGGAGGAAATGTCGATACATTTTGATGATTCCCTCGATCTGGAGGAGAATATTGAAAACAAAATCACTCTTGTGGGCCTTCTCATTGCTGACCATGAACCCACCCAGGGTATTGTTAAAGATGTGCTGCGTGCAATCTGGACAAACATGGGGCAGGTCAAAGTTTTGAAGGCAAAGGAAAACGTGTACTCAATCACTGTTGGGGATGAAGCGGTGGCTAGCAGACTCATAGACGGAAGTCCGTGGTTTATAAAAGGGAACCCTTTCACCATTAAACCTTGGCCTCTGTACCATTCTTTAGACGATATTGTAGCAAATCGGGCAGTTTTTTGGGTGCAAGCTCACGGCATCCCCCGTAACTTCTGCACTATGAAAAACGCTAGAACCCTTGGTGAAAGGGTTGGAGCAGTTCTTGAGGTGGAGAATTTGGAAACAACAGGTTTCAGAGGCTTTCTCAGATTGAAGATTGACTTTGATGCCACTAAACCACTGATCCCTAGTTTTACTATGCCCTGCCCTACCACTGGAAAGAGGAAGATTAGATTAAAGTATGAAGGTCTGAAGGATTATTGCCGCAATTGTGGACGGCTTGGTCACTCAAGAGGATGCCCCTGGACCATTAGCTCCATTAACTCCAGAGGTCCTATACATGCGGGTGGTTTTGAGGACCTCCAAGCTCCAACAATATCTAAAGCAAGCACACACCTCTTCCTTCAACGCCATGCCAACCGAAATGCTCAATCTGGTATGGACTTGAATAAATGGAGGGGATGTTTGGAGGGGGAAAGCGGTGGCTTGTACGGCCTTTCCGGCGTTGTTGAACCGGAATACGTTCAAACCTTCGTGACGACCCAACAGACCCGAATACAGACAAATCCGACAACAAACACGAGGTCCGCTATTTCTCTGCAACCTGCAGACCTGCAACCAAAGACAAATTCTCCCAGGATTCAGACTGCTCCCCAACCAGTGTCTGCATCGCTGCAACCTGGGATGGGCCAGGCTATCCCTGCTTTGAGCGGACCTACTCGAGCAGACTATGCAAATCGCTGGAATCCTGACAGCTTTGGGACCCAGTTTCATAATGGGACCCTGACCATAGCTGTGAATGGGTTGTCTCTTAAAAAAAATTGGTGCGACCCGGATAGGGTCCCTCCTTGGGCTTTTGAAAATGCTTCAAACCTTTTAGAGAACAGATTCTTAGATGGGCCTTCAACAGATGCCACACCTCTTAATGTTGGGCCAACGTTTGTTGAGACTGCCACTTCTGAGCCTTCTATTGCCTCATCCAATGCAATTGACCCTGGAAAAAAAAAGGAAAAGGAAAATTGAAATTGGGGGAAATTCCCATACCTTTAGAGGAAGCCCAACCTGCTAAAAGAGCCAAAACTTCTCATAGCCCTCTTCCCAGCTGCTCACTGCGCCTTTCAAACAGAGGAGGTAGAGGGGTTAGAGGTAGACCAAAGGGTATGAAGGGACTCGGCCAAGAAAAAAGGAAACCAGAGAAAAAAAGTAGCAATCCTGTGACTGATTTGGGGAATTTGTGTGATGTTACTATTAGCCCCTCGAAGGAGCTTGAGTTGGCAGAAGGGAGACAACTCACGACTGATTTGGGGGTTTTCTCAAAACCCCAAGGCGGTGGTGGCTGGCCTAGAACAGCCACAAGGGGATCATGATACAGCTCTCCTGGAATTGTCAAGGTTTGGGGAATCCCTTGACAATTCTTTATTTGAAGGAGCTCCTTCATTCAAAAAATCCCTCTGTGGTTTTTCTTATGGAAACAAAACAGAACAGCCACAGTATAAAGAACCTGAGGAGACAGTGTGGCTATCATAAGGGATTGACTGTTGATCCTATTGGAAGAGCAGGTGGTCTCTGCATTTGGTGGAAATCAACGGTGGAAATTGAATTCTTAGATGTAACAAAGAATTGGATTGATGCAGTGGTAAAGGTGCCTTCTGATTCTTTTTATGGAAGATGCACATGGGTGTACGGTACGCCATACAACAGCGAGAAAGTGGAGTTTTGGAAGACTTTGAATGCTTGGGGGCGTAAAGATCACATTCCCTGGATGGTTATGGGTGATTTGAACGAAATTTCTTGGCAACATGAAAAAGAAGGAGGAAATGGTTGGAATACTTCCCGCAGAAGATTCTTAATTGAATTTATGAACTCTTGTAATTTGATGGATTTGGGGTTTAAAGGTCAAGGTTTCACGTGGGAGAGGCTCATGGGAGACAATGTAATCCTGAGAGAGAGACTTGATCGTGCTCTAGCCAACCCTGAATGGCTTGAAGAGTGGCAAGGCACTTGTGTCACCCATTGCACTAAGATAGGATCTGATCACTGTCCTATCCTTCTTGACAGTAACCCTGCCTGTCGCAGCAAAGGCAACATTTTCCGTTTTGAAGCGAGATGGCTACATGAGGAGGAATGTGGCAATATCATCAAGGATTGTTGGTCTGATGGAGGCTATGCCAAGAACGATGTGAAATGGACCCGCAACTTGCAGCTTTGCAAGACTCGCTTAATTAGATGGAACAAAGTCCACTTTCCTAACTGCAAAACTCGAATAAGGGAGCTGACCTTGGAACTTGAGCAGCTCCAAAATGAGAACATTCAGGATGTCTGTGTCCCCCAGCAAAGAAGTATCAAAATTGAGCTTGACAAACTCTGGAACTGGGAAGAGCAATATTGGAAGCAACGCTCAAGAATATCTTGGCTCAAGTCTGGCGATGCCAACTCAAAATTTTTTCACATTTCAACCATTCAAAGGAGACAACGAAATCGTGTAGTTAAGATTCAAAATGCTAGGGGGGAGTGGCTTGTTGGTGAGAAAGCAATCAAGAATGAATTCTTTCATTTCTTTCGTGACTTATTCACTACTTCTGGGCCTCGAGATTGGTCTGAAATTCTCAGTAAAGTGGACTCCACCATCACCACAGAGATGAATGCCACACTTCTTGCCCCTTTCACGGAAGAGGAGATTAAATTAGCTACACACCAACTTGGAGCTGACAAGGCACCTGGCCCTGACGGCTTCCCAGGAATGTTCTACAAATTCTTCTGGAATATTGTCAAACCCATTGTCTGTGGCACCACTAGTGATCTTCAATTTGGTCGATGCCGTTTGGAAGCCCTTAATAAGACTTTCATTGCTCTGATTCCTAAAGTCCAAGCGCCAGTGAGCACTAATCAGTTTAGGCCAATTGGCCTATGCAACAACTCTTACAAGATGGCTAAAGTCATTGCAAACAGACTGAAATCGATTCTCCCAGACATCATTTCTGAAAACCAGAATGCCTTTGTGCCAGAGAGGCAAATCCAAGACAATATTCTCATGGCACATGAGACATTTCATTATTTGAAATTAAAGAATTCAGGGGGTGTACATGAGGCGGGTTTAAAGATCGACATGAACAAGGCTTATGATCGGATTGAGTGGGATTTTCTAGAGGCTGTAATGTTGAAAATGGGCTTTGCTAGAGTTTGGATCAACCTCATCATGAACTGCATTTCTACGGTTTCCTTTGCAGTTATTATCAATGGCCAACCGAGTAAATTCTTCAAACCGACTCGTGGCCTAAGGCAAGGGGATCCGCTTTCTCCCTACCTATTCTCGCTTGTGAGTGAAGCCCTCTCGAGAAACTTGTCTAGCGCTGTTCATAATGGAGAGATCAAAGGCATTCGTATCGCACGTAGATGCCCAATGATTTCCCATCTGTTTTTCGCCGACGACGCTTTGTTCTTTGTGAAAGCTGAAGCTCAAAACTGTATGAAGCTAAAAGAGAAGTTGGACAAGTATTGCTTAGCCTCTGGTCAGTGCATCAATTCTCAAAAATCCAGCCTTTTTTTCTCTCCCAACACTCCAGCAAATACTAGACATGATATTTGTACTCTTCTGAATATTAATGGAGTTGACAACCCTGGAATCTATTTGGGCCTTCCGACAATTTGGGGAAGATCCAAGAATGCAGCTCTAGGCTACATCAAAGAGAGGATCCGGAAGAAAATTGATGGCTGGAAACTCAACTCCCTTTCTCTTGCTGGGAAAGAAGTTCTTTTAAAGGCAGTAGCAACTGCTGTGCCAGCTTTTCCTATGACTTGTTTTCGTTTCCCGGAAGGAACATGTAATCAAATCAACAGTGACTTGGCTTCATTTTGGTGGGGCAATAATGAGGAGAGCGCTGGAATTCATTGGAAATCCTGGAAAAAATTATGCTTGGCCAAGAAAGTGGGAGGTTTGGGATTTCGTGACTTGTCCAACTTCAATTTAGCTCTTCTTGCCAAGCAAAGTTGGAGAATTATTTTGAACCCTGAAGCTGCTTGGGTTAAGATCTTGAAAGCGCGTTATTTCCCTACGACTGACTTCCTTAATGCAACTAAGGGTTCTCGCCCTTCATGGGCCTGGGTCAGCCTTCTTGAGGGAAGAAAGGCAATGATGAAAGAAACACGCTTCCAAATTTTTAGTGGTGCAAACACGAATATATGGAACGATGTCTGGATCCCTTCCTGTGAGTCGGGACCTGTGAAAACTTTGCTGCCAATTCCTCCTCAAGCCCCCCAATTGGTCCAAGAACTAATGGACAAACAAAACCACACATGGAAGCTGGATAGTATCTCCACCTTCATAAACAATGACATCCTACAGAGCATCAAATGCATCCCCATTGGTCACTCTTCCAGACCGGATCGCCTTGTTTGGCCATGGAACTCAAGTGGCTCGTATACTGTCAAGTCGGGGTACCACCGTTTTCATGCTAGACAAAATACCGACATTGCAAGCCATAATCACTCCTCACACTTTGTCTCGGAAAGAGTTTGGAAGACCATATGGAAGGTGGAGACTCTCCCAAAAATAAAACTGTTTCTTTGGAGAGCTCTATCTGGATCCATCTCAACCAGACTTGCTCTTTTTAAAAGAAAAATTGCAACGGATCCTATCTGCCCAATATGCGAAGGTTTTGAAGAATCGGTGGAGCACATTCTTTTTCTTTGCCCGTGGACTCAACTTGTGTGGTTTGGCTCAGACCTCTCCTACAAAGTTGACACCCGGAGGATCTCGACTTTTGATAGATGGATTGAAGGCATTATTTCGATACCTAGCACCTCAAGAACTGATGGCAATTTTTTATTATCTTTTCTCAGTTTCCTGTGTTGGGAAATCTGGAAGGCAAGATGCAAATTCGTTTTTAATGGGGTTAGCCCTGATCCGAGGCTTGTGATCACCCATGCTAGAGATGCTTGCTCTGAATATTTGGCGGTTATCTCCAAGGTTGATGCTAGAGGGAACCTTTCTCCTGTCCATCAAGTCCAAGGAACCCGGTGGTCTAATCCAAGCCCAAGCTATGTAAAATTCAACTTGGACGGCTCTTGGCTTCCTGGCACAATGAAGGGCAGCATTGGCATTGTGTCTCGTAATTCCTCTGGGGATTGGTGTGGTGGTCTTGCCTCCCCACTTTCATGTGTTTCATCTCTTAGTGCAGAAGCGGCAGCAGCTCTTTGTGCTTTACATCTTGCTAAAAACAGGGGTAATATGAAAGTCATCTTGGAGACAGATTGCAAGGTGTTATTAGATGGCATCTCTGGAAATCATGATAACAACTCCTGGGCTATCCTCCCTCTTATTGACGAAATCCATGATGTGGTTTCGAGCTTCGAAGAGGTGATTTGGTCATGGGTACCTAGGAGTGCAAATCGTGCGGCTCATGCAGCGGCGTCGATAGGTATCAGAGCTATGGAACTGCAAAGTTGGGTCGACAGACCACCATTGTCTCTCGTTGGGGTGTTAACATCTGATGGTTTGCCTTGTCCACCTCTTGTTGCATCTGCAATTTAGTTTTAATTCCTATTAGTAGTTAGTTTGCTGGGTAGGGACTGTTTGCTCTAGGTTCCGGTGGAATCTAGCTATGTCTAACCTTGCTTTTGGTAGTTTGTTTCATGTGTTCTGCTGGCTCTTTGTGGCTTTTGCCTTCTATCTGTATTTCTATTCCCTGTTTTGGGATCTTTTGGAATACAACATGAATTTCAGACCAAAAAAAAAAAAAAACAAAAAAAAAAACCCAGTTTTTTTGCAACTTGGAAACCATTGCCTCCATTGCCTATTTGAAGTATTAGACTAATGGTGCTAAGGGAATGAAAATGCAACAAACAAACAAACAAAAAAAAAAACACACACACACACACACTATGTCTATAGGGGTGAAAGCGAAAATTCTAATAAACCACATAGAACATCTGCAATTTGACCTAAGAAGAAACTATAACAAACAACAGACTAGAAAATTGATTTCTGAGGCATGTCCATTTGCTATTTGGTCCCTCCTCCTGTCAATTTTTTTACTTTTTATTTATAATGTCAAAAAAGAAAACCAAAATTAAACTGCTAGATAGCTAAATCAAGAACATGATGATGACCCATCCAGTACATAACAATCTGCAGAATAGTTGGTTTCACACAAAACAAGCTTGATCTTTAAATAAATAAATAAATAGAATTGCACATACAGTTCACCATGTAACATGAGTGATTAAATGGACCAACTCTTCTATCAATTTGAAGATATATAAATCTCAAAATGTGGGTAGAATGAATTTTCAATGAAATTGTTTAATAATGCAGAGATTCAGCCAACATTATTGATATTATTATTTGTAATTTTGATAAATCAATGAAACTGTAAATGAGGCTTTCACATGTGAACACCAGTAGCCGAGTTCTTTTCTACAAATTAAGGGACAAACTTTCTGACACTGTAATTTGCAAGGCACTAAACTGTAATTGGGAAACTTAAACGCTCCATTTATCTTCTGCATAACACAAAACTCTACTCATTATGGATAATTTCACATGTAAAACGATATGAAACTGTTGTCATCAATCTAAATTAAACCAGAATGGTTGCTACACTACTATTATCAACTGGCAAGCATGTGTGCAGACATTTGATCAGAATGCAAGCAACGCAGCAGTCACCTGACTTTCGTTGACATTATGGGTTGGTATTGCAACTAAAAAAATAAAAATAAGAAGAAGACAACCACTTTAAAGCAAATTGTACACGAGATACAGTAATGATTTATCAAATGCTGTTGAACTCAGAGTTGAAGGGAAGGCAACTTTTAACTCTCATCTTGGCTTTCCGATTCTTGGTGCCACTTTATCTGATGTAATGGCTCTTGCAAAGACATTACTAATCTGACTCCCCTATGTGAAATTTGTATGTAACACCATATACAGTGCAGAAGAAAGAAGAGATTGTTAGCTTTGCTGTTTATCATAACGGTTATGATAGCAGCCAAAACCAGCAGTCTCTGTTGTATCCAGAAGCTCCATGCTCAATTTGTAAGTTGGATTTTCAGCAACTTATGAAACCATGTCAACCTTGCTGAACCCGTCTGCAGTACTATTATGGATAGCGGCTGTGGTTTCCTGCATATTGAAATCTGCGAGACTAGCATCAAAACTGTCAGGAACCCTCTTCCTAGTACGAGCACGACGAGATGGCTTGGAGCTGTCCCCAGGAAATGCATCGGTACTCTTCCGCTTCTGCTTTGTGTCTAAAAATCCACAAGCAAAAGCTTCCAGTACCTTAGTGGTCAGTGGTCGATTTCTTGTGCTCTGTCTCCGGGAGTTAATTGTAGGCTGCTGTTCAGAAGTACCCCTACATTCGGAGGATTTCACTGAATGGGGTTCATCCAGTTCCTGGCTTGTTTGATCATCTTGTCTTTCTATCATTGTGAAAGGTTCATCAGTTTCAGCATCTAGAGAAATGGGGATGTTCAAGTCAATCAGTGTACGGGGCTGAGGAATCTCATGAGGTTGTTCCACATGCAAATTGTTGCGGCCAGGAATGCCTTCACCACTAAAGACTGGGCTGCCACCTCTAGATGAAGTACTGGTGGATGATAACTTCTCTTCAGATGGGTCCATTTGAGAGGGAGTTTTCTCACTAAGTTCAAGATGGCCTCCAGAGCTGCATGCATCTTGTTGTAATAAGCGACCTTGCAAGACGTGGTCCATGCTGCGTGTGGTCTCTGCTCGACTACAAGCAGCTAATCGACGTCGTTTTGAAACAGGGGCAACATGATTTTTATTTTGAGACACCATTTTCCGGCTCTTTTGGCACTTCATAGCTTTTCTGGGCTGCACGTCATTGCACATACCTACGTTATCATCCTTGGGAATATCTGCACCTTGGACAAAAACTTGATGCTCCCACTTTGAAGTATCATATTCAAAATATTTGTCATCTTTTCTACCCAAGCGGATCTTTATGGCCTTGGGAACATTGACTTCATCCCTATGTGAACACAAGTTATCAGCAGAAATGGATTTATCTGTTGACTCAGAAGCATCCCCATCATCATCTTCAGAATCACTACTGGAGGTGGGAGTGTTCAATTCAAATGGTAAGCTTCGCAATTCCCTCACCTTAGATGTCTTCCCATTAGACAGACTTGTATCCACAACGGTAAACTTCACAACATCTCCATTACGTTTTGGAGTACGAGGCTTCAGATAACAGTGGCGTTGCTGATTAGGGAAATCTTCTTCGTCCAGCTTTGTTTCATCTGTCCACCCATTTTCATCCTTGCTTCCGGAACCTTTATTTGCTCCTATATCAAGCTCTAGAAGCTCGGGGTCTGAAGCAACTTTACTCAGGACGTCGGTTACAGAATCAAAATAGTGGCTTCCCTTCACCAGTTTCCTTCTTGAGAACTTCTTAATCCCAGGGATTAGAAAAACCAAAGAATGCTTGGAACCAGTGGAAAAACCATGGCTAGGTTGCTCAGAGTGCCACCCTCTGGCAAGCAAGCGAGGCCAGACAGCTTCCCAAAATAGATCACTTGATCGGGCTTTGCTTAGCCGGAAGTCCCCTGTTAGAAAGTTGACTATTTCCAATGGTGTAAGTGTGGAGCATGCTTTGCCAATTGGTATTTCTGGGCGAACAGGAACAGCCTGATTGGACTTTAAAGTCTCTGTGGCAATGCCTGTGAGATCTCGCTTCCCTTTACCGATTCCCACTGCCTCTACAAGAGCATTCAATCCAAATCTAGCCTTTAAAATGAATACATACTCTTCTAGTAAAATTTTTCCTTCCCCAAATGTCTTCGATACCTGGCAATTGGTCAAACAAAATTAGAAGGAACCATACCCTGACATGAACAAATAAAGAGCAAACAGTCATAGCAGCAAAAGCAGCAAAATCCAGGGCATGTCCCCGCTGCCCAATATCTGATTATCTGCATTATAGGATTTCATTTTGAGCAATCAATGTTATATGTTACTGTTAGTGAATCACTTGTTACTTCCACATTGGGTAATTAGAGGTATCGTGTCTCACATCCGAAAACATCTGAAGGACGCAAGTGGCAGATATGGATCCACATGCATCGCAGGCATTTGCTTCTCTTTCTTCATCAGAAAATATAAAGTTCTCTGCTACATTATGCATTTTCTTATAGAACTCTTTTATATATAATTTATGAATTTTCAAAGGTTTGCAAATACAAGCAAAACAACTAGTTTACAATACTTCTGTTTGTTTACCTATTAATGTGTATGTGCAGACAGGTTGAAATAAATCAATCCACATACCATAGGTCAACCTTATTTTAAAGTTCTGGTCAGATGTAATTACCTCAAGCAAAGTATTTTGGCATTCTACTGACACATCAGGAAGCAAACGAGATAACAGCTCCTGTTGCCTTGACCCTGTAAATATTCTTTGTCCAAATATACATTTTCTACTCTTTCTTTTCTGGCATTCTGACCATCTCTTGTATCTGTCAGACCTGTAAAATTTCCCATAGTAGAACGATAATATATCACCCATCTTTTTACTCCCAACAAATTTCTTCACCAGAATGAGGTTCTTTCCAAAGATATATAAACCAAGAAGAAAGCTGGCTTCTTCTATGTCACTCCAGTTGTCACCAGCGGAACCAGGAACCGGACACCCTCTTCCAGTATCATTCTGATGCATTTCAGTTATCACTTCTTGCTTCAAAGCAAACTTTGCTGACTCGCCTGATATTACCCCATGATCTAACTTAGCATCTATTGGCTCAACTTTACATTTTATGTTGTCACTTGCTGAAACAATCAGGGTCTCTCTGACATGTTCAGATTTCAGCGACTCATTTTTATTGGATACATAAACTGCATCATGAAAAGCAGTCTCTGGTTCATGCTTTTTGCCATCAACTCCCTCATTGATCCACATTACTGGTATGGGCAACCCCGCTATTAAACCATAGGAACCACCAGCAGCAATTTCTGCAACAGTTGGGTTCTTTAAAAGCCAGAGATAGTCTGAAACGGCTATTAGAGAGGGAACTTCAACCTGGTACTCATCTCCAACTCTAGGAGGTATCTCAGGGTCACCAAGAACACCAGATCTATCAGAAGCTTCTGGAGAAAATGAATTCTCAGCAAATTCATCCTCATTGAAATCCCCGTGGTGGTTTCCTTCAACTAAATCCATCTGCCATATGAGATTGAGGGGAAGAGGGGGTTGAAATGGTATTGTTAAAGTGGCTTTCTGAGACAACAAGAGAATTAATTTTTTTCCTTTCTTTTCAACAAACAATATATAAGGCATGAAGTTCATAAGAAATTTGAAAATTAATAAATTTTATTTGCCAATATGAAATTTTACATTGCTATCCTGATCATATTTTGATACCATATTACATGATGGCCAACTGGAAAATATGGAAAATAATATGAAGAACATAGCATGCTAAACCATGAAGGAACATCTCCTCTTTCATTACACAATAAAAAGAATATAGCTTTCTTACTAAAATCCCTCAGGATAAAAAAAACCGATG